GGAAAAAATTTCCCTAAACAAGATGGTAGTTTAATTTCATAATACATATTACCGGTCTTTGAAAATTATATATCTAACTTACTGTTAATTACCTTAAGCTTCGAAATTATAGTTGTTACACAAGGTCAAATAAATAAGGTATCATTTTGATTAAAATTAACAAACTAGTTTGGTTACAAAAATTAATATTTAGAACAAGGCGACGGTATTGATTGACAGTTAACCTAAGTGATTACTGATCTTGAAAATCCTAAAAATCAGCCCTTCAGATGCATGAGTCTGCGTTTCCTCTAAACCGCTATCTAAAATAGTATGAAGTCAGTCAGCTATAACTTGGAATTTTGTACGTACGTACATCAGTTCAAGTTGTCACATTACATAAGAAGACAGGTACGCAATCGCCAATTCGAATCCCATTGTAGTGGAGGTAGTAGAAGTATTAGCATTGGTGAAAAAGATTAGGGATCGAAGATATGCTTCGAGAAGTCTATCCCACAGTAATCAATTTGGCTCAGTCAACTTGTCAATGACTTTATGCATTTGTGCCATGTTTTGTTTTGGCCTGCCCCTAGCTTTCTTCAAGCTCACCCCAACATCACCACAAAACATAGCTCATCGAGACAGTCGGTGGTTGGACATTCGTGATATATGTCCAACCACCTCAACTAATGAATATATACCACTTCATCTACTGATCTGCCATCCTAACCTAGTACTCGTTTCCTAATGGCAGCATTGCTTACTGGCCATGTTTCACACCCATTTAGTAGAACAGGGCGAACTGCTGCGTAGTACACTCGTCTTTTGGTTAGCAAATGGATATCTCTCCTACGCAATAAGTGACACAGGTCGCAAAAAGCCAACTGAACCTTGTGTATCCGTGCTGAAATTTCGTCAGACACCAGGCCATCAGCACTGGTGAGACTCCCAAGATAAGTGGTGTGGTCGGCACGCTCAACTGCTTCACTCCTAATCACTAGCTCAGGTGCCGACGCAAGTCAATCCTGGAGTGAAATTCTCCGTTTCTAGGCGGAGAACCGCAATCTGAACATGCTTGCATTGTTACTCAGGGTGGTCCTATTTGTTACAAGTTTCGAACATTAAAAGCTACTACATTCAGTTTACAGCAGGGTTTCAGGAGGCCATGAATTATGTTACGCTAAATAAGAACGTTTAAGTGAGAGGCGCGAGGTGACAAAGAAATGAAAGAAGAGTCGGTCGTGGAGATAAGAGAGTTATTAAGAGGTGTAGGAATGATTTGATTGTGAATAATTTGATCTTGTGTCTTGTTACGGGTATGAAGATGGATGTCACTTACCGGCTTCCCACACTGTGGAGGGTTAATTCTTGGGAAATATGAAGAGCAAATCGGATTAGCGTTGCTCTAAGCAATCTTGAAGCGTGACAGCAGAGCTCAAGGTACAACCACTTGAGGCCGGTCACGCACGAATTTTTTTTCTGGGAAGATTACATAGTGTTAGCTTCGCTCTTCAAATGGCCTTACCCCTGGAGACGGAAATTCGTGAGGTAAGTTTAGGTGTGACATTTTTAGGGTCAACATTTTCTAACCACTTCCTTCCTTTTGAGAAGGCAGCATCGCTGCAGGTGCTGGTTGTCCGAAGGAAATACTTTACTGCTATTACACCTCTCTACAGTCAGCAGTCCGACTTTGCCCTCAGGCCTTAAGTTGCTGCTTTTAGTCTTACTGCTCTCTAATCGACCTGCCTGGCATGATAGAGCTTAAAGGAACATATGTTCCAGTCAGTATAGCTCGGTTGGGTCATCATGATAGGCAAGGTAGCAGCTACGGTCGAGAAGTAAATCAAACAATAAAAAGAGTGTAAGCTAACATTTGTTTAATGTCACTCAGTTATGTCAGTTACTTTGCCTCAAAAAATCTAATTTTACAATCAATCGATTGTTTTATTGACTGACCAAAACGTGTCCTTGAACCCTTAGGTAGAATATATTATACGAATGAAATTCTTACCAGTCTGCAAGGTGAAAGTGTGAAAGCCTTTTTGTTAAGAAACTGATGTTTAAAGAATGAAACCATCATTTATCTGATATGGAAAAGATGAATAATATCCGTTAAAAACGTGGTCTGTAAGCAATAGTATTTTTTTTCTAAATCACTTTATTGTGCCTGATTAAAAGACAAAGAATAAATAGAGCAAAAAGTCACAATCTAACTTTCTAACTGTATTATTCTCTAATCTGTCAATCAGACTATTCAAAAAACAAAAGTTGATTGTAATCAGAATGTAAATTTACAAAGAATGAGGGTAAATATCCAGCAGCTTCTACGCCATTTTAGAAACTAATCAACTGAGTAAGAACTGAAAGTTACTAAATATTAGTGAAATATTAATGTCCTTTCTAAAAACTATAAAAATGTTTTGAAGTTCAGGGTAGTTATAGTTAATGATGACAACTATTCATTTAACTTCGTCTTATAGCGTATAGTCAGATAATGCCTACTAACCTGTCACTACCATATATATACATTCAATCTGATTGAATAATTTAGATAATCTTTGCGATTCTACAGCCTGTTAGATTTATTTTAATTTTTTTATCATTTCCGTAGGTCGACTTACTAAAGTTTAATGGTTTGTTTTAATTTAGTAATTAAATATTTGAAATGTTCACTTTAAACAGTTTGCATTTGCTAGACAGAAACCACTTTAAAAAAAACAAATCATGAATATATATGAGTTATTTACTATGATTATGTTTTACAGTGTGTAAAGAATTATGATGGGAGATTCCACTAATTAACAGTAATCTTAAAATAGTATTTTTGAAATTAAAATTTAGATCATATTGATTTAGTTCACTTAGCAGTCACAAGCTGGTGCTTGATAAAATTGGAATGGTGATCAAATATAACCATTCACTACATATTGACTCATTATTACTCTAGAGATCTCCTGAATAGAATGTAGTTAACTTCGTTTATCGTGATAATAATCATGGACGAGAATTAGTCGAGTAAACATACACAAAATGGCGGAATGAATGAATAGATAAATATCCTGCATACCTCTAACTGTCAAAAAATATACACTATACCCAGAGTAAAGTTGAATGGTTCAAAACACTTGTTCACTGTTTCACGGAACATGCGTTCAGTGGCTAAATGAATACTTCTATTGACCACTCTCATCAAACTATACGCTTATACTCTTAACAGACCTAGTAAACTTGAAGAATAAGATATTAGAGGTTACAGTGTTTCACACTACATTAATTTGTTTCATTCTAACTTATTCAAAATGTTTGACTTGTTAAATTAATTCAATTAAAGTTTCGTTTTCAGGGTCGAGTTTCACTTAAAGTATAATCAAGTTAACAGGTTACGAATACTATATTAATTAGACAGGTGATAGATAATTCAAGATTCCATTTACTTAAATTTTTACCAGTCTAATTTATAATGATGTATTATTCAGTGTCTAGTATGTTTTACGTAATCTATAGTTTTAAAGTGTATTCAGTGGTATTTATTGGAACATTCAGTCAGTTTTTAGTTAATTCACCTAGCTACTGATTGTGAATCATTGTGCCATAACTGAAACATCTCAGCCTGTAAATAATTAAATTTCAATCTAAATAATCGTCACTAGATATTATGCTCTATCGAAAGTTTAAGATTTTTACATGGATTTCGATAAGATAGAGATAATGTGTAAGTCTAGCCGGAGCTTTTACAAGTGATGTGTTCTTTGAAGTGAATGGTTTAATTGTGATTTGTCAGAAATTAATCTTCTTAGAACACTAAAGAACACAATACCAAAAATGGACGAAGCAAATATCATTTATGAGATAAATTACAATAATTGTACAAAAAACATTACACTTGACCTTGTGACTACTCTTTCTATAGGCGTTTACATGAACAACATCCAAGTGTTAAATACCATGACTTATCTTCATTTATTATATCAATGGATGTAGACATTGGTGGATATAATTTCATTTCAGCGAACGTCGACATATTGAACATCAATAAAACATAAAGAAAATCAGGAAATTTTTAGAGGTGTGGAGTTCAGGTCACTTGTTAATCAATCAATATATCGAGACTGACCCAATTGATCAGCTGTCGAGATAAACATACTCAAGGTCAGAGGTCAGGTCAGGAAGGAAGTTAACTGAAACAAAATTGTAAATAAAGACAATACAGCGATGGGTAATGTGGGTACAAATCTCATGTCATCAAAAGAGGCTCTTAATTAAGTACTAGGGAATCTTAATAACTCGCTTATTTAATAGATTTGTACTGACGATGTTACTAGAAGAGCTTTTAAAGTATTGCAATGAAACTTTCAAGCTTAGAGGGGAAAATACAATGAAGAACCACCTTGTTTCGATAACTACTCTTTGATAGGTGAGTGAAACAACTCTATTACACAAAAAATTTTAAAACAAGTAATAAGAATACGATTTTGTCAAAATTTCATACTTTGCGCGCAAATACTGAAAGGATTCAACCTAATAAGATATCATCAGTATCATGTAATTTGGTTATAGAAAGGTAACTAAAATTAAGCTGCTACATTGTCATTTGGTTACTAGATTGTTCATCGAATATGAATATTTGTGGACGAAATGTACTGCTCGGTAATAAATTCATTGGTAGGTAAACTCTTTCATGGAGGTCATATTCAAGTTTATACAAATAGGCGATCGGCTTCTACTGAGTTAAACTACTTTTCAGCTTCATATCATGGACTAACTCTTTCCAGATCACCGGTAAAAAAAGAACTACTGGGTATCTATCTTGTAGTGTGGAATTCGTCAGCACCTTAGATCTCACCAGAGGTTGAATCCAGGACTCTCATGCCACGTTCATGATGTGAAATTTCAGACTGAGTCATTTCCACAACGTCCCATAACTAGTACAATGTCGCTTACTTTGGTTGTATGTTTTTGTCGTCTAAATTGAAAATTGCCATTTATATCACTGTCCACCTCTCTTCTTTATTCTTCTTCAGGATTATTTAAACTAGGAAGAGGTCAATGAAAAATAATTCCACAAATAATTATAAACAATTAGAGTATCGATTGTTTCTGTTCAGTCAACAGTAGAATGTGGATAAGTATGAGGATAATCTCTTCGGTTGAGCTAAGATTTTGGTTTGGAAATATTTCAGCATCACCAGTGATCATCTTCATGGTAATGAAAAAAAAACCAAATAGATTTTGGTCTCGTATTTATTATAAATGGATTTATTCTAATAGTTAATAATTTCGATAAATAGTTGTTTGCTTGAAAACTTTGTCAACAGATGATATAAATCTATTAAGCCTAAAAGAACAAACTTCAAAATTAATGAATCACGCTTGGTCTAGATTATATATTATTAGAATATGTATTTTCCATCACAGTTTATATACACCCTGTCAGGTTTGCATCTACTACCTTAAAAACTTTATTTGACAAACTATATAAGTATCAGAACTATCTATTTTTAATGACATTTTAGTGGTATTATTGTTTTATTTGCGATTGAACAGTCCTCATTCACATTTGTTCATCTGACCTAATTATTTCGATATTATCATTTAGTCATAAGTTTTCAGTAAAGTATAATATTGGCTAGAAGTGGATTTTGGGACTCTCTATTGTACTGGAAATTTGAAAGATAGATGTACTTGCATATTTCAGTGTTTACATTCGCACAGAATCACGAACCCGGTAATTCTAAGCACCAACACTATTCCCTGAGTTTTAAGATTCAGGTAAAAATTCTTACAAATAAATTAATGCACATTACACGAGTTAGTGAATATCTGAACTTAGTCGCTCGGTAGATAACGCGTTAGCGTTTAAAGCGGTAAATACCGGGTTCAACATCAACAGTGATATGCAGGTATAGACGAATTCCACATCGGACAAAATTCAGGTTCTACTGCTAAACACTATGCAACTTTATTTATAGATTCTATTTTCTTATCTTACCACAAAATGACAACTTTTTGCATACGTAACTCAACAATCATTCTCTATTCGATTATAAATGATATTTACAAAAGACGGTACAGGAAATCTAGTTTTTAATTATTGTGATAGTTTTTAATTTAGCTAATAATGGTTCACGATATTTCCTCAGTGAGTTCAGATTATTCGAGATAGATGGTAAAAGACTAAATGCATTGAGTATGAGCTCGATTAATGGTATCTGATATGCTCGTCAATTGATGTCCTCGAAATTATTACGAGTTCAACATACTCGGTAAATGGAACAAAGAGCAAAGACTCAATGACACAAAAGGCTATTCTAATCAGTTTGTTCCAGGCCCTTCTAATTGGAGCAAGAAGTCTTGATAAGGCGTAGAAAGTGTATTCTACAAGCACCCAGAAATACAAGGTCGATAAGCAAACAAATCAAGCTTATTGATATATGATAGTAGCGTCCTTGGGAGTGCCACAAATTAGCGTACTAAAATAATCCGTCAACAAATGACAGTCAAGGATTTTCCGAGTGGGAAATGTAATCTCAAGGTCAGCTGAGCAGCTAATCGGCAAAAACATAAAAAGTCCAAAATTAGGACCTTTCCCAAGTGAGTTCTGGTGATCTAAAGTCCCCAGCACTATCCAGATGAGTCCCTATGAAGTTTGAATTTTTAGGCCTCAAATCTCTATGCAAAAATCTCTGCTAATTGTAAGCTTTTTAGTTTTCTAAGTTTCAGTCATAAAGGAGACGGGTGTGGGGAATTTGAATCAGCATACCTTGGGAAATATCAATAACTAAGAAATATTTCTTGAAGAGTTTGAGATAATTATGACTAAAATCAAAAATTAGTTTTTATGATGATATGTATGTTTATTTATACAGTTTATCAAATAATATATGTTTAAAGAGAAAGTTATTTATTTGACTTTAAAACTATTTATTTCAGTCTACAAATACATCTGATCCTTTTAGCCCTAATAATTCATAACCTACAACCTGATTATTTCGAAACATCAAAAAGTCATGTCTATTATTAACTTATTTCGTACTGAACATCAGGTTTACACTTTGGAACAACGACTAGTCCGGATGAACTGCAACCGTATTTTGACAAAACGTTTCTAGAAATAAACTATACATTTCGAACAATCTGGTCACACATATTTACTTGTCAAGGCATTTTATATAAAGATGAATAAAAGGTCAATTAAATGTGTGCCCAGATTGTTCGAAATGTATAGCGCAAATACATCACATTTTTCAGATCAATTTCGTCTTCTCACTGTTCTATCAAAATTTATAAAAGGGACTAATTGTTTTAAATTTTAGATATAAACTAACCTAATAGCTACAAAAAATTTTAAAATGCATTTGAGAGTTTTCACTGGAAGTTAATTTTGACAAGGAGAGAACGTGGAGAAATTCGAATTCTTCACTTCTATCTGAAGTTTGCACTGATGATGTTGTTTAGAACAACAATGAAAGCTCTGCAACCGAAACATCCAGTTCAGAGAACGAAACTCCACCACAATCATCCACCTGAGCTGCAATCTCTCTCCATCATATCATAAATATGTATTACTGTCTAAAGAGGTTGACAAAATGGCTGTTAAAAAAAATGATCTCTTGAAAAGACAATTTTGATATACTCTCAAACTGGATGATTGGAATAATAGATAGAATATCTCAAGAGATCGTTGAACTGTTACTCTTCAGTCACCTACAAATTATCAACAAACTCAATAATAGATCAGTATCAGATGTTAGTAAAGTTTAGTTTGCATGAAAATTTTTAAGCTAGAAAATTTAAATCGAACCAGCGCTTTGCACTAATAACAGTGTATTTCATACCAATCATGATTTAAATTATTACATACCGTCTCCAACAGTAATGCTGGAAGATAACCTAAAAACAAGATGATAGTATTTATGTATGGGAAGAATTTTTTGATTATGATTAATAAAATGAAAACATAAGATTATATCTAAAAAGTTGAAGAAATCATATGTCGGATTTATTTTTTAATTGATAAAGTTTACTGCTTATTTAAGAAAACTAGGTAAAAATGTGAGGGAAGAGAGTTTTTTTCGGTTAGCGGCAGATCTGAGTGGAAATGGATATGAGCAGGAAGTAATGGTCAACCTTTTTTTGGTAGGCTACTATTCAGAAGTGATAAAACGTTTTCTTGTCTTGATTTAATATTCAGTATATACCATATTGCAAAAGAAAATAGTCATTGATGAATTATTTTGACCATCTTTTCCGACTAGTGTCGGCACATTTTCACTAACTTGTAACAATTAGAACCTTTGAATATCTTACAAATCAAGCTTCACTAAATAAGTAAACTTTTTTTCCACAAATAAACAAGCTACTAACTTCATTCTTATTGTTTGCTCCAAGGTTATTTAGTTGCTTAATAATGCTGCTAAGGATCAGTCAATCGAAGTAACAGCGATTCACACCAATGTTTTTTTTAACTAGTCATTTAATGATTGCCAAATTGTAAAGCGATATATACTTGTTAAGAATGTATGTAACAAGTCTATTATGATTTGTGTCTTTTGTATGTGGTTAACATTTTGTTACATTAGAAAAAAACTTACTTAAATTTTTATACATTTCAATACTGTTCTCTTATTTTTTGTATTATGCATATTTTTAGCCTGAACTGTATGCTAACGGATTTAAATTTTGTACATAATCTCAAGTTTGTAAACAATCAATTTGACTTCAATCTGTTTATCCGTTCCGGTATCGGTATTGAAGACAAATCCCTACTGAGATATTGATTTTATATTATACATGGGAATTTATCACTTCATGAGAATATTATTAGTATTACCATGAAACATGTCAATAATGAATCGTACCTATAATATTACACACACATTGAAAACTGATTACCAATGAAGTTACAGTCTGTACAAAATACTTGTAGAACAAGTAAGTACACTTATTTATTTTTATTTATGTATTTAGAATATTGATTAGTTACGTTGAAAACATTTCATTTTTCATTGTCTCAGCTGTCAAAACCGTAAGAAATACAAGCTACTCTAGATGTGAAGCTTTCTCCAGTACAGGCTATGATGATAAAAGCCACCTATGGAATTTTTCCAAGTGTTATAATGATTAGTTTGAATAATATGTTATTCCGATATTGTTGGCGATGTTAGATCGCCAGAACTCGCTTGACAAGTGTCTTCATTTTGGATTTTATTCATGTGCTGATCAGTTGACCTTGAGAGTTCATGTCCCACCAGGAAAAGCCTTGGCTGCCTTTACTTACTGATATTTTAGTGTGCTATTTTTGTGACTCTCCCAAGGACGTCTCTATGGTGTATAAATAAAGGCGATTTGTGTGCTAGCTGGGTGTTTGTAGAATACACTTTCTACGCTATATCAAGACTTCTCGTTAGTATTTTCGGGTCAACGGATCAGAGTAGCCTAACTGGACGCTGGTTCATTATCTCATTCTCGTTTATCGACTTAGATGAACCCGTAATAGTTTTAAGCGTACCTAGTGACGAGCATAACAGATGTGATATCATGAAACACGATTCAAAATGAGTACTATTCAGAGGTATTAAGGTGGTGATATGCTTAACTCGATTATCATTGATTTAATGTTATCAGCAATGCTTAAAGATATTAACTTTTGACTACATAATTCAAGTGATTGTTATGATTGGAAAATATCCCTAAGGAATGTCATCATTGATTTCAGAAAGAAAAAAAAACAAATAGAAAATAGGATAAGTGATGTAAAAGTTGGAAGAAAGAAATACCTTTCTAGTTTAGCTATGAAAATTGTCTTAAAACTGGATTGATAATTTTCTAAATACCAGTTTTCTCTAAGCCTGATTTATATATTGTTATAAGCTTATATCACAGTATGATGTTGTACTTTTAATAGAGAAGCAATATAATTTGATAAGAAAAGACATAAAAAAATCAAGATTATATTTTTTTAAAAATTTCAATCATTAAAATTTAAACAATTACAATATTTCACTTGACAGTATTGTTCAAGCTTCTGCAAGCGAACCAATCAATCACGCAAACAAAAAAAATTCAATTGAATTTTGATATTTTTACATTAACCAAACATCCAATGGTTGTGAAAAAGATTTGTTCAAATTTAGATGTGATTTCTTACAAAATAGTTCAATAAGATTATAAATTTCAACAGATTGACGTGGTGTAGCATTTTATTAGACTTAATTGTATACTTTTTATCTAGTATTGAAATCGTAAACAATGTAGAGATGTGAAAATGTTGTTTGAATGACTGGAGTAATCCATGTAAGCGTCAGCTTTTTTTAATAGAGTAAAAAAATAAGTAAATGTTCATAAAGTAGCATGAATCTCTGATTTTTCCAGTTATAAAATGCAATCTATATATATATTACCCGATTGTTAAGTTTCAGTAGCTAGAGTGTAATGAGATGGTTTCTACATTAAGCGTTCGTGAACGAGACTGAAGGGTCGCCGCTAAGCACTATTGATAAGTCCTGTACTACGGCACATAGGCTACCCTGTGCTCTCAGTATTCCAATGGTGGTTTAAAATTGATCTCAATGAAACTAAACAGACGCGACAACCTTATGCTTACCTTCAAAATTATTAGCAGTATTGATCATTACTTGAAAAATAACTGCAAAAACTAAAACAAATGGGAGGTAATTATGTTTGACCAAATCATAAGTAGTATTGATAGTTTTCAAACAAACTCAGTTCTACCAGTATCACCAGTGAAATCAGATGTGATGTATAGATGTGATCTAGCAGACGTATAGATGTATAGTGTCTTCTCGAATATTCAATATCCTTTATGAAGTTGTATCCAACAAAAATTGTTTGTACTAATAATTATTAAAAATGGTTAGTTAGAACATACAGTGCTATGACCAGTAGTAGCATAATAAACAAACTCAATATGAAAAACCTGACAACACTTGAAACATTTAGCAGTAGGTAGTGGATGCATTTTCAGAAAAATCAATTAACTTCAATAATCAACGTCAATTTTTGCTTCAGATTTGTAAACTAATTTTGTTTTAATGAATGTATGTTACCACTGTGATTGTCAAAGGAAATAAACCTTCTGTTCATTGAACATACGTTTCCAAAACCTAAAGAGTTTACTTGATTATAGCAACCGAATTAAGGACTTGCAACTTTTATGGACTACAACGTAGAAATTCGTACATGAGTATTTAAGTTCAGGTTGCCATACCGCATCAGCACAGAGATGCAACTGTCAGTTCAAATCCTGTAGTGGTAGTGACAGTAGAAGTATTAGTGGTTATGGAGAAGATTAGGATTCGAAAATATGATTCGAGAAGCATAATTCAGTGAGATAAAGTTAGAAAGAGGAAGACAGAGATAATGAGCAATTCGGGAGGTTAGACTTCGAGGGAACACAAAGAATGAATGCGCCTGCGCCATTGCAAACGATTTTGAGCCATGTCGTTCAAGGTCTCTAACCACCGGTTACTATCATCACGCGGAACCCAACCACGTAGCCTACATCTACCAACATGACTCAATCCACTCGTCAGTGACTCGAACCGTTTTCATAAGCGGTACTCGGTGATAAAAGAATGTGAGAAGAGTTATTCATCGAGAGATAAGAGAGATGTTAGGGGGATAGGAAGGATTTGATTTCGACCAATTCGGTCTCGCGTGCTGTTACGGGTATGAGGGCGGATGTCACTTCCCAGCTGCCCACACTGTGGAAGGGTGTTTCTTGAGGAGCCTGAATAGGAAGGTAGGTTAGTGTTGGTCTTCGAGACCTGGGAGCGTGAACCCGAAACCCGAGGGACAGTTGCTAGAGGCCGGTCATTCACGGTTTTTTATGAGAAGTTTTTGAAGTGTTAGCTCCTCTCCTATTTAAAATACCTCACCTCCAAAGACGGAAATCCGTGAAGTAAGGTGATGTGTGACATTTTTAGGGTCAACCTTTTCTAACCCCTTCTTTCCTTGTGGGAAGGCAGCATCGCTGCAGATGCTGGTTGTTCGAGGGAAACATCTTACCGCTGCCAAATCTCTTTACAGTCAGCAGTACGACTTCGCCTTCAGAGCTTGAGTAGCTGCGTTTAGTCTCATCGTTCTCTAATTGACCTGCCTCGCATGGTAGAACCTAAAGGAACATATATTCCAGTCAATACAGCTCAGTTGGGTCATCACGATAGGCAAGCCCGACCACCACGTCAACGTAGCAGCTACTTTCGGGTTCATCATAGATTAGATAAAATTCATCCCAGAAATTAAGAGATTACCAAAATAGGCCTACAAATAATGTTTTAAAAATATACTTTTCTTATTTAAAACTCAATTATGAAGTAATTAATCTTTTCATTTGCAGTTGCTTGTCTAAACGTAACTTACTAAGTCTTTCTTAATCTTATTCAATAAAGAAACAGATTTCTCAATTAGTTTTGAGTTTTTCACTATGCTGTGAATAATTTTTTTCCATATTAATAATCATAAAAAAATATGCTGCAAGTTAATCTATTTGATATCAACTTTTACTACATATCAAATTACAAAGCCACACAAATATTTCTCAAGTATATCACTAACTTGAAGTTACATCCAATTATTAATTACCCCAGACCAAATCACTCACACCCGATTTAATAACTAAATAGTGCTGATTACAACAATTGACAACAGAGAGAAATCTAAAAATCTATTTTTAGACATAATTCAATAAATTCGTGTGAAAACATGAAACGATTGTGAACTTATGCGAATAGATTGTACTGAATGTAAAATTGTACAAAATATTTATCGGTTTAAACAAGCACCATACCTTCATCTCAATGTTTGACATGCTCGAAACTATGGCGAGTTCAACGGAACGAAGATCAACGATGCAGTGACACGATAGGCTATTCCAATCCGATTGTCCCAAAACCTAATAACTAGATCAAGAAGTCTTGATAAGGCGTAGAAAATGTATTCCACAGGCACCCAGAAAATACGAGTTGTCTAAGCACACAACTCAAGCTTATTTATACAATGATAGAAACGTCCTTGTTGAGAGCAACAAAATATCGTACTTAAAATAACCCATCAACCAATGACACTCAAGGATTTTCCAAATGGGAAATGTAAGCTGTAGGTCAACTAAATGTCTCTTGGCGCGAAAACAAAGAAATGGAAAATTTCAGAATAAAATGACAAAATTAGGACCTTTTCCAAATGAGTTCTGGGGATCTAACGTCCCTAGCAGTCTTAATGTATACACACTCTTCATTTACTCAAAAGACATTGATGATATACAATTCTTAGTATAGAAAACATTTGGAATTCAAAGTTAAATTCATGTTCTTTTTTTTATTTCAGTAGATATTCCCTTTCTTAAATAATCTAAACATATACGCATCAACATAAAGTGATTCAAACAAAACAGTAGTATGGCAGTTTCCAAAATTATTTTGTTTTTTATAGTTACATAATTAGGAGAATAAAATTAAATTTATTTTTCAATAATAAGTAATAATAATTAAAAGTGAAAAAATTTCAATATCTTCCACGTAGAAGAGGAAAAAAAATAGACAATAATTTCATTTATCTGCATTTAATTGAAATTTATTCGTCTCTAAAATATCATATGAAATAAGTTGGCTAATGAAATTGTTAATCCCTAAAATAGTCACAATTGAAATAAATTTCAAAAATAACTTTCATTATTCTATTCTCTACATACATTACAGATATGATGAACAAAAAAGGAGAACCCAAACATCGAAGTAAAGCGCCTAATTCTATGCCTTTAACACCTTCATCGATGTTGTCTTCGTCCTTTGAGCGAATGAGATCAGTTCCTGATGAATTGAGTGAGAAACGTGTGAGTCAAAGAAAAGAACGTTCTCGTTTAGCTGCACAAATCAGACGTAATCGTGAAGGTCAAAGTTTAATGTTAATACAAAATGCTCTACCAATATCTTCACATGTTTTAGGATTAAGTTTAATTCAAATGCATTCGAAATCATCTAACTCGATCAATGGGGCGAAACAAATCAATCAAACATCTGATAACAATTATATGATTATTCCAGGCATAGTTGAACGTGGACAAAAAAAGACTGCTTATTCAACCACATCAACATCGAACACAATGACAGGATTTTTAACAACAACAACAACGGCAGCAACAGTATCAACAGAAACAACCACAGGAACATCATTGTCTACAATTCCCAATGTTCCTTCAGCTATTAATTTAGAAAAAACTAGAGTACTTCGTATTGCTGGACATACATTATTTCTTCTTAACAAACTATCTTCTTGTAAGTTAAATGATTTAAGGTCATTAGAATGACTAATCATATTTCTATAAGTGGTCTGTAGTAAGTAATGACTTTTGTTGAACGATAAGCTCTGAACGACCGTTTCATTTTACCACAGGAATCCTCGTCAGTGAGCATCAGTGACACCCAACTGGGAAGTAAAATCCGCATCTTCAGTCGCCTGCGTGAATACAACCTCTATACCACTGATTTGGGATCCAAATGTGTACAAGTCTTACTTCAATTAATCCATTATATTTCACGGCCATCTTCTATTGTCTTTGGTGAGTATCGTCCTCACACTCGATACGGCTGAATATCACAGCTCATGGTTTCTCATTATCATTTAGGAAGTTCCTTGTCGAAGCCAGTCTATAGTGAGTATATGATAATTTCTAATTTGGAATTATGGGGGTTTCTGAATTTCATTCAGTGTTAGATACTGTAAGTATTTATTTACTTCATACAGTCATAACTAATTAACGGTAGCTTAATGTAGTTGTATTTTTCTAAAAAACTTGCGACATTGAACTTTAAAACAGATGATAGTTCAATGGGAATAAAACTCATTAAATATATCTCAACTGATTGTTTTTTATCATGCTTTCCTGGTAATATTTCATAATCAAAATTAATGTTGAAAGCATTATCATTTAATCATATGAATTTATTCATACATTGGTTCACTGATTGAATTATTATTATTACTGTTATTATTATTCATTCAATCAATTTTTCAAAAACACTTTAGATCTTCGATCCCAAGCACAACTATGTTTAAGTTTAAACAGTCAGTCAGTGTATGGAATGTTGATTGATGCCAAAGAAATGAAAATTGCTTATGCAACACCTGCTCTAGCTAAAGCTGTTGGTTGGTCATGGGTAGGTTATGTTTATTAATTTTATGTTAATATTAATCAATTCACATCATAAATTTACGTGCATTTCCTCAATCAATGTATCAATAGCAATGTAAAACTATGTACGTACCTACGTACATCAGTTCAAGTTGCCATATCACATTAGTACAGAGATTTAATTGTCAGTTCGACTCCCATAGTAGTAGAGGTAGTAAAAGTATTAGCGGTAATCGGAGAGATTGTGGTTCGAAGATATTACTCAAGAAATAGAATCTAGTGAAATGAACTCAAAAAATCGATAAAGGTGGTGAGGAATTCAGCAGGTTAGGATTTGAGTGAACACAAAGAATAAATGCACCTGTGCCATCGTAAACGGTTTTGAGCCATGTCATTCAAGGTCTCTAAACATCGATTATTATCTTCTCACAGAGCCCAACCAGGTAGTCGACACCTACCAACATGACTCAGTCCAGTTGTAAGTGACTTCAAGGATTTGTACCATGTTTTGATCTGGCTGCGCCTAGCTTTCTTCCAACCTATTCCTACATTGCAAAATATAGCTCGACTGTATATTTTCAAATCTTGTGTTAAATGTTTAGTAATGTAGACTTCAAAATTCAGGTTCTTTGGTCAGCTCAGATTACAAAACAAAAGTACTTTTGGCTTAAAAAAGAATAATCCTTATTTTAGTATTTTTAATTGGAGTTATCAGCAAAACTAATTTACATCGATGATCCTGTGTGCTAGAACTCCGAACCTGGGAATGTTCAGTCATTTTTCAGATAATCAGAATGTAGATTCTGTAAACGAATTGTGTTACAAAGTAACGAAAAATAATAATGATGGATATAGTTTTGCCTCTGATTATATCTACAAGTCCTCCATTCATTGATATAAACTGTTGTTCCAGCTAAAATTTACTGTTTTATTTTGTCTAGAAGAGTTGGTAGTTTTTTTTTTATTTGGCGCCTAATCGAAATGGCTTTTCCACAGTTTTCAATGGACCTAGTTTGTGATACTTATTAAAACAAGTTAATCTTCAATTGAGAGTTATGTATTTCTTCAGTTAATTTTCTTTGTAATTGGAAAAAAACTATGTTTTAAGTAAAATGATTCTGAGAAAGACTATTGATAATAAACTGATTCTTCAACAGTTTAGCTGAACTCATTCAAACTAAGTGATAACTGTCAAAAGTATGAAAACTAGTCTAGTATCACTATAAGTATGCGCGTAAATGAATTCTAAAGTATATGACATCTTTCTTAAGACATGGTTGACTTTCTGGTAGGCTAAAAATAGTGCGACCGACTTGGATGACATATTTTAAAATCTTTTTCGTTGAAACGATATTTCGAAATTTTCATCACGAATACTCAAATAGTTTGACAATAATTTTTATAAAACTGGAAAACATCTTTGCTAGTTTGTTATACTAATAATAATGACTTGTTGGTAGATCATAGACACTTTACAGTTGTAAATTGTTCTTACAAAACGAAGTTTCTTAGTATATAACTGTTAATATATGAAGAATGATCTAACTGAATTCTAACATTTTTCCCTATAATTCATGTAGACAGTTTAAATGATGGATTTAGACCAGGTAAAGAATTAATGCAAATTACGAAGTAGCGAATAGTTGTTTCATTGTAGTTTTCAACTGTGCTAAGTAATACCTGGAACTTTGAACAACAATTTCGAATTTACAGAAGTTTGAAATGAATCGTGCTATGCAAACTGACCATTACAAGTCAGATTTCATGTGGAATAGTCTGTAGTGATGTGGAGTAGTCTTACGCTACAACAAAGCACTTGTGCAATGTTCTTCAGTTTTCAGCACTTCTTGTTCTTCCTTCAAAGTATGGTGGAAATTCATTTCAAGGTTATATCGGTGACAAATTTGAAAGTCTGTCTTTAGCAGGATGTATTTTAGTGTTTACTATAGTGGCTAACAAAGGACACTAGAATTTTAAATTACTTTGATTTACTATATAGTTCAATAAAAGTTATCATCAATCTATGAAGTTTATTAATTAACTCAAAGATCGTTAAATGTTCGGGACGTTAGATTTCCAGAACCCATTTGGAAAAGCTCCTAATTTCGTGATTTTATTCTGAAATTTTTAATTTTCATGTTTTCGCGCCTGTCGACCTTCAGCTCACATACTTCCCTCGGAAAATCCTTGGCTGTCATTGGTTGATGGATTATTTTAGTATGCTATTTTGTGGCTATCCCAAGGACGTTTCTATCATTGTATAGATAAAATTGATTTGTGTGGTTGGCAACTTCGTATTTTCTAGGTTCTCGTAAAATACATTTTCTACTTCTTATCAAGACTTCTTGATCTAGTTAGTAGGGCCGGGGACAAACGGATCAAAATAGCCTATCACTGTCACTGTGTCGTTTATTTTCGTTCCGTTTACCGAATAAGGTGAACTCGTAATAGTTTCGAGCGTATCAATTAGCGAGCATATTATTAAACTGCCGAATGACATTAACAGTTGTCTTGTCACAAATTATTGTGTCAATAAGGCTGTTGGGTACGATTCACATTCGGGTCTTGGTTAGAGCACTGATGTGAGGTCTCGTAACAGAGGAAGACAGCTTTCCAGTACTTGATCATTTTCAATACTTGTCTAGAATCAGTCCGTGATTTAAACAACGTAAAAGTAGGGCTATTAAGAGAATGCAATAATCATTACTATGAGGATATATTTATGAATGAGTAGTTTTGTTGTTAGAATTAATTGTACGTTGAATAATCTTGTTTTTCAATGGTAATTTTTTTAAAGCTGGTTTCTAATTATTTAGATTATTGACATAAAATAATTGTTTTTTTGTCGATTGAATTATATTTATAATATTCACGTTTTCCCATTAGATCAAACTCTTGGGTGCTCCGCTTCATAAACTAATAAAATCTACAGAAAAATGTCAAAATTCTAAAGAAATCACCAAGAAAGTCTTGTTTAAATCTCATTGTTCCTTATCAACTTCTTCACCTTCAAATGTCATTTCATCATCAACAGAAACTCCAATCACTAGTTCTTCTTATCCTTTTCATGAAATTTCTAACAGATATACTACTTCTAATAGTAGTAACAAAGAATGTATCGACAATATTGTCGATAATGAATTCATTTTGCCTGAATTTATCACCTTGTTAAAATTAAACTCTAATGAACAACAACATTTAAAAAACAATAAAATGGATGAGACTATGATGATAAATTCTTCTTCAATGTTTGATATTAATAGAAATACAACTGATAATCATCTATTTCCCGATGTCAATAATCAGAATATAACTCATAAATTTAATTGTGGCATTTCAAAAACTGATAGAATAATCAGTTCACACCATTATTCTAATAATAAAATGAACACAATCAACAAATCTATTCGAAAATCTTCCTCTTCATCATTGACAACATCGAAATTAACAGCATTAAATAGATTTATGCCTGGAAAGATTATTACAAATACAAACAATGCATCAATTGACAATTATAATTCTAATCAACTCACTGTCAAATCATTTCATCAAAATAGTAATGAATTGGTAAATCCTATTGAATGAAAATTAAGGTGTTTTTATTTATTCAGTTAATCAAATTGATATTTTATTGGTTATTCATTATACTTTGCATTGCGGGGTTGTTCTGAAGATTGTTAAGTTTTATTTGTAACCATGAATCGATCAATGTTAGACCACCATTAGAAACCTGGAAGCACTGGATGGCCATTTCGTCCTGGTATGGGACTCATCATGGTTACAAATAAAACTTAACAATCTTCACAACAACCCCGCAATGCAATGACATGTGTCCACTAGTGACTAGCTTGGTGAGGAATCTTCTCCGAGTTCTAGTGGGAAGTCGTGACCAGTGAAGTTCAAACCTGTCCGGATGTATACAGGGTATGAGGTCACGCAACTCCGTGGATTTGATCAAGTTAGACACTAACACCGTTAGATACCGGCTCAGTAGTCTAACGGTTAGGGCGTTCACGCACAATACAGAAGGTCCTGGGTTCGAATCCTGCAAGGAGCAGGAGTCGTGGATGCGCACTGATGATGAGTCCCATGCCAGGACGAAACGGCCGTCCAGTGCATCCAGGTTTCTAATGGTGGTCTAATATTCATTATACATTGCGTTTTTAACCTTATTTTGTTGAAAATGATCATGTAGACAAATAAATACACAGGTGTGATGATCACAGTGTCTACGTGAGAAAAAAGTTTAAATTTTTTTGTTGAGTTCGAAGACAAATTGTATTCATTTATGCTTGCTTCAGTTGAAAACGAGGTCAATTTCTAACAGTGAATATTTTATCCATGATGACCTTGATACATTGATTGTTATTATTAAATCAGTTTCTTTTGTAAAAACCTAAAAAAGTTTAACTTTACTTAGTTCCAATGTTCACCTCGAAATTAAAACTTATGTCATTTTTAAAAGTAGGATACATTCGGTTTTCTTTATTATGATTTTCGATTTAGCATTTAAAAGTAAGTAAAATTCTCATCGAAATCACTAGCTGATGTTTGCGAGCTGGAGGCACTGACCGGGTATTTCGTTCTAGTCAACAGCGAGCATCCATGAACCTCAAATATGGGAATCAAACCCAGAGCCTTGGGTCTCGTGCATGAATATATGACCTATAACCGGCTCAGCCGGCTTCCAGTGGTATAATTACCTAACTCTGATCAATTCACTATACTGCACCACCATCATTAATTGTCCGAGGTATATAAGGGTCTCATACTCGATACGGTTGAACTCCAGTGGTCAAGGTTTCTCATTGAAACTTTTGCGATCGCATCTTGAAGATTGTTATTGAGTTATTGATGGAGATTGTACATATGTACTGCAATAACCTTAAACCTGCTTACCTACTCTGAATCAACAATTGCAACTCCCTTCCACTCGATACGTTAGGAAAATCGCTTTAACTCATCGTGTAGGTTTAGGTATGACCTTGATGATATTGCTTACCAATATATCTGATAAAAATATTCAGTGAATTTCAAGAACTGATTGGTTTAATCATCAGTGAAAGCTGTATATTCGATTTCTTACGTAATAATCTAAGTGCTGGGTTGAATATATGATACGAAACACAGATCTTTGAGGTGTTTCAAACTTACCTTCATTTTTATGTATTATGAGATTTGTTTTATGCTTCCAGATTCATTGTACCACTTAAATAACAAGCTCATTTAAGCTGGTCAAAATGTTGAGTATATTGCCGATTTACTTTTCATGAAGATTTTATACTGATAGCTCTCTTCTGAAACTACAATTAGATAAACGTATTTCCTATTCATCATTGGTTTTATTCAATGAAAATAGAAGTTTCATTATAAAAGTTGTATAACTCTCGGTAAGCTACCTCTTGTCGAATCAATTCAGATTCCAGCTTATGAGTGAAAATCTAGTGTAACAATGTGAACTAGCAAACAGATTGAAATAAAAAAGCTATAATACTACGAAATGAAATTCAGATTCCGAAACTGTGATCTAGTGAAATTTCGAGTTAATTAACGGTAACTTAGCCTCGTATCCTTTCCAGTTTCATCAGATTCTACTGTCTGTTTATTTTGCGAAGACATCAGACAACTATGACGTTTGGGATATTTGTATATATTTTGCCTGAAATATGGCTACATAACATTACAAGTCTAGTTAATCTCAATGCGTACATAACTGTTGATATGAAGCTGAATTACGTACATTAATTTATCCATAATCAATAGACAATAAGATATATTACAGTAATTAGTGGAAATAAAAGTTGGCATACATTCAGAAATAAACCATTATATTATGGTTCAATAAATATACATTGAAAATATAGAGCAGACTTTTGTCTTTTCTTTACATCACTTCTTCATGACATTAGGAAGCTACAACGTATAAAAATAGCCAGTTCTATCATTAGAAAGTTAATCATTAATGTCATTAAGACTGGAAAACTTCAATTATTCCACAACTTGTGATAATATTTACTTAAAGTTATCAATGCACTTAACTGTTTCACCATTTAACCTATCTGACTTTACAAGCTAACGTTTCACACTTTCGTTTTGAATAGTCTAACATGAAATGAGCTATTGATCAGTACATGATTTTTCATTTACATGGATGGTTAGTAAAGATCCTTCAAAGGTTGAAGAATCAATTCATGTGTTTCTTATTAGTGCTGGGATCTTGAACAGTACAGACTAACAACTTTATGCTATATCAAACAATACACAGTTTATTATTATTTAAAAGTGAGATTCAACCTAATAAAATTCACAATAAATAGGATTTTTTTCAAGCTCTAACTAGTTGTTTTTCTGTACAATTTAACAGAATCGAATGTATTTGCCTTCAGTTTATATAAGCACATTTACTGACAATTGGTACTATATACGTTTCTTTTTTATTACAAAGTGAAAAGGTTAATGTTTCTCATATGAAACGATACTGTGATTTTTAACTGAAATACCGTCTACTTAGTTTGGGCTGCTACACTGTCAAAGTGTCATATATATATTTGTATATACATTATATATATATATATATATATCGTGATTTTTTTCACTGGATAATATATTACTTGACATTTACTATCAAAATCTGCAAAATTTTTCAATTACAAATGTTGTACATTTTATATTATTACCAAATAAATAACATTTGTTTCAGTTTTGTTCAGTATGAATTAACTGATGAAGAAAATATTTTTAGTTATCAGACAGTTTAGTGTTAAGCTTGCAGAATTATCATTACGATGATGAGGTTAATTTGAAAAGAAAAAAAACAACTTGATAAGAATGGTTTTTCTTATCGGATGTATTTTTTGTTTGCATCAAATTTATTTTAAACAGACAAACAACACTTGAAATAATTAATTAATGATGCTTATTTTTCAAATGTTACAGGTTTGCTATTGTTGGAGTCATTCAATAGTCAATACATTTATTGATCGTTCAACTGGACTGAATGACATTTTGAATTCACTCGATGAATGTAATGTAAATAATAGTTTTGTGGATTATAGTGATCATATTGCTGCTGCTGATGATGATGATGATAAGAGTTTATTCAATAATGAATTATTAGATATACTAATGAAAGATTCATTTTCTCCAGATTCTTTCACATTTGATTCTTTATGGGATAATTTTCAATCTTCTCCAACAGTTCATAATTCATGCAATGATTTTAGCGAACTCAAAGCACCCATGTCCACTGGATTGTATTTATGTCTTTTACAGCCTGTATCCAATAAAATGTCATCATTTGATGATTTAATAAACTGTGTGAATTCCTCAACTAAACATAGTAACACTATTAGTCATAACAATAACGATAATAATATCAATGAAGATACGAATCAAAATAATCTCTTGAATTCATCTATCCACATTATTGAAGATTTACAAAAGTCAACTGGTCATGATAAACAAGATTCTTTAGTTTCATTTGAGCTACATAAAAACATCAATATTAAGCATCCAGATCAATCATCAGTAGAATTATCCAATGTCGATACGGCTATGCCAACTGAAATTTCTCCACATGAACAAAAACATGAGTGTATAAAAACAAACTCCTTCCAGTGTCATATATATTTAAATTATTCGTTGACAATAAAAATGGTTCATGGAAAGTAAGTGGTTTTGGAAAAAATTTTAAAAAAGTTTCAATGTAGTGTAATCGATAACTAGTTACAGCAATGTTATTGGTATAGAAGTTTGTGAGGATTGTTGAATGCTATTGAGATCATGTACTGATTTAAATTGAATAAGTATTGAGAAAAAAAGCACAAAAACAGCTATTTTGTCCTGTTATGGGACTCCTCAATATTGAATCTCTACAACCCAATTCTGTGATTAAAAAGGAGGGTTTGGGGTCTTTCTGAGATAACTCAATCTTCACACCATAGAGTCGGTATTCAATCATTTACACTCTTAAATCCAACTGATTTGTGATACTGAGTGACTGTTTTCCGACGCTACTGATGGTTAGCTTCCTGACACGAAACATAGGTGAATTCTACTGCCTAGTCATTACTTCCCAATAGAACGCTTTTCCATATAAGAATTTTGTTTGAAGCCGCAGCTTGGTCATTCAAACATTGAGTTTTCAGCCGATCGTTCGTTGGTTTAAACCCCTTTTCACCTTTTGGAAGCTAAGTAATTGTTATGGTTGTCAAATGATATACTTGAAACTATTACGAGTTCACCTTACTCAGTAAACAAGAGCGAAGACAACTGATGCAGTGACACGATAGGCTATTTTGATTCAATTCTCCTCGGCTGTGCTAACGATATCTAAAGTTTTGATATGGCGTAGAAAGTATATTCTACAAACACCCACAAAATATGAGGTCGACAAGCACACAAATCGAGTTTATTTAGACATCATAGAAACGTCCTTAGAACAGCCTTAAAAACAGCGTACTATAATAAAGCATCAACCAATAATAGCCAAGGATTTTCCGGGTGGGAAATGTCGTCTCAAGGTCAACTGATCAGCACACGCTCGAAAACATAATATCCGAAATCAGGACCTTTATCTAGTGAGTTCTGGAGATCTAACGTCCCCAACAGTAATATGAGTGATTTTCACAGAAATACTGTGGGTCAGTTTCCAGCTCAGGAACTTTTACTCGTTTTCACAAAGATAACATTCACCACAGGCGCATTATATTAATAAAATTCCATCAATCGATCAGTTTATGTTAATCTTCTAATTTTAAACTATCTCGTCTTTGTATCGGCCATAGCTCTATTTTTTAAACTAGAACTCTTCAGAATAATTATTTCTCAAAGATTGATTCCTATTTGATGCATATGTTTTACTACACGAGTTTATGAAGGTTGGTAAATTTCATAGTTTACATCACAGTCTGGTCTTAGTTAGACAACTATCAGAAATTAGAATACAGTGCCCAGAAATTTTTGCCCTATTATAGAAATCTTCAGAACTGTGCATAGATTTTTCAAGGATTATCTTTTTAATAAGGGCTGGTGGTCACGATTTTACTAATTTATATTCAGATTCAAACAAGAGATGATTTGTTTCTCAGTATGCTATATCCTCATATATTTGTGTAGAAAAGGCACGCCTAGACATATTGAGTACATGTTGTGATAAAATTTGGACTAGTCACTAGTTTTGAAATGTTTATAGTTTGGACAGTAAGGAAAGAAGCCATACTTGCTTCAGTATTAGCCAGGGACTGATCCCAGGACTTTAAGTTGTTGTGAAGAGTGCTTAACAGTTAGATCCTTTTTAGATCTCGCGTATCTTTATATAAACTCATGAAAACGTGTTTAAATTAAAGAATGATGGCAATTCCTAGCTTACTGAAAGAAATAGAATCATAAAACTTATCTAATAAATCAGTGGACCATTAACTAAATGGTTGAAATGTTTTGTTTGACCTTGACAAAATTCCTTATACTCAAACAACTTGTTTATAATTTTTGTTTTAACATGCTTGATTTATTTAATAGTTACACAGATTGTTTCGATATTGAAGATCAGAATGGTGTAGTCAATTATTCTTACCTTGAATTTATTCATCCCGATGATTTGCAAAATGTTATCACTATTTTTAATAAAAGTAGGTTTTCGTTCTTATTGTCAAAATTCAAAATTAATTATATTTCATATCGAAATTTAATCATAATTCACTGTCAGTGTATTAAAATAATATTTTTTAAAATAGAAACGAGTTAATCCATGAAAAAATCTATTAAAAAATAGATTCAACTTTAGAAATAACCAATTTTCTATGAAAATATGAAGTTATTTTGACATTAAGAGCTAGGTATTCAATACAATTAAGATGATAAGCGGGAAAAGCATTAACTGACTTCCATATCTGTTTGATATAGTGTGCTTGCATATAAAACGTTACTTCAAAACCTTATCTGATTACATGATGTGATTACTTTTCAATATGATAATCACAGGTTATTGTTTTATGATCTGATTTTACTGACATTTTTTGCAAAATTAAAAGCCTTTCAATCTATCACTAAAAATGTCTCCATTAAAAATTCACTGAAATAAATGAATAAATCTTCAGAAAATAACATTCTATTTAGTTATTGTATTAAATGCTTCAAACTGATTAATATCATGTTTGTAATGTTTCTGTACATCGTGACGACAATAAACCTGATTGATATATTTCCCGCGCTTAATCAATTAAAATCCAAGTGAAAGATTGATTTTTGATTGCTATAGTGATTGAAAAATTTAAACAGACTCCCATCACTATTAAGGTGTCTTAAAACAGAAACCTACTGTCGTTTTTCATTATCGATGGCCGTTGAGGATTCCTTAGATAAATTTCCAGAAACTGGTCGAAAGCTGAAACTATTTTCATCATTCAGCACTTAATAAAAACTTCCCAGAGAGTGTTCGGAAGACGGTGGGTTATTATGTTATGTTCTGGTTCGTTAACTACCGATTTCATGCGAATTTTAGCGTGTTTGCAGAAGCTTCTAAAGTATCAAGCTCACATAAAAATCTATGTATAATCATATTTTATTTCTAAACTAACACTAGAAGAGAAACTTCATTTCATATTTTCCACCTCTTCTCTTCTGTTCAAGGTTCAAGTTTAGAAGATATCTAGGATCTAGGGAGCGATTAAGAGTCAGTGTTAAGTGTTCAGTCATTATACATATCATTAACAGCTTCGGTGATTTCTCTTAAACACATTATTTGGTTAAAATAACAATACATCTTTGCATAAATGGTAATTTGCATAAAAATCAGTGCGTACTATACTACTGATAAATTCAGTCAAACGTAATTTTAATGAAATTTATACTAAGAATATATTATGATGTAGTTGAGTAGTCCCAAATAAGATAAAACATGCTCTGTGAATTCTACTGTCAGCCGCATACCAGGTTGATGTAATTCAAGAATATTCTGTTTTCATAAACTATACATTCTTCTTACTTACTTGCACATAATAAATTTTTACAACGCCTGTTATTTTGTCTAAATTTCTTTAGTAATTCATACAGATTCTATGGCATGGATCAGTCCATACAGAATATCAGGGCATAATAAAATGGTAGATAATGCAATTAAAAAATCCTATCGTTGGATACGTAGTTTAGTATCGTACAATAAATCGGAAAATATTTTTGTATGTTCTAGTCAATTTCTTGGGTAAGTGCTTATATTACCATTTTATTTCATTTACATATTTATTGTATGTGAATTTAGCTAATTTCTTTTTATGTTATTTTTTTGTCAAAATTAAGTCCAAGTTTCATCTACGTTGAATATGACATTAATTCAAATTGTGTTTATTTTGAGGTCACAATATGTTAAATTTGATCTTTAAATGTGGTTAGTGAGAAGTTTTAGATTTCTAATGATGAATAATGTTAAGATGTGCATTGTCTGAGATCTGAGCGATAACCACACCAATCCACCTCCAGACTAGCTGTTTTGAGTAAGGAGGCTGGAGTGGATGTTGACGTAGACGAAGCTGAAGAGGACGTCCACTTTACCCCATACAGAGTTTCTCGCAGTTGGATCAGTTCATTTTGTGAATGATGTTTGGTTTTTCTTCTTTTGTCATTTTGTCCTTTGGTTTACATAGGATTGACTGAAGCAGTTCTGTTGGTTTATGTGCTACAGCTATTCCAAATGATCTCAGTAATCTTGCTGTAATTTCCGGTACGGCTTTTATGCAGGGTAGGATGATCCGTAATATTAATCGATAACAATGATAGAACTGTACTATTTAACAATATCTTTTAAAAAAATAATCTAACGAAGGTATGATTGATATTTCTACAGTTACACTTTGGATGGTTTATTTTATGGATCCTAACATTCTTTATGCGTTTTTATTGCGAGACGTTTCGATTTGATTAGCAAGAAACCCTGTGCCATGGTTTTGTGCTAGTGAGTAGTATTCACCACCATGGCGTAACTGAAATACTGAAGGAATTGATGTTTTCTGGAGGATTCAGCAAGTTCGATAGTCTGAAAAGTCAACACTAAGTTACAAAGTGATTGACTGATAGATGATTGATTGAATGTAAAACGATTTGGTTGGAAATTCTTTTTGTTTCTTATACAGTTATATTTGATTAATTCTGAAATTTAACAAGCAGCTTAATTTAGTACTATTGTAGTTTTTTAACATGAAGAGGATCAATAACTTCCGCGTTTTGTTTGAATTTGTCGCAATTCTCTTTACATTTGTTATATATATATATATATATATATATATATATATATATATATATATATATATATATATATATATATATATATATATATATATGTATAACCGAATCTTGAAATATTGAAAATATTTAACTGAGTTAGTGAACCAAGACAATTATCACCTTGAAGTTATACTGTGTTTTTAATTTCAGTGAATATTTAATTAATTAATTTACACAAAACAAACTTTGACCTATGCTATCACAGGAAATTATTGATTATTCTTCTTAATTTAGATTAAGTGAATTATGCGTTAGTGCGGTTGGATCAAACCAAAGATTATTAAGTGTAGCTTTTGAAAGCTCACTTACACAGTTTGAATCAAAAGTGAATCATACTATTATCAATAACAGTAACATAGCTCCTCGAAATGCGGTGAAAACATTTAAATGTACTCCTTCAGATGAATATTCAATGAATCGTCGTTATCATCAACAGTTAAAAAGTAAACAACTTCGTATATCTAACACATCACTTCGTCCTGTACGGTTGAAATCTTTGACAACAAATAAAAAATATCCTACATCATTCATTATTAAAAATAATAATACTTATAAACCTATTAAATTGTTTCCATTTCAATCTTCACAATGTATTATAAAACAACAATCAAAACAAGGATGCGACCCGATTATTTCTACGAATAATCCGATTAAACCGATTCGATTACTTTCAGTCAATAATAACAAAGTGCCTTCTTCATCTTATTTGAATACGGATGGTTATAGTAATAACAAGCAAATCAATTCTGTATTAAATATTATTCCTTCAGTAAAATCATCATTACATCATTCATCGTCAAATTTATCATCCCTACCTTACTATGTAAAATCTACATTACCAGTAGTTAGTTGTATTACAAATTCTCCAAAAAAATTAATCTTCTTATCTTCAACTAGTTCTTTATCATCATCTGCTTCAACAATAACAACAACAACACCAGTGATTGTAAATAAATCACAATCATTTAAAGCTTTCAATGTATCTACAAATAAATGTCGAACTGATGATGTTGAACGAGGCAAATATATTGAATATCCGACAATATATCAGGACAATAGTACAACATCTTTAGATTACAACACTAGTATTCATTCTCCGTATTCAGAAATAAATGATCTTAACAATCAACCGGTAGGCTAAATTCATTACTACTATTGCTATTAAGGATTATTATTTATATTTTTAATGATTCTTAAAATAGATAAATGGTTCGCATGTTGTTATGAAAGTATAAAAAAGGTATCGAAAAGGATATAATACGAAAGAGTAAGGGTTTAGAAACGTTATATAAGCGATGAATGTCTCTTACCGACCATGTTTCGCAGCCATAAAGTAGGACGGAGCGAACTATTGCTGAATGCACTCATCCTTTTCTCAACATAGTGAAACTGATATCACCTGTCTTCATTAGTGTTATATATATATATATATATATATATATATATATATATATATATATATATATATTGAATCATTTAGTTAAATAAATTAGTGGAAAAATTAACTCACATAGAATGCAATCCATCTGAAACATGTTTCAACATGTCACATTATTTAAGATAAAAATGAATAAATAGTATGTATGTACAGAGCTGATTTATTTAACTGCTAAATGTCACATAAAAACATAAAACAATGTAATTCCTCTGTTAAATATTTAAGTAGTTTCTGTTATTTATTTACAAATATACAGATATTTGATCAAAATGATAATTGTGAAGCCTCGAACCCATTGAAATTGACTATTTGTAATGATCCTCAATGGAAATCATCTGATAATTGTTGGTCATCATCATCTTTAACAGACAATTCATCACCGCATTCAATCTATTCTTCAAATGGATCTAGTACATCAATTTGTCTTAGTCCAAATGAACAAAATCTCTTAGATTTCAATGTGAATCATCATCAAATGGAAGCTACTGTTAGTGAATTATTAGAAACAATACCATTGCCGAATAAATTATCCCATGAAACGGCAGATGATTTGAATGTAGTATATGATGCATATGATTCGGCAGCTATGCTAATTGACTATAATAATGATTCTGATTTATTGACATCAGTTTATGATTTTGAAAATAATAGTGAAGATTTTACAGGATTTCAATCAGATTTAATGACCGATTCAAATTTTCTTAGTAGTCCTGTATAAAACAGACAAACAAACAAACAAACTGTAAGTCTCATTTGAAAATAATCATTGTGTTTAGTAATAAACTTGAAATTTCGGTTGTTTTTTTTTAAGTAAAAAAAGTGTTTAACTGTTAACTTTATCATCAAACATGAATGTATGAATGTGATTAAATTTAGAAATATTGTAAACTATGAAGAATCTTCTCAACATACGTAAATGAAAAAGCGAAATTCTCCGATGCAACACAACATGCACCAACCAAATCACTCACTCTTGATGGAGATGCCTTGGAGGACGTTAACACCTTTACATATCTGGACAGCATCATCGAAAATCAAGGTGGATCCGATGCAGATGTGAGGGTGCAGATTGACAAAGCAAGGGCTGCTTTTCTACAGCTGACAAATATCTGGAACTCCAAACAACTTTCAACCAAAACCAACATCACGATTTTCAATACAAATGTCAAGACAGTTCTACAGTATGGAGCGGAAACATGGAGAACTACCAAAGCCATCATTCAGAAGATACAAGTGTTTATTAACAGCTGTCTACGCAAAATACTTCGTATTCGTTGGCCAGACACGATCAGTAACAACGAACTGTGGGAGAGAACAAGTCAGATTCCAGTGGAGGAGGAAATCAGGAAGAAGCGGTGGAAGTGGTGGATAGGACACACACTACGAAAAGCACCTAACTGGGTCACGAGACAAGCCCTCACACGGAACCCTCAAGATCAACGGAAAAGAGGAAGGCCAAGGAACACATTACGCCGAGAAATAGAGAAAGATATGAGAGGAATGAACAAACATTGGACAGAACTGGAGAGGGAAGCCCAGGACAGAGAAAACTGGTGGGCGGTCTATGCTCCATTCGGGGTAACAGGCGTAGGTAAGTAAGTATGAAGAATCTGATCGGATGCAATTTGGAATTGATCAATAATACAAAAGTGTTTGAATTTTTCTTTATTTTAAAAGTTAAAACTTCAAGCAATTTTAGCATTTAGTATGATTTTTATCATTTTAGCGGGTTTTCTTTTTCCAACTCAATAGATGGTAGAAAGTAGTAGAGTTCAGGGTGTTGCATTTGAACTTTTCAGAAAAAAACAGACATGATCATAAAGACAAATAAGACATTCACTTTTGAATGTCAATAACCGGGGGATTCAAACACTTGTTTACAACTATATTTCAATGGTTTGTTTATGAATGAATAGTATTCCATCGAAAGAATTTTCCGATGATTTAAGCACAATTCGCTGATTAAATTTTACATAATATTCTAGACATCCGTATAACAATGAGTGCACTATTGTCACATAAAAAAACGTTTTAAAAACTAAAAATTCATGTTATAAACACTATTTTAATGATGTTATATAAACTTATGAAATTTCAACTATTATTATATCTGTTGATAATATTTAAAATTGGTTGAAAATAATAATGTCCGGTTTTCATCACACATGATCAAAACAGAATCCAATTTTGTGACTGTCACGATAAACAATCTCTTTTGATGTGATTTTTTATACTACACAGTGTAGTAATAGAATCATCAAAATATATTGAGTGTTAGAGGTTTCTTGATACCGATGACAAAAAGAAATATTCTACAAAGTATACATTAACATTGATTAAATCTACAGTTAAATCAATATCTTGACCAAGAAGCTAAGGCTTTTTAAGTGTACATGGAAACTTTTCCTTATTGAATTATCGGCTAACAAGGTTATAAGTAATCTTAATTTGAATATAATCGAAGTTCAATCACTTAGTGCGCATAAATGATTTCTTAAAACAATGTCAAAGGTAATAATGGACAAAATTACGATTATTGAACAAATGAAACCAAATATTTTTTGGAAATATTAAGTGATTTAGTTTATCAAGTTTTACGTATAGAGAGCTACAGCTACACATGAGATAGGTTAGAAAAAAAGTTAATGACACTCTCTATGACAAATTCTTATTTTATTTAGAATAAACGAACTCAGAGAGAGGATTTCTCGTCATCACCAAGTAAATACTATCACTTCATATATCAGTTGAATACACACATATAAATCTTCATTGTCATGAGTTTAATTTGTAAAGATACATTCGTGATGACTAGTAGTTCTGCATAGAATGAATACTTTTGTTTTGGCTTTTAGCGCTAACCACTTTCTATCGATTATTTATTGTACATTAAGGTGTCAACATTTTATTGAATCTTTAAATGTTTAAAAGTATTTGCCTGGAAGGTAATCCTTAAATCTACTGTCACAAGGATATCATCATAAGATTAATAGAATTCAATGGAAATATTTACCAATAATGCTACAGTACAATCTATAAACGAACGGTATTAGAAAGACCACATGATTGAATGATGAGTGGGATTGTTTACTTGTTATGCATTTTTAGAAAACAACACATGTATATTTTTTTTATTGTCAAACTTTTGTTGTTTTCCTTTAGAGAACTAATACACCAACTATAACTGGAAATTAACTACTACTTTTAACTGCTGGAATGATGAAACAAGTCGGAATTATGTGCTTAATTCAAACTTTCTTCTCATGTACTTTATAAAAGAGTAAAGAAAATCAGTGGTAAACAACTACTACTACTCCTACTACTGCTATCTGTGAGGACACGTCGTTAATCACCGTTTCATTTCAAAACTGTATATTTTTAAAAAAAAATTCTGTTTTCATTCAAAAATTTTGTGATATCATTTAAAATTATTGGTCACCTTTTTTTTCAAATACCCATGGCCAGTACTTCCTTGCCTGTCTATCTTATCTACCTACCTATCTATCTATCAATCTATCTATTTATCTATCTATCTATGTGTATCTAATTTAAATTACCTTACTTATGTTTATACCTTGTTTATCTCTGTAATAATTTATATAACAATGTGAATTTAGCATTGTTCATTCAAAAGAGACTTTGTAATATAACAATAAATCAAGTAGTAAGTAAGCAAAGCAATACATACAGAGGCAATTTTGAACAAAACAATAAAATTTTTATTGAATCAATTTCTTTTTTTTTGATTGAATGATTTCTTGTTTAGTTTTTAAGGTGGAAATACACAAGAGATATTATTAGTGAGAATTATAGTTGCAATAATCTTAAGTGAATAGAACTTGAATGATTCTTAAGTTTCGTTTAGCGAAATTGTCTAAGCTTCTTAATGGTAATAATAATAATAGTAATAATAATAATAATAATAATAATAATAATAATAATAGCTTTATGTTATATAGATAGTCATTATTCGATGAATTAACGTTAATCACGTGTTAATTAGAAAATAAGTGCCAATTGGAAATATTCTTAAAAATATCGATGTGCATGTGAAGTGAGAATCATCAAATACATTGTTGTGATATTAAATATTCGAAATAATTTATCGGAACAACGCTGCTTATACAAAAAACAGATAGAGAAAAGGTGTAGAAAGGATTTGATTGTGACCGATTTGGTCTCGTGTGCTTTTATGGGTGCGAGGGCGGATGTTACTTCCCAGCTGCTCACACTATGGAAGGGTTCAGGTTGTTAGAAGGGGGTATCGGCCTCATGACTTCCGAAGGAACTCAGCTTTCATCATGAGACGTCATAACTCCTCTAAATGAAAACCTTCTAGTTCCCAGAGCAGAGTTTATATGGTTTGAATTATTTTTTCTTGTTAGCGTTTTTTGGCAAGTCAGTTTTTTCTGGGATGCGGTCGCCAACAACAATCCTAACCCTCTTCCTTTATCCGGGCTTGGTACCGGCAGTAGCCCCTAAGGGTCTACAGGCGGAGTTACAGAAAACGTCCAGTTATTTGTTATTTTCCAAGAGGTACTTAGTTGGACACCATCTTTTCTGTTTATGCTGTTCTGACCAGCCCATATATACAATGTTTCTACTGTCAATCATTCTTTATGTGTTCTAGACCTTTTCTGATATATTTTGGTCCTCACAAATTTGATCTTGCGTCCTGTTTTTAACGTATGTAATGCTATTTTCGATTTATTCTGAAGTATTTTGAGATCAACCGAAGATTTGGCAACATGTTTCAAGCAGTGCTTACGTTCTTTCAACCTAGCATTCAAGTGTCCGCTTAAATCAAATTTCAGTCATGACAATTGGTTGCACAGACGACATTCTGTTGTTCTTACTTTGGGAGTCTATCCTTAACTTTCACTAGCGCCGATATTATGGTATCATTGACACTCCTACCTTATGCTTGTTCAGAATTCTCCTAATTTCTCCCGCTGTTTCTTCAAAGCATGAGATGAGAATGATGTTCTTCTGTTCCTTTGGTATACTCTATTTTTCCTTTCGTTTCTAACAATCTTCTTTAAAATGTCTATAGGGTGATTATTTGCTTAAATTGTAGACAGTATTATATTTAATTCAGCCTGATGGTCTTTTCCTTCTGTAGTGAGATTATAACTCCTGTTGACTAAATTTTTCACTACTTTGATCTTCGTCGAATAAGAGGGAAACAAACCGTAGTCTAATTATCGTTCATAATGTGTTTATTTCCGGAAAACTGTCTTCTTTCAACCGAAAAATCGAGAAACGCTAGTCTATAAGGTCAGCGGATTCTATCTCCATGGTTAGATTAATGCTGTCGGACATGCTGTTTACATTTCTAAGTATTTGTTTTAAATCATACCGTTTGATGATGACAAAAATGCTATCTACACACCACAAACATACTTTAGGTGGACCTACACACTTGGTATTCGTACTGGTTACTAAAGAATGCATGAATAAATTTGCTACAGTCGGTGAATCCATCACCACACCTTTCTATTTATAAAGTTCTCGGAATAAGGTGAATCGTAAACACAATTCAAAACACTTAATAACCGTGAAACGATCTGACGGGAATCGTAAATTCAAATGTGTCTGATTCTAAACAATCATAATTAACATCCAATAATCTACCACTTTGACTGGAACAGCATTCAGTGAGAACAAGTTTATTGTGACTATTCGGTATAGGGGACTAAGGAAAGAATCCAAACAAAGAAGCAGAGGGCTTCTGATCCCCAAAGATGAGAGTGCGCCTATAGGAAGTTGTTGGTTGACTGACCATACGGAAACCTTCAGATAATTCAAAGTATAGCACTAAGACTATGTATCCTCGCTTACTTTGAGTACAGACTAAATTGCAAAAGTCAAAATGGTATTTCATACAAGATCGATTTTTAAGAAGGCCATGTTAGGAATTTATAATACGTTTTCCAGTGAGTAAACAGTTAGAAAATTCGTCACCAAATGTTTTTCCATTAACATTGAGATAGCTGGAATAATTTTGATGGGCGGATAATTGTTTATATCACTCTTATCTCCAGATTTGTAACTGGGTTTGATATATGGGGTTTTCCAACAGTCAGGGTAAGTGCCAGTCTCTAGAGAGAGAGTGTAGGCAGCTTTGGAAGAAGTAGTGGTATTCCAACCAGATCCACAATATTTGAGGAGAATGGATGGAATCCCGTGTGCTACATGACTGTTTGAAACTTTGAGGGAGATAACAGCTTTACTTGTTGGTAGATAAATGAGAGAGAACTAACTTATTGAGTTACTAGTTAAATAAATTATTTTTGAATAAGTGATGGTTAAGAACTCAATATCATTTGCAAAAATATTACTGAAAAAGTTTGCAATGGTTTTGGAGTCATTTACAAATGTGTCACAATATGCAAGATACACAGTATATCTGCACTTTGAGATGGATGCTCTAATGCGTTTACTGCAAAGGAGTATTAAGTTTTGCACTTTTGAGTTGTTATTAAGTGCTACCAACTTGCTCATCGACGGCTTTTAACCTGTGCTTTTCCTTAATTCGGTTAGAAATTATAGTCATTTGTACAACTGCCCTAAACTCATTTGGATTAAAGTAAAGTTTCTGCAGACGTCTTAATTTATTACGATATTTAATTGGTATACATAATTCGTTAGGTTCACTAGGCCGATATGTTTTGAGAGGTGAACAGGAATATAATCATGAGTTAATAATCTGATAGCGTGTGTCAGTGGCATTTACAAGACTGTTACTTAGGAAGAATGTATCCGAACAAGGGGATCTTACTGCGGTATGCAGAAGTTCCCAGTCAGCACGTTAGTAATCCTTGTGTTCACTAATTTTCTGTGTGAGATTATTTATTATAAAAGGAATGGATAGGGAGAGTACCATCTACTATCTTATGGTCACTACTTTCAAATACATCGATTGCTTGTATACGTAGGTAAATTGTATCTCTGCAAAATATTAGATCTAGTATATTATAGTGTATTGTTAGGGACCAAGTTCACTATGATCAACAGTGCATGTGGATTGCTGCTAAGAATACGTCATCATCTGACTGGTTACTAGCGGTATTCCAGAGTACTTGGAATCTCTTGTAATGACACTCACATTGAAATGCATTGATAATAAGACCATTCACATTAGCAGAAGTATCAGATACTCTGTAGATACATATATCCCGGGAGTAGACTATGATTCGGAGTGTTAACTACTATTCAGACCGATTCAAGTTAACTACTCAAGAAATTATCTTCAGCTTTATTAATTGTTAGGAGACTTAGAACATATATAAGGCAGCCACCTATACGTTTGGTTTCTTGGTTACAGCAATATACCTTGTAGTTCAGAATATTGAATTTGGAATCAGACACTAAGGTAGAGTACCATGTTTCAGTGACAAGTATGAGTAAAGTTTTGGCTAGTAAAGCTAAGGTACTTAAGGCTGAACTTCTATATAGAATTAAACGTGCATTGATAAGCAGTAAGCCTAACAAGGAAGAAAGGATTGCACATAACCAATAACATTCTTATCTATGTTGAGCATTTTAGTGGTGACTAGACTATGGTCTGGTTTGGGTGCTTGATCGTATGGGCTATGGCTTGTACAAGCTGTAGGCCATGTGCGACTAGAAGAACAGATTCTGCTCTAATAGTATCTTCAATATTATCGAGACAAAGTAGCTGAAGAGGTGACAGAGCCTTTATTCCTTGCTTAAGATCTTCATGTATTGATGGGGAATTTGCAAGCGACTCCACTTGAGAACGTATTTTGCTTAATTGTCTATATTTACTGTCCAGTTCACACTTCATATTATCTTTGTTATCGCATCTTGGTGTGCAAGTCGTCAGACCTTAAGATCATGAATAAATCTTCGGCATATGTGGCGTAAGTCTCATCATTATACTGTCAGTTTCAAAAGGAGTCAATGGGCGAGAAGTATACTTAAAAACAGAATTACTCTTATCCAAGGTATTTTGGGCTATTACGTGCTCGTTTCTTTGACATGCGACTCATATAGATATATGTCAATCTTAATATATGTTATATTTACAGAGTGCATAATTATAACTATTTACTTTTTTCTAAAAGAGTGTGTTATTGTAACGCAAAGACCAAAGGTACCATGATGTTATAACTAGCACCACAGACTAATAAACTGCCTAACATGTATGTACTTCAGTTGTAGAAAGATAAAACTCAAATTATTATAATCTAAGACGCAAATCAATTATATCAGTGTGATAAAATTAAATAAACAAACAGTTATTTTTTTTTCCAAACAATACAATTAATTTCTTAGGCTAACAATAATAATAATAATGATACAAAAGTATAAATTTCAAAGAAAAAAAAGAAAAGAGAGTTTATTAACAAAGTAAGAAAACAGCACAGAATATTTTCGCGATAAGAAGTAATACTAAATTAACAAAAACAATAGAAGACAATATTCATGAAATTTTTCACACACACACACACACACAGAAGAATGTATACATGTTATTACATAAAAATAAGACAATGAAAAGAGAGTAAATGATAAAAAAAAATAATCCGATTGAATTATCGATATTTGTTCATATCATCATTGAAAAAGAAAAAACCAATTCCTATCATAATTATTATCGGCATAATTTGACAATTAACACGATAATAAATATATATGTATGTATATAAGAATGAAGCCTACAACAGAATTTTTGAAAATGATCATGACATATTGGTTGATCATCGAATAGTTGAATAAATATTAGAATAATCCTATTGTTTGGAATCATTTTTTGTTGTTACAATAAAATTACAATAAAATAAAATTCTAAGGATATAAAATACATTTTCACTGGTATAACAATACAATATAAGTAGTAATAATAATAATAATAATGATACAAAGATGTTTATAATTGTTTCTTGAAGGAACAAACAACAACTAGGTGTTTGTTCATTATTCTTTTTTTTAAATATAACGTTTCACATGTCGATGAAGAATAAATAGTGTAACAACTGTACATTGAAATTTATTTGTTTATAATAAATCGGATCATGTACAGAATATACTGACACACACACACTGAATAGATAAAAAGGAATAAATCACTATATATATGTATATATATATATATATATATATATATATATATATATATATATATGAATAGACGATTGGAAGACAAATTGTTGTGAACATATATATATATATATATAGTTATTTAATCGATAAAATTCCAAAACCTTCATTCTATCATTGTTACATTTCCATTTCCAATATCAATTTGCTTCAACTAGATTGGTTCAAAAGAATGTGTAACATAAAAACGAACACACAATGAATAAACCATAATTAAGAATAATGAAACATAATTGGATAATAATCAATAATCAATGAATTGACAGATTTATTTATATACCCTTCATTATGTTAGAAAATTGAAAATTAACAGCAACAGCAACAGCAGTAGTTGTTGTTGTCAATGCAGTCATAAGAAAATTTATAGAAATTTGTTATTTTTACCAGTTAACAAAATTACTTTCCTATTTGTGGAATATAACAATGTACTATTCAGTGATACATAAAAAGAAGATATTTTTTTGGCAAGAAACGCAAGTGACTTTGATGAGGCGATTAACACGAATTCAATTGCTTTTTCAATCAGAGTTATGAAGATAATTGTTTTTACACATTTGAAATTATTAATCAATCATTGTTAGGCCACCGTTAGGCGTTCGAGCGCAAGACCGAAGGCCCCAGGTTCGAATCCAGCGAGGTGCAGGAGTCGTGGGCGCGCAATGGTGATGAGTCCTATACCAGGACGAAATAGCCGTCCAGTGCTTCCATGTTCCTAATGGTGGTCTAACAATGACTGATTGATGATTTCAAATGTCGAAAATCAATTGTGTTTTGTAAATGATAAACAGATTGAACAAAATGATGATTACTTTTTTTCCCCTGTTTAATCTAAAAACTAAGTCGGAGTGAAATTAGGTATGTTATAAACGTTTCAGGAATTATTCTTTACCAACAGTATATATTCATTTTTTTCAATTATACACAAGATATCTATAAAAAGAAAAGCAGTAATGATATATTTTTAAAAACCTAGTCAATCGAACTTTGAATTTTCTAAATATCATGACTTATTGTAAGTTGATTCTTCAAAGTACAAATGAATCACATGTCAGAAACAAATGTCTTATCTTCTCATCTCATAATAAGAAAAATACAATCATTTAATAGGAATAACTTCAGTTATGTATATTTTACACAGATAGGATATATTTAAGTATCTATGTTATTGGGGGAAATTAAATTTTTCGATAGAATCAACTCACATATATATATATATATATATATATATATATATATATATATATATAAAAGCCAAATAGTGCGTTGACAAGAGAACATAAGTAGATACCTAGATGATAGATAGTTCCGACTATAAAGTCAGTACTTCAATTATACTAGGGGATCGTCAGGTATATTTACCAAAATAAAACAAGCTGGTGAATCTTAGTATAAATGTTATGTGATATGCTACTGCTTATTTTGTAGTGGATTCAGGATACTTATGACTGATTCGCACAAAATATGACAAGAATTTCTAATAGGGTTTTGTTAACATTGTGTTATTCTTATTTTTGAATTTTTGTAAAAGTTTGTGTGAATTGACAAGGTGAAACGTGAAAACATGTACATAATTGCTTGAACAACTACATACCGGATGATTTATTTTCATATGAATTATGTTTACGATATATTTTATTTTCATTAGTAAACATGAAAAAAAAATCACAAGATCATAGAACTTTTCATTTAAAATTTATTACAGAACAAAGGAATTCCACAGAAGTTAAACTGATGTTCATTTTAGTAGAACTATTGACTGAATATATCCAGTCTCTGAAAGCTTAGCTAAGAATTGGACTCTACAGAATAAAATTATATCAAACTTGACACTCGACAGTATGTAGGCATGCTGAGTTGCAGAAAACACTCATACCAATAACATCATACATTTTTAAAATCATAGTCAAACTACTTATGTACATTGTAAGTAGTACACAACAGCCGACGTAAAAAGAATGTCTCTGTTTAGTCAAGAAATTCACTTTTCTTCAAAAGAGTAACATAAATTTAGGCAACAGTCTTAATGAGGAATTATTTCCTACCATATTATTGTCTAAACCAGAAAAATACTTTAAAACCTAAACGAGAGTAAACGATATATATTTATATATGCACATAATGTTTTATCTATATCTGTATATATTACATTTGATTTTATAGAATAAATTTTTCTGCTGACTGCTGTTAAAGTGCTTTTCCATATTATTGAGACTAATTTTAACTGTGGAATATTAGTGGAATAAAATCCAATCTCTATGCTGATCGATTTCCTAATTAAAATCAAAACTTGGTAGAAATTACAGTGGAATAGTGTGGTAGTTCGCTGTCAACTAAATCAGGGCAACGTGGAATTGTTCATAATCAAGAACGAGATATCAACAATAACAACGTATATTCTCAGAATATGAAGTAGGGAACTTGAGAATTAGTAGTTTATCGCACAACATGCTCTAGTATAGACATGTGATGCGCTGGTTGAAGTATTGTTTGTTTACACTCACTAGCAGGTCATTGGATGGTTTGAGTTGTAACTGATATATTCTTTGATTCCATATATTCAGTGAATGTTTTACAGTAGAACGTGTATAGGCGTATAACAGCAATTGCATAAACAATTTCAATATGATTGAATAATCAAATATTTTGATTGCAAAATAAACAGATAAGTGTGATCAATTATCTGGAATCGGAAAATATAAGGCTAAACATTTTGACTAGATGGAGAAAATGTATTAAGTCTTTCCCGACATTTCAATACTTTATGTTAATTTCGTATATTAAGTCTTAGATGTGTTATGTTCTATGATTCTGTAACCTAGACAAAATATCTGTCCCAAAACTTCTGGATTTTACGGAGTTCCATAAGTAATGTCAGCTGACGACATGATGATGACATTTGTCGGACGATAAGGAGTTTACTCAACATTTGAAAATACTGGTAGTTCGGTAACTACTATGTATTACATATGCATGAATAAATTTATACATCTATGGTTGACTCACAAGGCTGAAGGTTGACATTTTATCCAGGTCTGGAAGATCGTGAGTATCCAGATTTAGAATGACGAGGTGTTTGGGATTGATTTGTAAATCCAGATGTTGTAAGTGGTGCAGTTTCTTCATGAGGCCGTTGTCGTCCCGTAGAACCACTTTTGTTGCTTTGCTGAAATGATAACAAAAAATATTCATTGAAAGAAACAAAACATGGTCCAATATCAAAATATCGAACTTCATCATTTTACAATCATTGACGAATGAACAAAATGTGCATCGGTATTGTAGATAAATTTATTAGCTACTTAAAAATCACCAATCCTCATAAACTTAACAACCATCCACTTAACACAGCATCAATGACCACAAATTTTTGATGATAGAAATAAGTGAGATTTTTCATAAATAACTTCACATCATTAAAAAGCTATTGTCACTGAAGTCGTCCACGTGGTAAATATGTTTTCAAAAATGTGAACAAATAAGGCCGAAATTCGGTAGATAATTACTTCAAGGTTGTATGTAGCATATGTACTTGAAAAAAATTGGAAGTTTCGTAAAACAAAAACGACAACAATTCTCCTAGGAGCGATACTAATTCTCTTTTATACAAAACTTTATTGTAACCGCCTTCATGATTATCGTTGAATAGAACAACGATGATAATACTGACTACCTGACGCAGTTGAATATTATGATCAAAACTGAGGACTCGAATTTCTTTCTGTACATAACATCCTACAGCTTAACAGTGCAATTATCACAATTTGAATAGTTTCCTTCAAGAAGGACAAAAATTTACAGATTCGACTTTTAAACATTTAACAAAATTGTATGGAATATGTTACAGGAAAAAATATTTCATCGTTCAAATGCGAATAATCCACTGATCTGTTCTTGAGTTTAATGTGAATAGTCAAAAATTCTGAATGGTAGAACAAATGATGATGTTGTGACTATGCCATCACAACGTAGAAAACTAAACTGAACCAAACTTAAAATTCAAAAAACCCTAATCATTTATTATTTTATTTTGTGAACTTATAACTAGTGGAGCTCAGGTATATTGGGATTAAAAAAATTATTTTGAATGGTATTTGCTGCTCGTCGAGCTATGTAACGAAATAAAATGAAGTTTGTATTGTACCACCGGATGCGAGCCAAATGGTCCGAATGGTAAATACTTCCAGCGAGACCTGATGGTCTTGGATGCACATTACAATATTAGGAGGAAATAATAGTCCAGGGTTCCAGGGATTTCAACGATACCTCAACTCTAATCAATCTTTGATAAATACAACCAACAAATCGCGCTCTTATAAGTGTGGTTATTAAGTTGGTTTTAGTAGCAAAACCATTATCGCTTGGTTATCGCACACAAACACGCTCATATAAACAGTAATTTATTCGTTAAATTCACCTTTTATAATAACAAACTTGCATATGCCGGCTTGGAAAATAACTACATAAAGAAATTTTGACACGAAGTATGAACTTTGACCGTAAGTTTAAATTTTTTTTCAATTTGATAGGATATTGTTTCAATGATGATAACTTATAGGTTAACAACTTTTTGTGTTTGCGTTTGCAATTATTGCGTATATGGTGAAAGATTTATTTAAAAGATATTTTATGTTTTATATCAAAAATCAGGACGTAAATATGTTGAAAATATGACGTAACCATCGGAAACTAACACGTGAAACAGTAAAAGATCAAGATTTAGCACAATGTAAGGAAGATTTTATTAGTGACGCAATAACTGGACAACTTATCGACTGAGTAGAAATAGATTTTATTGACATCTGATGATTAGTCAACACATATCATACATAACTGAAGGGAAGAGAAAACAAAATGGATTTTCTTCATATAATTTACACAAAATAAGTGTTGCACTGAAATAAAACAAATGTTATGCTCAATAGATACAACAATGAATTAAAGTACAATATCAAGTTATACTTCATTCTGACAAAAGATTATTCATTAGTGAATAAATGTCATGTTTCTACATACTTATAGTATAATCTCTACAGAAAAAAAAAATAAACAAACAACCCAATTCATTGGTTAAATAATATTTCACACATACCTTACAATGATTACTTTTAACTGGTTTCGATTCACCCATAGTTGATGGTGACAAAAGAGTTGAATTTTCATGTACACTTCCTACATTACTATCAATTTGAGTGCCAGGATTGATACTGGAACCTAAACCAGAAGTTGTATAGTTCAATCCAGGCTCATCATCTATCATATGTGCTGATTCATCAGCATTAGAATATAATCTATGCGAGAGATGATTTGATTTTTTACTTAAACCATTCAATGAATCAGTTAATGATTGCATACTATGAATATTGCTTGGTGTATTATGATTGAATTCATGAAATGAATTAGTTAATAATAATAGAGATTTTGGTAATCCATTCATTGCATAACTATGATCAGTCATCTCCTGGATGAAAAGAATAGAAGAATAGATTAACTTGAATTATGGAAAGCAAAAAATTCAAAAAATATATTTTTTGTTTTTGAAATAGCAGCGGAAAGTGAAAAGAAAAAAAAGATTGGGGAGAAAAGAAATTGACAAACAAGTTGAGCTTTTCTAATTAAATGCATACTAAGAAAATGAATCATGAATATTCATTATTTGTATAAAAGTGAAGATTATTGTCAAATTGTGTGAAAACTAAGATGATAGATAGATAGATAATCAACTTGGTTCAATCAATATTAACCACTGGAATGTCAATTATGATTACATCATGTGAATAGCTAATTTGGTTAGATCAACAGCAGTCAATTAGGTAAACACAGTTAGTTTAAATAGAGTCTCTAAAATGCAATACAGAGAGTAATGCACCTTCTCTATGATTAAATAAAATGATGGATTTATTCAAAGTGGGAAATTTACTGATTAATCAAGTGTGCATAACAGATACAGAATAATTTTTTTGAAATCTCCGGAAAAATCGAATAATTGTTTGTAAAAAAGACTTGTCTAAGAAACTTGCTTACTTATAGATTTCATTCACCTTAAAAAGACGAATAAAAAGTACATGATCATTTACATGATATTGTTCGGAAGAAACGTCCATTGTCTATATTATTTGATAAATCATTTGGATTTTATTGTTACTCTGTTCTGCTAAGAACAAACTTCAACATTAGAAAGTCAAGTTGTTTCATATATGTCAGTATAAGGTTGTGGAGAGTATTCAGTTTCATCGAACTCATAAAACGACCAATCTTTGGCCACCATTTGGATATCATTCCAAGTTGCCTCGGGGTGGGCATGACTCATATAGCTGCCTAGCTACTTTTCGAGTTGTTCCTGCAATATATTCTCACAGGCCACCATTGGAAACCTGAAAGCAATGAATGGCCGTTTCGTCCTAGAATGCGATTCATCACCAATGCGCATCCATGAGCCCCGCTCAAAGGAGTCGAACCTATGACTTCTGATCTTATGCACAAATGCATGAGCCAATGAGTCGGCATTCAACGGTGTTACTGTCTACTTTCAATCAACCCACGGTATTACCCTACCTTATCAATTGTCTTCGGTGGGTAACTGTTTCACATCCGACACGGTTTTATTTTTATTTGTTAGACTCATTGAATTCTTGAGAAAAAGAATCGTATCAATTGTAAGGTTAAACCATTTTCTATTCCAAAACTAAAAAGAAGAAAACTCCTTCTTTACATCTTTGAGATCAGTCTATATTCTTAATTTTAAGTTAATATAAAATGAATATTTTCCTTAAAAATTTCAATTATTAACTATATTCTCAAAAGGCAGGTTGTTTAATGTGAGAAATATAAAAAATGTTAATATTTTGGTACATCAGTGCCATCAGTTTCACAAGAGTATGAGCTTAAAATTCTAAACGCTTAAATATTTTCTAACGAATTGAAACAGAGATGGAGTGAACGAGAGAATACCCAGCAAGTTCGTTGTTCCTTGTTTATGATCATTTATGCGTAACGAAGAGTAGAGCTTAGTCAAATAAAATTTAGATTAAGGAAAAAACATAATTGAAAATGTGATACCTGAATTTCTTGATTATTTGTAAAATGATCTTTTATAATTTTGGAATCTGTATTAGAATTTAATAAATCACAAATTCTTTGTCCAAACAATGTTGATGAATTAGTACAATTCATTTCATTGACTGTTGATGTGTTCATTGGATTACTATTATGATTATTATTATTTTGGTTAAGATTATGTTGTTGTAATTCAGCTCGAACTGCTGACAAAACAGTCTCCAACCGTTTACCATGTTCAGTTAATTCAGTTTGAGAAGCAATCTATTAAAAAGAAAATTTTTTGAGAAATATGTTCTATTTATTGAATTTAAAAGTGAAATAAAATGTTTACAAAATATATAACACTCTATTTTATTGGACATGCAGATAGACACACAACAAGTACACGAACGAACGAACATATACATCAATTTACAAAGAAAAAAAAATATGGTTCCAATCGCATTCATGTTGACTGGATTTCTTTTTTTCTGTCGGATGACCTCTAATCTCATGATTTTGATAGAACAGTGCAAAGACGTAATTGATTTGACATTGATCGAACAAACTGTTTGGTGCAAATACATCACATGTTTCAGATTGATTACGTCTTCTCACTGTTCTATCAAAATTTATAAAAGGGACTAATTGCTTTAAAAATCTCATAGTTGGTTGATTATTTATAATTTCATTGTGAAATACATGAAAGTAACATAAAAACGAATGAACTAACTAACAGTGTCATTCTCATCACAATAGTTCATGCCATTTACGATTAAATAGTGAAATGAATTCGAGATGATATGGTTCAATGTTCAATTTTAAAAAAAATAAATTTTAACACCGGAACAAAAAAGAAATCAATGTATAGTCGATTACTGAACAAACAAAAAAACACAAAATAATAATTCACAACAGGGAACGAAATGATTTGTTAACAGTAAGACAATAAAGTAAATGAGGAAATATAATAATAATAATAATAATAATAATAATAATAATAATAATAATAATAATAAAAATTTCATTCAATGCATACACAAATGACAACAAATAACCTTCACCATGATTGGTTTATGTTGTAAGTAAATAAGCATGCATTCCCATTAGTTTTTAAAACATAAACAAACATTCACTTGACAAATGTAATACAACAATAAATAAACATGAACAAATAAAAATGAATGTATTGGAAAAAGTAGTTTTTTTATTTATTTGGTAGTTACCGTAATTACTTCATCCATAAGAATTCCATAAGTGGTAATCTTGTGTGTAAAATAAGGGAAGATATTTAAATAAATACAAAACATTTTAGAATATATGATGAATGAAGTAGTAAGGAGGTGGGTAATAGTGATGTGATGCAATAACATGGATTCAGTTTCTACTTATTTTTAACAATGAAAGCTTGAAACGACATGCTCTTACTTTAATAACTAACTTAGGAATTCATCTGATTCGATAAGATTAAAATACACTTGGATCATTGAATGAATCAATGATTGATTCAAAGTATTGTGAGTAATAGTGAAGTTATTTCTGACTACCACAACAATTATTGGATTTGTTAGTGAACATAAAAAACTATTATACTCGGTATACTACATGACCACACTCTCAAATTAAAAGTCAACAATTAAATATATCATTGAAATCATGAGTCGATGAATGTTAGACCACTATTCGAAACCTGAAAGCATTGAATGACCGTCTCATCAGCAGTGTGTATTCAGGACTCCACAAGCAGGAAGCGAACCCATATCTTTCGGTCTCGCACGCGAACGCTTAATCTCTAAACGACTGAGCCGGCATCCAACGGTATTAATGTCTATCTGTTATCAACCCATGACACTGCGTGATCATCCATTGTCTTCAGTAGGTAATTAACTGCTTCACATCCGATTCGAATGAACTCCACTGGTAACGACTTTTCACTAAAACTCGGAGACATCCCTCACAAAGCTAAGCACTAGTGGGCGTATGGTAATTATCAGCATAGGGTTGTAGAGATTTCACTGAAACTCAACAATCTCCACAACCCTATATTGACAATTATATATATATATATATAAGCCTCTAATCTCCACTACTCCCAGTCCCACTTGGTGGACAAACGGCGATTTTCAAAACATGCTATTTCTAGGTGATCATATTAGTCCAGGAAAAAAATATAAGAACTAAACAAATGAATCAATAGTAGATTTTGTGCATAAGATTATGTCATCAATATTATTGTCCAGTTAATTTACATGTAACAGTGATAAACTCCTTTTAACTAAAGAGAAACTTAAAAATATCAAACATTGTAATTAAAGAAGAAACAAAAACAGTTATTAAACTTACTTGACTTTTTAGTTGAGCATATTGACGTCTAGCTAAAGATAATTGTTCAGTGAGATCACCTGCACGATTGCATTGTTCTTCAGCAACACGTTCCAATTCAGCAACTTCACGTGCTGTACGTCGTTTTAAACGTTTTGATTCACGTTGAGCAGCTATTAATGCAGATTTTGTATCCATTAATGCTTGTAAAAGATTATTATTATTAATATTATTATTATTCATAGTAGTAGCAGTAGTAGTAGTATTATTATTGTTCTCATGTAATTTAGTCATATTATCCATTTCTAATTCATTAAACTGTTGTTGATTATAAATCATTTGTTTATTTTTATCATCTAATTGTGATTTGATTCGTTGTTGTTTGTTTTATAGAAAGAAAATGAAGAATAAACAAAGAAAAAATTAAAAATCATTTCAATAAACAAGAATACAAAGAATATTTACTGGAAATTTTTATGATACATAGTAAATAATCAACACTGGAAGATGGCGTTTACGGAGTTTCAGTTGGATGAACTGATTGTAGGTAATATCTATGACTCTAATTTTTAAAAAAAAAACAATAATTAATTTAAAGAAATAAGACTTTTTAAAAATAATGATCAATAACCCAATTAAACGAACACCGAGTTGCTTTACTGTTCAATGATTCTCTTTAACTGATCAAATTTTCTCATGAGAAACTGTCATCACGTATTTCATTGGGATTCACAATGGACTTCAAATTAACTAATAGACAAATAGAATTATAGTAGCATTTTATTTTAAACTATTACATCTCTACTCATTTGTCCTAATCACTTCTATGAATTATAGTGAGAAAAATTAACGATCTCATGACAACAAATGAGGTATGATTAACGAAAATTTTCATGATTATTATCAGTGGAATGATTTTGTATGAATCCGATTTCTGATGGAATAAAGCAAATTAAATATTAGAGGCAAATGTTTTCTTGAAATATATAAGTGAATATTTTACCGATGCTATAATTAATAAATGAAATATAAATTAAGGATATATATGTATATACTGTCGTAAAATTTCAAGAATCAAAACATCCCATTCGATGATAGTAATGGATGGTAATAGACCCTGAATGACATGGCTTAAAACCGTTTGCAATGCCGTAGTTGCATTCATTCTTTGTGTTCTCTCAAATCGTAACCTTCTGAATTGCTCGTTACCTTTATATTTTTTCTTTTAAGTTTATTTTAATAGATTATACTTCTTGAATAATATCGTCGAAACCTAAACTTTCTGATAACCGCTAATACTTTCACTACCTCTACTACTATGAGATTTGAATAGACAATTACATCTCTGTGCTAATGTATCATGGAAACTTGAACTGATCTTCGTACGTTCGTACGAAGTTCTACGTTGCTGTTGATTGATTTACTGATCGGTATAATATCCAGTCAAGCATCAAAGCTGTATAATAAAACTATTCAGAATGATCAGGCGTCATGCGTAGAATTTGATTTTTCTTAAAAAATAGAGAGAACAAACCAGTTTTTGATCTATTTGCCCGTCTAGCAGCAGGCTATTTAACAAATTGATTTAAAATTGTATCGTTTGACGGTAGAACAATAACCTTGTTTGTTCTGTCTATTTTGGTTGAATTTATTTTGTAATAAGAAGACATTTGTTATGTTGTAAATCTGTCCTTTGCAGTTACCACTGCTGTCTACTTCACAGTGAAATTCTGTATTTATTATTTCGAGAATACATATCTATCTATCTATGGGTGCATAGCGTGAAAGACAGACAGACAGACAGAATGATTATTTTTGGAAAAAGTAGCCTATACCTTAGTTAGTTTTTAGTTCAGATGCTGCTCATGAATGAATTTAAAAAGAAATAGATCATCAATTTCATAAAAGCGATTATTCAGAGAACAAAAATCGTACTTAATTTTTCCAGCTTCTTGTCAAATTCTGGACTATTGGATTTTGACTGTTCTTTATCAATATATTCATTCTGTACAATGCGAGAATGGAAAAAAACACAATAACAAATCATTAATTTCGAAAAGAAAATTGTATGATTTAGTTATTGAATATAATAATAGGATTACCTTCTTATTTTAGAAGTACATAACAAGTAGTCATAAATTAAAGCTATGCTTAAATATGATTAAATGTCTTTTATTAGTACAAGAGTTGTAGAAACAATCAATGCTAGACCATTATTATCAAAGTTTTGGAGAACTAGACAACCGTTTTATCCCAGTATGGAACTCATCAGCAGTGAGCATCCACGATCCCACAGTCAGAAATCGAACCCGCGACTTCCGGTCTTATATTCGAATGCCTAATCTTCAGACGGCTGAGGCAGGAAATTATACTGTTAACGTCTAATTTCGATAACTCTATGACATTGAGCGATAATCCACTGCCCCCGGTGGATAATTGCTTCACAGTTTAACTGCAATGATTTTTGTGTTTATTCTATTTGATTCAAGAAAAATCCAGGAAAAATGTCAAGACAATCATTAAACTGAAGATCCTGAGTGATAATGAATGTGACGTCTGTTATTCAATTGTAAAACAAGTATTTTGGCAAATTAGTTTTGAAATATACTGATAACTATTACAAAAGAATTCGACTAGACAACTATTGAAAATTGGAAAGCATTGGACCTCGATTAATTGATCGCATAAAAACAATCATCAGTGCGTATAGAAGACTTCATTGGGGAACAGAATATAAAATCTTCAGATCCTGTGGACAGAGTTTAACTTCCAGATCACGGATTCTGTATCAAATAGTTTACATTTTTAGCTGTAATTAGTTTGTGATATCGTGCAACTCCACTACTCAAAGCTCTCCATCAGGTTTTCAATAACATCTCAATATAAATCAACAATGAATGGAGAGCTGAAGGTTTTTGGTGAGTACTTCTAAAAATGTCAATACTAGGGTGAAACAGAAACTCAGTGTTTCTTGTGCTTACGATGGTATCCCCCAACCGAGATGGATTTATCACAATGTAATCTGTAAATTGACAATCATTTGCTTTTTCTTTATACAAGCAAAATAAAAAAACGGAAATAAGTATAAATAAGAGGGAGAGAGAGAGGAAAAATTGCAACAAATAATCACCTGTAATATAGTTAATTTATCATTGACTTCATTTAATTTTGAAGATTTTTCTGATAATTCTGATTCTATCGATGCTAAATGTTGACGTGTATTACGTAAACGCTTTAAAAAAAATTTAACAAATATACATCTATGTAGTGTTATGTGATTACATTAAATTAAAATTAATTATTATACAGATGATAATAACTGCAAGTGAATGCTTTCCTTTGTTGTTGTTGTTGAATACAAACAAATTGAATTGTTAAATAGTATGTGGATAGAACAAAGTTGTTTAATGGAGAAAACTTTATATTTTACGTCAGAACTAGTTTTCACAACTATCAGTCAATAAATACATAGAGAAGATGAAATCAAATATTATATATTTTGGATTAAATGCTGAACAGTTGAACAACCGAAAATAATTCAGATATGATTTAATAAATAACAAGTTTACATATTACACAAACGTGCTTTGATTTTGAATTGTACTAAATATTTTTGCTTAACACTATTCAAACTTGCGGGTTATTTAATATGCTTTTGTACTTAGTTTATGCACATAGTTCCCTTTGTTAATTCATAGAGAGTTAAAAACAAAGATTGGTGCAGAATAATATGAATTCATTGTATTTCACTAGGTTCTCATCAACTGATTAGAATCAATAATATTATAAAATCAAAATTGCCTAAATTATCATAAGTAAGAAGGTAAGTAGTTAATATTGAAATAAGATGAATTTATATTATTCTAAGCCAATCTATGCTTCTACGCTTCAACGTATTTATTCTCTGAAGCACCTTAGATTGAATCAGGCAAAGTCCGAAATTCTTTTTCCTACTCATTCGGAGGATATTTATGAAAAATATACCATTACTTTCATAATTAAACGATATATACAGTGAACAATATATCGTTTTGTTTTAATTGTCTTGTTTAACTGTTAGACTCAGAGGTATCGTTCCAACTAACATCTTACATTTTTACAGTGTACGCAATGTTTAGTTATATACACTAGTGATCGTATTGCAGCCTCGTCGGAAAATTTTCATCACTACTACTCAGTGGTCAGGTCAATAAGTGAATATAACTTGTTATTTGATTGCGTAATACGTCACATTAAATATTAGTGGATCAATGCGTTTCACGAAGCTTGATGTTTTAAGTACCTATTAATGTCAGTCAGTCAGTCAGTTACAACGTAGCACTTCGTACATAAGTACATCAAGTCAAGTTGTCATAATACGGTAGCACAGAGATGCAACTGTCAATTCGAATCCCATAGCGATAGAAGTGTGAACAGTAATCCGAAGATCACGGTCCGAAGATATTAATTAAGAAGTATAACTCAGTGAAATAAACTTAAAAGGAGAAAGACAGATGTGATGAGGAGTTTAGATTAGAATTTGGGAGAACACAAACAGTAAATGCACCTGGTCCATTGAAAATGATTTTGAGCCATGTCATTCAAGGTCTCGCGGACTGCAAACAACTACCAACACGGCTCAATCCACTTGTCGGTGACTTCATGGATTTCTGCTATGTTTTGGTCTGGCCGCCCTTAGCTTTCTTCCAACCTATTGCTACACCACAAAACATAGTTTGTCGAGGCAGTTGGTGGTTAGGTACACGTAACACATATCCAAAACACTTAGAATGATAGAGATTCACTATTTCACCAACTGATTTTCCATCCATACTCGTGATCGTTTCCTAACGACAGCATCGCTTAATCGATTGTCTTAGGATATACGAGCAATGCTTCTGTGGCACCGATGATCGAATACTAATAACCTACGGATGTCCTCTACTCTTAACAGCCATGTAGTAGGACAGAGCGAACTGCTGCGCAGTAGATTCATCCTTTGGTTGGTAAACGGATATTTTGCCTGCACCATAGGTGACGCAAGTTGGCAAAAGCCAATCAAGCCTTCTTTATCCGGGCTGAGATTTCGTCAGTCACCAGGTCATGAGCGCTGGTGAGACTCACGAGGTAAGAGAAGTGGTCGACACGCCCAACCATTTCACTCCCTATCACTAGTTTAGGTGCCGATGAAAGCCAATCTTAAAGCAGGATTTTACAGTTCGAGGGGGAAAACTGCATCCCAAACATGCTTGCATTGTTGCTTAAGGTGGTCGAAAGACTGCATTTTGTCAGCGTCTTCACGAAAAAGGACTATATTATCGTCATATTCTCAGTCAATAAGTCTATTTCCTTGTAAAAGTTCAAGCCCGGTAAAAGGATGATGGTTGGGAATGGGGTTGGCGACTCCATCACATAGAAAACCAGCTAGCTAAAAAACATTTAAACAGCCCCCGGAGTAAGAAGGTCTTCATTCAGAAGAGTTATGTCGTCTCATGATGAAAGCTGAGTTACTTCGGCGGTGTGAGCAGCCGGGAAGTGACATCCATCCTCACACCCGTAACAATACAGAAGACTAAATTGATCACAAACAAATCCATCTCATACTTTTTAATAACCCTGTTACCTCCATGACAAAACGTTCTCATTTAGATATGTAGCAAATACTGATTGGAATGTAAGTATTTGGGTGCAAATGGTTGTCGCTATCAGGTAAAAAATTGTATTATGAAATATATATTACTGGAACATCAGTTTGTGAAACATTCCCACTGTATGTATGAGGTTGATCAATTTAGCTCAATTAAATATATTTCGGCAAAAGTCGCCAATTATCAATTTTAAACAAAACATACACTCCTTATTCACATGTTCTATGTAAAAATCGAGGCAAACTAGTAAATTTTCAAAATGTAGGGTAAACATGAAAATAATTAAAAAGTACAACAATTTACCTCATTTAAACAGTACAGTTCATTATCTTTCGATGTTCTTAAAGTATCCAACTCCTATTTTTACACATACATAATAAAACACATGAAATAATAAACAATAATAGAGGAAAGAACAAATTAAAACGTTTATGTTTATGACACTATAAGAAAACATCACTGTTTATCAAATTACTGATTTCATCCATACAGCATAATAATATTTACGTGAAGTAAATGATTCGTTTTTGAATTATTAGTAAACTGCCAGATGGTGATAGATTTTTTTATCTGATATTTTTCTAAAGGCATATAGTGATCGGTGTTGTAAAGTGGACGATTGAAATATTAATAGCTGAATGATGGAGAAATCTGATTAAGCATGCAGAATGACAAAAAGGTTAGCAGAGTATTATTTTTAGTACGGTTCTTTTCTGCGGTATAATTTTGGTAACCTAGTGACCAAACATCCTCTTATATCCGTGTTTGCGACAGACAGTAACGCCAGAAGAGCCTTTCTATCCCATTGACATCAATAACTGCAAAGATCGAGTGGGTACTACCGGGTTGTTGTTTTGTCCCAGAGTTGGATTCTTCAAGAGGGCAACTGAACAACAACAGTCAGTTCAATAGTAACTTACTTCAAGATTTTCGCGAAATTATAGTGAGAGTTCGGTAGAGTTAAGATATATGAGGAATAGCATTGGATAGTAGCCATGCTACTATTATAAATCAGTACAATACGGGTTTATTTATTCATATCTTTTAAATATTCCGTTTGACTGAATTTGATCATTTTTTAGAAAAACATTTTTCATAAATATACCTTAACGTGAAATGTTCTGAGTTTAGAACATCATAAAATTTTGATAAACTTAATCTTATCAAACTATTTATGAATTTATCAGCACTCGGATTCTCTGATACGGTCGAGAGAAAGGGGAGTCTGCTCTAACTCTCGAAACGTTCTCATATGGCCGGCCAGGCATATATATCCCCTCACAGCGAAATTCTACTTATTGCCTTCTCGTGGTATATATGTTGTTGACGAGGTTGAGAGGGCGAAAAGCGAACGTTCGGCGCTTTCACCAGATTGGTGGGTACAGAGGGGCTGAAAAACCAAACAAAACCAATGATGCGTAAGGACACCTTGAGGGAGTGAATGGCTTATGAACCTGTTCTTCGTCATGGGTTCTAAGTTTTATAACCATTTGTTAATTCTTTATGTTTTCAATCATTTTCAGTGATATTTAATAGCCAACCCAACGTGAAACAGAATCTGGACATTCAGAAGATGAATAAGCATTCAATCCTAACTATAAATAAAATCTCAATTCAATAGGATAAATCATAGTTTGACTGGATAGATAAATTTGAATTATATAGCGAATAGTGTAACTATTACGTTTAACCGTTTAAGTGATATAATTAAAAAAAAGGTTAATGAATTGAATATAATATGATACAAACAAAACAACGCTGATATGCTGTGCAAATGATGTGGTGCATTGTAGGGTTTTTTTTATTAAGTGCGTAATGAGGTGTAAAAATGAATTGAATTAATGGGATTTCACAGTGTATAATTGTATATAGGACAAGATTTCATGCACATACATTACGTCACACTTGTCAGATTATGTTTACATTAGATAATTTTACTTGAAAAATTACCAATAGTGATTTATAAGATTAAATATTATCTTATTAGAATACTAATTAATTAAATAACTAGTAACCATATTTAAGAATTTATTCAACAAATTAATTCAAATGATGTAAAACTGTCTATCAACTTTTTCTACATAGTTGGATGTGTACAACATTCAATGAACTAATTATGTAAGTGAAGTTTATTACCAAACGATTAGCTGATATGGAACGCTTTCGATATGTCTAAATGGAAATAGAGAAAAACAATGGATAACAAACAAAATACCTGAAATAATCAGATATTCTTATCATTTTGGCATCTAAACTTGGACGCAAGATAAAAGATCACTAATTTATTCAGGAGACTATTTTCATAAACATAACGATTATCACGGTACCAAATGATGATGAATAAAGAAGTCTTGCAGTTGAAAGATGATGGGGATTCTTGATCCTCCAGAAATTGCTTGATAATTATCTCATTTTTGTATTTTATTTCTGAAAATTTGAATTTTTTTATCTTCGAGCCAAAAGCACTTCTCATTACCTTCAATTTGTGTTTCCCATGTAGAAGGACCTTGGTTTTCGCTTTTAGTGTGCCATTTTGTTACTCTAGTTAGGACGCTTTTGGTACCGTATAAATTACATTTGCATTAAATGCCTGCTAACTCATTCGCTCGGAGCTGCTTGTGGGTTAGACAATCTTTCCGCTGAACTTGAAATGCTTGCTTTAGTCAGTTGGGCTAGGCCGCAAAGAATAGATATACTCTCCAGTTGTTGTGTTGCTGGTTTATGTTCCGTTCGCCATTAATTAGTCGTATTTTCATCAGAACAAGTATAGCAACACCTATGAGTTACGTGTAAAGTGAAACTTAGTAGCTATATTCAGTGGAATATACTGTTAAGTGAATTAAAGTAAATAGAAATGTACATATCGGCTTGTTCTGTATTCAAATAAGAGAGATAAGAAAAGATTGTTAAGTTAAACATTGAAATCATGAATCAATCAATGTTAGACCACCATTAGAAACCTGGAAGCCCTGGATGGCCGTAAATTGATCGAAGTCGAACATACCGGGCTCATTGGTCCAGAAATTGGGCGTTCGCGCGCAAGAACGAAGGTCCTGGGTTCGAATCCCGCGAGGTGCAGGAGCCGTGATGCGCACAGCTGATGAGTCTTATACGAAGAAAAGAATGAGCGAAAGCATCAAAACGTAATGCAAATACCGAAAATAAGAAAAATACGTTGAATAAACAAGCAAACTACCAAACTAGCAATGAGAAATAAAAATAAATACCATGATAGTTGTGATGAAATGCATAAAATTCCGCTTCGCTTTCCCTCTCTCTGTCACTCAAAAAGACAAAACTGAACTTAAATATTAAATTACAAAAAGAAACTAACTTCTTCTAGTAGCTTTTTTTCTGTTTGTATTTTATTTAATTTATCCATAGCATTTTTAAGTGCTGCTTCACTTGCTTCTCTATTTTCATCTGCTAATTGTTTAGCTAATTTTCCTGTATGTACAGCTTCTTCTAAATGATTTAATTCATCTGATAGTAGAACACGTTGACGACGTTGTTCATTGAGACTTGATTCAATGGATTGTTTTAAATCATTTGCTTTTTGTAAACGTTGCCTAATCATATCATACAAAAGACGATATAGTAAGCAATATAGAAATATTAAGTGAATTCTGTTCACATAAACAAATGAATAAGATCATTATTTTGAAAGTTGTAAATAGATACAAGACAATTGTTTTGGATAGTTTGTACTATGTATAAAATAAAGATATCTAAGTCAAATAACTTTCATAAAGATTTCTTTCATATTTCACAGATATGAATGAAGTAAACAAATCGATGACACTTATGCAAATTAAAAGAAGAAATAGTTCTAATGTTACGCTGTAATTTCATCTAATTAAATAGGATGATAAAAAAAAATGTTATGGTTTATGACAATTGAAGAATCATAAACATATCAAAAACCTATGCATAGTTCTCAAATAGTAACTGTAAGTTTTATAATCTACAAAAAATAAACAGAATCGGAATTATTTAGATATGGAAGTGTATAAGCATAAAGATCTTTAGCCGGACCCTATGACCTCATTTATTTATTAACTTAAACAAAATTACTGCTATAAAGAAAGACCTAAATTGATATGTACCGCATAACCCTTCGACTTTGTGAGTGAGCTGCGATACTGTTCGGGTGTCCGAACCGGTTTAGATCACATTTTACATCAGTATACTGAAAAATCAATAGTACAAAAAGTAAATGAGATAATGATATGAATAATGATGGTAAACGAAATATGCAGGTAATATAGTCGGAGAAATTAGAAACCCATGAAACCAGCATGAAATTACAGTTACTCTAATGCAAAAGTGAAATAAAGTTTTTTGTAGTTTCAACCGTCGGACAAAATCTAATTGATACGTTAAAAAAGTACGGTCAAATGGTATAATGGATGAAAAATGTAGTCATCCGAAACTCAACCTAATCATTATCATTATTAACAAGGTATCATGATTTATTTGACTTGAATAAGTGATCAATGAAATAAACCGGTAGGAAGAATAAGAACTATACTATATTCGATAGTATTTCAGGGACACATATTTAAACATAAATCATCTGAAGATATTGCCTAAAACTAGCACTTAAGTGAAAAAATTTCTTTATGAAATCGGATCACATGAAAGATTGATGTGAAAGTGCATTTAATTATTTAATACTCTGGGAAGGTTAATGAAACTATGATTGAATAATAGTCAGTCACCAACAACCTAGAAACTCGTACGTACGTATGTCAGTTCATGTTACCATAACACATTAGCACAAAGACGCAATTGTCATTTCGAATCCCATAGTAGAAGTCGTAGAAGCATTAGTAGTAATAGGAAATTTTAGGGTTCGAAGATAATATTCAAGAAGTAGAATCTAGTGAACTAAACTTAAAAAGAAAAAGATAAAGGTGATGAGGAACTCACCAGATTAGGATGCTCAGCCCACTTGTCAGTGAGTGACTTCACGGATTTGGGCCACGTTTTTGGTTTGGCCCCCCATAGCTTTTTATTAACCTGTTATTACACCACAAAACAGAGCTCGTCGAGGCAGTTGGTGGCTGGGCATACGTAACAAATGTCCCAACCACCTCAACTGATGAAGTTTCAATACTTCATTTATTGATCTGCCACCCTTACCTAGGACCCGTTTCCTAACGACAGCATTGCTTACTCGGTTGTCCCAGGATATATGAGCAACGCTTCGGAGACATCAATGATCGAAAACCAGCAACCTACGAATATCTTCTACTGAATAGTATGTCTCTGACTATTACATATTCTTATCATCCATAATAATTCAAATATAAAATGAACGTTACATAAATCGTAATGAGTTTCTTTGAAGAATGCTACTTCACTCTTTATTTATTTATAAACACAAATGATGGGTAATAATCATAATAATAATAACTGTGAAAAGTAGCACTTTCTAAATTCTTAAAAAAGAAACTATAGAACTGGATCATTTCATTTATACATTTGTCGGTAATTTATAAAGGTTTCCTGCTAGCTATCTCAAATCACTTAACATTCCAACATAGTGAACACTATGTTACGTCAATTAGTTTAGCAAAGAAATTGTAACTTAAGCAGTAGAATTCAATCAATATCAGGGACTAAAAATAAGTTTGACACTGGGGTCACTACCGTGTAGACAATGAATCGAAAATATGTAAACAACTGGAAAGAAAAAGAAAAGAGACCAAAATTAACTTACTTAGCAATATTTAACTCATCACGACTATCAGATGTTTGTTTGAACATTCTATCACAATCAGCTAAAGCAGCATTGCATTCAATGTGTTTTTGTCGAAGTTCACTGGATGCTGCTTCAGATTCTGCTTTAATTCGTGCTAATGTTAAATTAGCTTCAGAGATGGAATCACTCAATTGAACTTTTTGACTAAAATTAAAGTTAAAAACAATAACAAAATATAAATCCTTCGAATGTTGATAATATTAATAACATTTGAATCTTGAACAATTTTTTTAATTTTAAGCCAAGCCAATATTGGAATCACTGGATAAATCCTAAGGAAGTAAACCTGACTGCAGCTGTTACCTTGAAGCGATAGCCGAGTTTGCATATCGAAATGATCTGATAGAGATTTATTGGAGGCAACATTTTTTATTTAAGACTTACTATGTTATATAAGAGAATGGTAAGACTGGAAGGGGCAGTTTAAAGTTCAAAAGGTGAAGTTGGACTAGTGACTATATTAGGATGTGACAGAAATAAAAAGATTCTTTCCGACAAGTGATACTCGCCCTCTTATTGCAGGAAAATAGGTAAGGATAGGTTAAACTCAAAAATGAGGAGAAAACAAGACTAAAACCACGAAAAAAATGGTTATGTAAAAGGCTTCGAGCAGTTGTCCATTTGAATCTGCAATCAGTATTCCAGGTTTCCGAAATGACCCCTAACACAGTTTCCTAATGCAGTCTCTCAAGAAGATGTGTTCTTCCACAATGTGGGCAATCGGGTAGTGACAACAACTCTCATGTACTTTAGGTTATCGGTAATATACATACTATGACAATGAGAATTTTCTAACAAACGAATAAGTGCTTTGTTGAGTGATAGCTAGTGTTTCATAATTTTAAAATCCTATTGACTCCAAAGTGACTTGCATTAAGTCACAAAACGCAAGAAATACAAATTTCTGCTCATCGGGATATTATAAAAAAAAATTTATGAATATTTTATTACCATTAACTTTCCACTCAATGCTCAATTTATTTAAAACCATTAAGTTCAACCTTGGCATTGATATCTATTTTTTAAACTAGTTCAAATTGAATAAATGTTTGATCTAATTTTTTCTGTCAACTTTATTCTCTACTTATCATGATATATTATGATATAAGTGTGTAAAAATAAATATCATCGACCTATAGTAAGAAAAAATATCAAGGAAATTAAGAGTTTTGGAGATATGTCCCAGCTTCATTACAACAAAAACACCAATTTCTATGAGACATGTTATGAAAAAACATAACAACATTATTTCCGATTGTTCAAAGTTCACATAAATTTACAGGCAATTTAATATCAAATATAAAAAAAACAAAATTACCATAGTAACTTTAAACTATATATTAATGGTGAAATATGACTTTAACAAAGTTTGTATACATAGTAATTAGCAAGGTTAATAGATTATATATATTTGTATGTATATAGGCTTTATTAAGTTTTAGGCCGTAAGTTGTAGAATCGGTAGATTTTATTTGAAAGTTAAATGCTGAATTATTTTTCTTCTGTTATCACAAGAAGGAAATATGCTTAATTTTTACGTAGTATTAATTCGACCGAGTTATGCAATTTTATTATTATTGTTATTATAGTATAAATGTCAAGTTATTAAGGAAGAAAGAATAGCGGTCTATTATATTTTCTCTGCTCTGCATTTTTACTAACAATCATAATTATACAGAAAATACCATGGATTATTACAAAATAGATAGAATTTTAATAAAACATAAAGAGATTGGTATGCTTGAAGCTATTGCGAGTCACCTTACTCGGTAAACGGAACGAAGATTAGTGATTCAGCGACACGATAGGCTACTTTAATCCGATCGTCTCAGGCGCAACTAACCGGAGGAAGAAGTCTTGATAAGACGTAGAGAAATGTATTCTACAGGCACCCAGAGAGTACAACGTCAACAAGTACACAACTGAAGTTTATTTATACAATGATAAAACGCCCTCGGGAGAGCCCCGAAATCGCGTACTAAAATAATCCACCAACCAATGGCATTCAAGGATTCCCGAATGGGAAATATAAGCTGAAGGTCAACTAAGTGTCTTTGGCGCGAAAACAATGAAATTCAAAATTTCAGAATAAAATTACGAAATTAGGAAATTTTTCCAAGTGAGTTTTGGGGATCTAACGTCCCTCAACAGGGATTTTATTTAAGTATATGATTGAGGAAAAGTGATGTATCAAACCTCATTTACTTCATTTCCAGGCGAAATAAATATGATGATAATTGGCTTATTATTAAGTTGAATAAATATGACGACTATTAGTATGTAATATGTTATTTATGAACAATATTTAAGAATCCTAATTGATCAAATGATAATAACAAATATTGATTCACATGCAAAAAATGTCATGCGTTCACACGGAAACCTTGAAAAAAAATATAAGCACTATCCAATTACGTCAACATGCACAAACAAAGTCATTAAACACATTACAATAGTATTAAAAACAATACGATTTGTAATCTAGTGTAGTTGGATATTATCGTTAGGAAATTGTGCTTCATCTAGGTTTCGTACTGGTTAGTACACTTGCAATCTTCATTGAATAAATACCTCTCCAATGGATTTAAATCCAAACCAGTTAGTTTTACAGCTTAAAATGTTGCCGTTGAGCAGTTTGAGCTGTGACGGCCTTACTGTAGGACTGAGATATTTAGGGTTGATACATCACTGATTAGTGCATGGCAAAATTTTATCACTCAAGCTTCAACGTAGCCATTGGGTCTACGTGATTCCAGTTTGAAATGTTGGGCCGATTAGACATTTAGATTAGAAATGTTAACTGACAAAATACTCAATAGTAAATTACTTTTCTAATTCTTTAATTTTTGATTGAAAACTATGCCACTGAGTTTTAGTGATATCACGTTCTTGACGAAGATGAGTGAGTTCCAGTTCTACTTGTTCTTTTTCTTTTTGAATATGTTCCAATTCTGATTGTTCACGTACAACATCTTTACGTACATTTTCATATTCAGTATTCTAAATAAATATAAAAAAAGCATCATGAGATTAGTAAACAGATTGATGATTTGAATGTAACCTAATTAACTCTACGTTAAAAATATGCTTTGTACGCTCTAACTAATCAAGTTGGATTGCAGGCATTGAATTCAAGGAAGGAAAAATAATAACCATAAATTAAACACATTATTTCTGGAAATATATATGTTAATATAAACTGATATCACATTTTTCAAAGAAATATCCAACTTCTGAATAATTTTACTGATGTACGAGCATATGGATGGTTTTCGATCAAACAGTTTCATGTCCCGACTGAACTTCATCTACTTAAGTTTGACTAGTTAGATAATCAATCTGACTACTTCTGACAAATACAATAGTAATTCATAATAAATTGAAATTTTGGGTAATAGTGAATTGACTAGTGACGTATTCGGGTAATAGAGATAGGAGTCAATATCATATTTTAATCAGTAATTAAGGAATAAATTTTTATAAGCCAGGCTAACAAATACATTAATAAGTACCATAGCAGGCGAATGAAATGTATCGATCATTGGTAATTTATTAAAGGAAACGGATTACAGATAATATTTATAACACATTAAAGGAAATACTTTGGACTTTGTTGTTAGAGATGTATTTTCCGCTAGTCTCAAAAGTGTATTATATATAATACGACAAAATCAATAATTTTGCCATTTTATGAATATAATTTCAAAAATAACTAATTCACTGAATTGAAAAAATGTGTTCAGGCATATTTAACCATAAAGTTATTGATTTCAATAAAACAAATTGTACAATTTAATAATTGTTTTTGTTTATAATATGGTAACTAATAATTGTATTAACAAAAACTAAATGTAAAGAGGACTTTCTTTTGCATAATAATAATATGGTATTCCATGTACTAATCATATATTCAGGTATTAAAATAATACAGTTTTATCTTAATAGCGTTTTTCTTTTACGTGTCTTCCTCTTGACATCGAGCTAGTGGATTATTGATGTAGTACTCTTTGTTGTCACACTATATGTAGATCAATCAACAGTAATGTCGAACTTCACACATAAGTACATCAGTTCAAGATGCCATACCATATTAGCACATAGATGTAATTGTCAATTCGAATCCAATAGTAGTAGAGGTATTAAAAGTATTAGCAGTAATCGGAGAGATTAAGGTTCGAAGACATTAATTCAAGAAGTAGAATCCAGTGAAATAAACTTAAAAGGAAAAAGATAAAGTGATGAGGAATTTAGAAGGTTACGACATGAAAGAACACAATGAACGAATGCTAACCACCGGTGACTTTCATCTCGCGAACCCCAACCAGGTAGCCTACATCTACCAATACGAATCAGTCCACTTGTCAGTGACTTCATGGATTTCTGCCATGTTTTGGTTTGGCTTCCCCTAGATTTCTTCCAACCTATTCCTACATCGCAAAGCATAGCTCAACAAGGCAGGCGGTGGTTAGGCATACGTAACATTCATTACTTCATCTATTGACCTACCATCCTTACCTAGGACCCGTTTCCTAACAATTACCACTGATTACTCGGTTGTCCCAGGATAAACGAGCAATGCTTCGGAGACACCTATGATCAAAGAAAAGCAATTTACGAATATCTTCTAATTTGACTGGTCATGTTTTACAGCCTAGAGTAGGACAGAGCGAACTACTGCACAGTACACTCACACTACATATGACATATTTTTTTTGGAAAGTTCGAGAAAATAAAAATGTATCGCGAACTAATCTTATTATAATCATTACAAAAAAGTCAAGTATTGCTTACTAATTGGTAATTCTGTTATTTATACACTAGTAAATACCAAATTTAATTAAATAAGTTGAAATAATAATACATCTCACTGGGATAATATATTAACCGATAAAGTGTAAACTTTATTTACACGTATTCATATTAGATATTCAAAATTACACAATATATATCTGAACTATTATTGCTAAGCACATTTGATTAAAAACTATTTTATATCAACCAAATAGAATGCATAAAATGATAATACTTAAACGAAATATTGCGGTGATTTGTTAAAGATCTTATAAAGCTTCTTTGATAGAGACAAATCAAATGTAGCCTATAAAAATCAACAACCTTAACAAGAAAACTAATAATATCAATAATAATAATAGTAATAATAATCATCAACAAAAGCAAAGCGACATTGTACTTTTTTAATTTTTGCCAATTCACGTTCACGTAATTCTTCTTTTTCTTCATTTAATTGAATTTGTAATTTTTCTAATTGATTAATTAAATCACGTTGTTGCGAGCTTAAATTCAATATTCTTGATTCTTCTAAATGTGACATTTCAGTGAGATGTTCAAATTCACGTTTTTGTCGTGTTACTAATGCTGTCAGTTCTGCAACAGACTGTTAGAAAAAAAATCATTGAATAGAAAAAAGACAAAATTGTTCATCATATTGATAGAGAATAAAATGAAAGGACTGGCAATGATGCATTGAATTTAAAAGAAATTCATTTAACCAAAAAATAATAATAATAATAATTTATAGAATATAAACGATGTAATATTCTCATGACATAGAGAGAGAGAGAGATGTCATGAAATTTTACCGGTGACTGCAAGTGTTAAGTTGATACTATTGAAACCAAATGCGTTTGGTTATGTAAGTGTTATTGAAAGAAACAATTAGAAGTTAGCGCAAAAAGAGTTTATTGTACAGTTTTCCCAGTGGGTTAAAATTAACTTTCATTTATTATTTAATAACACTGAAACAAAAAATAAACTACAATGTAAACGTTTTAATGTGTAAAAAATGGAAAATATGTCACATTGTTTTTTGTTAGTTTGAGATGTCTGTGGAAATGTTAGAATTAATAATCAATATATCTCTATGTGGTAGACTTTTGCTTACAAAAAACACACACATTTTAGCTAGTTTACAAAAAACGTTACAGTATATTAAACAAGAATTCTCCATTTATAATAATACCGATGAAACAATTGTACTATCTTGTTTAAATTCACCGAAATTCCAAATTAATTATGTCAGACATACTAGTCAAATTACATAACAGACTGAAAATAAGTTTTATATTGCCATACCAACTGATAATATATAAGCGACAGCTGAAATATGCATACAACTTCAAATATCCCTCGTAATTAAATTGAATATTTAACATAATGATGATAATTTAACAATATTCTGATGGATTACAAAAAATAATTAAAGTCATTGAACAAATATAATTGATGAAGGCTTCACAGAGAGTTCCTGGTCAACTGTTTAAAAATTACTCGTTTCTTGAGTATACAGTTGATGTAGATTTAAGAAGGAGACGGTGTGATGCAAACTATTTTTCACCAACCAAACAAAAACTTATCATAAATAAATTTGATAATAAAAAAAGGAGAGTTAAAATAAAAATAAAACGAAATAACCTTTTGTTCTTGTTCCATTTCCGTGCGTATATTATCTCGTTCAGAACGAAGTGTTCTAACTGATTGTAAAATACGTTCTTTTTCATCCAATGAAGCATTTAATGATGCCTAATATTAGGAAAATAACACAAAAAAATTTGTTCATGATAACAATTTTGGACAAAAGAAGTTATAAGTATGATGTTAAATAAACTTTTGCGTATGAATGATTCGAAAAAAATAAGCTGATACAAAAGAAAATGATGACTATAAGGTAAGTAGATATTGATTTAGCATTCTATCGGTAATTGACATACTAACAATGTACTGCACATAAACTAAACTTCAGTTGAAGTTCATTATTTGCGAAGATTAGTATTTTGTTGTTGTGATATAATTAAGTTAATAAATAGTTATTACAGGAGATTTATAGAATATGAGAAATATGTATATGAACATTAGGGAAAAAAGGCAGTAATTGTGAATGTTTTCAAGTTGAAATGAGTCAATCATAAAATGAAAGCAACACTTATAATGGTGCACATATAAATAAACAAGATTCATTAAGAGAGTTTTATACTTACTTGTGTTTCATTTAATTCACGTTGTTTAATTGCTGTTTGATTAGCTAATTCACGAATGACAGAATTGGAATTCTCTAATTCACGACGTTTCTCAGCTTTGATTAATTCTAATTCATTCTTTTTAGCTTCTGTATCTTGTATCAATAAGTCAAGACGAAGTTTATCTTCATCAATCTAAAATGATTGCAAAACGATAGTTAATGCATTTATATATTCTGATAGATGCTTAGATCATATCAGTAAATTGAAGATTTAACAGTACAATCATAAGTCTAGGTTCTAGTCGATTGGACTAATAATGATTGGGCTTGAATCTTATAAGAATAATTTTTCAAATGAAAAAGAAACTACTTATATCCGGTTTCATGTTTAAATATACTACTAGAGTTATTCACAAAAGTTAATGTTATTTCAAAACTAGGTTGACTGTAAGGTCATTTTATTTCATAATGAGCAGTTCTTACATATGTCATACGATCATAACGTATTCATATTCAAACTAAATTTGAAGAGGTTATTCTGCTGTTGTATTTCTAAGTAATATTAAGGTGAAGGTACTCACAAGCTCGCATTAAAACGTAGTAGGAATCATAGTATGATCTTTAGAAAAAGGTAGAACTCTGTTGATTCACCGTTGAGCTGATTTCATGGATCATTGTCTCAAACGAATTCCCCTCTTATTACTTGAAAAGTGATGCTTGTCAGAAACAAACACTAAAGAATGATCAACATTATCATGTAACAAGTTTTAGACTAATCTGACCAAATTACAATAATTGAATATCTGTCACTGATAAATACATCTTACATTATAACTTATGAAATTGAAGATAGATTATTATATATCAGTCAGTCATTGCTTTTCCCATAGGCATGTATTGATTTTATTTGTTTTCGTAAGTTGGTGAAGTGTAAGTAGAAAAAAAACACACAGTCATTCTATCCCATTTTTTATGGATCTGAAATGTTAGTTTATAGGCATGAAGGAATAGCATTAATTTTTTGAAAAAAAACTTTCCATAGACTAAATTCTATCGATGGATGCATTAAGTCCAAGACAGGTATGATGATATTTGTGAACCAAATTAAAATAATATGTTGAAAGTTTGGGCAGCATAATTATTCTAGTTTATGAAACTGGTACTCTTTAATAATGAATAAAATATGCTAGGAATGTTGCATTAGATAGATTAACTTTTAAATGATTAATTAAAAAAGTTTATAATAAGAACATTTAATCCATAAAGACGAACTTAAATAAACCATAGGAAAATCAGAATATATATAATTCAATCAGGACTAAAGGAATAAACGAACAAGACATTGGTCGCCGCTACATAGTGTTGATAAATCAATGTGAATATCTCAATCATATAGGTTAGTTGAATTCTGAGTAGCACAGCGTTGACGCCATAGAAGTTTAGCGTCCGAAGCTTGAATCCCATGAAGAGTACTAGTTGCTTCAAGATTGAAGATAAGCCATACTGGTGGTGTCTGCCATCAACAGGAAACTAAGGTTAAGTGGGGTTTCCTGCAAACTACCTCAAAACCACTTATCATAAATATATATGAGAAGACTTAACATCGTAGAGTGACGAATGCAACAGTGGTATATACCGTTTGAGTCTTCAGTATATATCCCTTATTTAAATATTATGGGTACATGACAAACAAAAAACATTTTTGGTATATAAAGAGTATAAGGCTTTAACTTAAGTGACACAGTTCTATTTTTTTTTTAAAAAAACGACTGACTAATAAAGGAAAAAAAATACTGAATTTATTTCATAATACTTAATGTGATACTTAGAAGCATAAAACATCGATAAACAATTGACTAAGAAAAGAAACTACCTTCTGTCGTAAAATTCCACTTTTATAAATAATTCTTTTGTTCAGACTTACATTATATTACAGGAAAATGAAATTCGGCGCATATAATTTGGATGTGCTTAATTCACTGAGAATTTTCTCTGAATTATGTTAGAAATCCCCCAGTTATACACACAAACACACACACACACTAAATATGAATGAAATACAGATGTAAATGTGTATGACCCAGCAAAACAGTGATGCGGGATGGAATCAACTTACATTATGAGTAAAACCTTTTTAGAATTTATATATATTTGTGTTCTATAAAATGAAGTGTGCTGACAACACAGAGATGGATATAAATGGGTTAAATTTATGGGGATGTGAGATGAGGAGTATTATAATTATACATGTGTGCATAATCCAAGGATTACCGGTGCACGTATACACGCATGGTTATACAATATGTGTTGAAAAGATTTTATTACATGGGACTTCAATATTGGATATAAGAAGTGATATGAATGAATATTGGTAGATATATATATATGATGTTTTTATAGTAAGTAGTATCAAGATTGAAATATGATTATCAGCATGATAAACCTACCTGAGGATTCAATGTTTCAATAGATGACTACATAGAGATTTAGTGTTTGATAAAATAAAATAGAACACTTTGAAAAAATATATAACTAGAGTAAGATAATAGTATATCCGTTTAAAAATATCAAAGATCATTCATTATACAAGTCATGGATTTAAATGCTAATAGTTATTACGTATTTTTTTTTATTAAAATATCAGGTAAGAAATAGCATTACTAAACTTTGAAAAACTTTTACTAGAGATATAGAATTATGTAGAAATGACTCAATTCTATCATAGAAAACTGAAAGATATTTTGCTTATTTGTTTCAGAGTATGACGGATTATCTCCAAATGTAAAGATTCTTAAAGTTAATGGGCTTTACGATCATGAATGTTTCGTACGACATACAACATATTTGATTGAAATGTTGTCTAACTGAACAAAAAGCCTACATATTAGGATAAAAAATAAAAACGAAGAGTTCACATTCAATAAAGTTAAAGTTCTTTGCTAGTCAAGACTACATCTTCGTTTGACTTTATGTCAGAGCAAAAGTATGAAAGAAATTATAGTTATGCACTAGTAGTTTACAATATCACAAAAATACACAGTTCCAACTATCTCAGAAATTCATACTATAATGTTATGTAGAACGTGTCATAAATTATTTTACAGGAACAGAGATTATTGATTAGTACTTTCTGATGACCTACTCTGAGTTCTAATGAACATTTACGTATTTTCATGAACACTTATTGTATTTATTATTTTCAGGTGAACGATTATTTTAGAAGTATCAACTTTGAAGTAGATCTTTAAAAGAAGATATTCCGCATTGAAAACAAAACGTGAACAGAAGGTAATGTAATCGACTTTTGAGAAAAAAACAAACCGTAATACAACTTGGATAAATTTTTCACTCAGATAAGCAAACGTATTACGGAAACCGATAACGATATGTAAACATTTTGTTACATTGATAGAAAAGTACTTAAACTAACTGTAAAGGATAGAAATTCACAGATAAAAAAGTACATAACTTCAATGAAACCTCATACTATTCCTAGTTGGTGATTTCTGATAAGTAGATTGATTTATGAATGTCAGCATAGTTCTTTCATGTTTATCTTGAATAGACAGCTACTACTTTATTGCAGAGTATTTGTTATTCTTCAGTATTTAAGTCAATAGCTAAACTTATAAAAATGTCATGTAAGGACTGTTGAAACTGAAACGTCAATATACACAACTAACCGACTATAAATATGATTAAGCGATAATTACAGTGAAAAAGTGATCAGACGATGAAAGAGTAGTAACTGATAAATTGAGTACTGGGAAGGAGACAACAAAAAATAGACACTAGTACTTGAAGAATATGAAGTTAATTAGCAAACACTTGAGAGCTTAAAATAGCAGGGGGTGAGTATAAATTTAGACAGGAACAGTAAAACACACTGAGAATTTCGGATAATAAAATTCCTATAAAACAAAATGAGATTTTAAAGTTCCATTGTGTAGTTTTATATCGAAAAGTTGTTTCAGTTTGAGAAACACAAAGCACCGAACTATCCTCCTCCTTCTGGTATAAAAATGCTAAGTAGTATAGATCCACAATTCCACCAAAGATTGAACCCAAGAACGTTTGATTTTCAAACCCCTAACTAAGCACGCAATAGTCAATATTTCTAGCTTTATTTCCAATAAAATTCAAACAATTATAACTATCTCTACAATCCCGGATGCCTAAAGAACCATTGTTTATTGCGATTATATATATATATATATATATATATATATATATATATATATATATTCTCAACAACCTACATATAGGAAATAAAGTCAAAATATAATCACCATAGATTTTAGCTAACTACTAAAATACACTTTGTTTGATCAAATGAAGCGAATTCAAGTAAATCATATTTAAACATAGTAAAAACAATGAGAACGAGAGAGGGAGAGAGTGAATGAAAAGAGATAATAGAATTAAGAATAAAAATTTACAAACACTAAAACATTCAATAACTAAGGCGTGAAAAAGCACTTGAAAAGCCTATAACACAAATTCTTCCTGATTTTCATTATATATTAAAATTATGAAAGGACAAATAAGAATATCGCGTTACTGTTTTATAAAAATAAATATACCATGGTAATAATCTAACAAAGGCATTATTGCAAAGTATGTAATCAACACATACTGATAACAACTTTTAGGCTAAAACATAATGAAAAGATATACACCTTAGAATGAATATATATATATATATATATATATATATATATATATATATATATATGGTTGTAAAAAGTATTGAAAGGCCATTTTCACATTATAAGTGGAAATAAAACAGTCAACAATAACTGATTACAAATTACTAGTAGTTAACTGAATAGAATTAAATTTAATCTGTAACATATTTAACTAAATAATAGTCGGTAAAGTCAACAGGCAAAAATACTGATGATACAATTATACACTGTGGACAATCTAATCATTCTATCAAATTGTACAATGAAACATGAAATACAATTTAAACGGAAAGATATCACAATACCATGTATTATTATTCTCATAGATGGATAGGATTGTGATTATGAACTATGAATATTTTTAACTTACTTGTCTAGCTAATCGAGTTAATTCAGCTTGACGTGTAGCTGTTAATTTTTCATCTTCTAATCTTAAATTTTGATCACTACGTATACGTTCTGCACCAACTTCAATATCATGCTGAGTACGGGTCAACCTATATAGGAGAAAGAGAGAGAGAAAGAAGAAAACAAAATCTATCTAATAATTAAAATAAAAAACACTTTTAAACAATTTTTAATTATCAAATGATTGGTGAGTTTAAATGCATTAAAAAAATTTGAAAAGTATAGTGCACACATACTGAATATTTGATAGAGCGAAAAAAAAGCCTCATTAATTCTACACAGAATGACCATAAACTCTTTCCGCTTCAACAATGATTACCATATAGCATCATTAGTTATAGAATATCCCGACCGTAGCTGCTACCTTGATGTGGTGGTCGGGCTTGCCTATCATGATAACCCAGCCGAGCTATACTGGCTGGAACATATGTTCCTGAAGGTTCTACCATGCCAGGCAGGTCAATTGGAGAACGATGAGATTAAAAGCAGCTACTCAACGTCTGAGAGCGACGTTGTACTGCTGACTGAAGAGGGGTGTGACAGCAGTAAGATATTTCCCCCGGACAAACAGCATCTTCAGCGATGCTGCCTTCTCACAAGGAACTAAGGGTTAGAAAAGGTCGAACCTAAAAATGTCACACCTCACCTCACACAACGGATTTCCGTCTCCGGCGGTAAGGGTGCCCATTAAGGGCTTCCAAGAGCGGAGCTAATACTCAAAAAGCTTCTCATAAAAAGGCCGTGCGTGACCGGCCTCAAGCAGTTGTCCCTTGGGCTCTGCGGCCACGCACCTAGGTCTCTAAGACCAACTCTAATCTACCTTCCTTTTCAGGTTCCTCAAGAAACAACCTTCTACGGTGTGGGCAGCCGGGAAGTGATAACCGCCCTCATACCCGTAACAGCACACGAGAACAAATCGGTCAAAATAAAATCCTTCCTACACCCCCTAATACCTCTCTTTGCTCCTCGTGTATCCGGTTATAGAATATAAGTATCATTATCGATTAAGTGAATAACAAACTGTCATTTATCGAATGAGTACTATCAAGATATTAAATAACTATGAAACATCCTTCGAAAAGTGTTAGATACAAGTCAGTAAACAGAAAAAAGTTAAAAGTTGAAGAATACGTTACAGTGAATCTTTTTTCTACGTATTTATCAAGTATCTTAGTGCAGAGTATTGTAACAATGTTTTAATTGTAAGCTTTCGTTTCATGCATTGACTATTGATACATCTTTCACTATTCATCAATTATACACTTGTGATTCAATTTTCAACTTAAATTAACCTATGACTACAGAGATAATCATTTTCCAATTAATAATTTATCTGAATTTTGTAGTTGACGTATATTATCGTATGAGTTTTGAGTTATGCATAATTTAAAGTGTATACTGGGTTTATTGTTCTTGCATTCTGATTGGACAAACTGATGGTAGAAAAAGGTTGAATAGATCAATATCAGTGTCAATAAATTAGTGAATAAAACAGGTAAAATAAAAATGATTAGTATAAGTGAACTTATGATAAGTATACAGGATCTTATTAAAATGAACACATAGAGGTAATACTCATTTTTAAATGCATATTTCTTAACATACCTTGATTCCAATTCACTTAAATTAGGTAATAACTGATTATATTCTGATTTCTTTGTATTAACAGCATCTTCTAATTGTGTAAGTTGATTTTCAAGATTAGATTTATTCGACTCTAATCGTTCAACCTGTGTGCATATTGTAGGGGAATAAAACAGACAGATTGAAGCAGTTAAAAAACAAAACACTTTAAGAATTGTACTTCTTATAAAAATAACAAAAGATAGTCCAATTGAAATGCAAAGTAATTGATGAGATAATTGAAATCATCAATCAATTATTGTTAGACCAGCATTAGAAACCTGGAAGCTCTAGACGACCGTTTCGTCCTGGGTTCGAGTCCTGCGAGGTGCAAGAGTCATGGATGCGCACTGCTAATAAGTCCCATACCAGGACACGAAGGCTGTCCAGTGCTTCCAGGTTTTTAATGCTCGTCTAACAATGATTGATTGATTAGTTCGATGTGTAACAACACTAAACTCCGTAACTCTAATTGAGAAAATAGATGAAATAAATGTTGTAATGAAAGTTAGAAGGATTAAACACACCGAAAACATGATTTGAATAGACAGAATGAAAAGACATGTTATGGACAAATACTGAAACTGAATATTTACAGAAAGAACCACTGTGATCTATTCTACAGCGTGTCACCCAATCTAATACATTCATCAATGAAGAAATAAAAGGTGATTTTCTCCATAATAATTAAACTAAACCTTTGAATGAAGCTGTAATCATTTTTTGAAAATGAATTCAATTCAATACGTCATTACTGATAATTGGGTTAAATCAATGAAAATTAGGTTCAAATTATACATTTATGAAATCTATGCAGTGTGCAAGTCAGTGAATCAGAATTCAAATTAAATCAAACACAAATTAATCACAAAAATAAAATGTTAGTAAAAATAATCTAAAAAGTTTTATCGTTTTTTTTTTAAATTTGTGTCATCTATACCTGAAGATTAGTTTTTGATAATTTTGTTCGTAATTGTTCTAAATTTTCATCAGCTAATGATTTTTCTGAACGTATCATATCTAGCTGAGATTTTAAAGTATCATATTCACGTTTAGCTTCTTCATATTTTGAAACAGCTTCTTTAGCCTGTAATGAAAGCAAAAAGTTACTTTTAATTTAGCTGGTGATCAATTTTTTTTTCGACCACAACTAATTAGTTGATCCTAAACATGACAATAATGAAAACCTATGACGCTATGATAGATTGAATGACACAAAAATAGATTAGTATCTTAACATTCTGTCTGGAACCATAATATCAAAAGTAAACTACCGAAAAGCATTGCAAACTGATTACTGGTTTTACTTTCAGCGACGAATAACTTAACTTCCTTAACACAATTACGACTGAATTAGATCACAACAACAACAACAAAGACAAAGAATGATAATTTAACTGAAGTCTGTGAGATAATACTTTATAATACTTCGGATTAAGCTATACTTTCATTGATAAACTATAAAAAAACAATATGTCTATAACGACAGAGTAACATAATGTTATGAGGTGTGCAGGGATAGATAGAAATATGTCATCACTTTGTATGTCTAATTTGAAGAATCTAGCTGATATGATTTAGTTTATCAATTACATATTACGGATAAATTAATCAATGAGCATATACAAACATTGAAATTATTAGTCCTAAAAACTATATTGACAATCAAAGGAAATGAAGTAAAAACTAAGAATTTTACTTAAAAAGTTTGTAAGAAGAAAAACAACAATCATCAAAAACAAAAAATTAATTTCAACGAACTTGTGCTTTAATGATTGAAAGTTGTTGATCAGAATCTTGTATGTTAGTATTAAGTGTGGTGAGTTCTGTACGACGTTGACAGACAGTAGCCTCTAAAGTGGCTAAATCTGTAACTATACCAGTGAGTTGATCATTTTTCGATTTCTGTTCAGCTCTATAGAAATATAGAATAAAAATTTAGATTATTCATGAGTATAGCCAATGGATCACATAAAAAAAACGGAATAAATGATAATGTCAAAAAAGTACCACTTGTGAATGGAATACAAATTCGATGCTGCAAAACTGACTATACACATTAATCGATAAGATTGTTCTTCGTACATTTCCTAAGTTATAACTCCTATATTGTATAAAGAGTAGACATTTCAATTGGACCAATTTATAAATGATCTAACTAACATAAACCCACATTACATTGATGATTGATCAAATACAAAGGTCTAGTTTGACATTATTTCATAGTTTGTTACATGTCAATATAAATAATGAAATATACGATTATTGCAATCAATGAACAGGTTAAGTTTATACATGAGAACAATGAAATCATTGGATCAATTTTCTCGTCTATATAAGGAAAGTAGCCAACATTACATAACGTTTTAGGAATAAGAATGATATTTTTTATAACTATGTGGTTATTTCCCATTTGCAGGTTTAGAATTAAGTAACACACCCAGAAAATACCAATGTATTTTTCTTTCCATCTTAATACAATAATCTACAAAAGTTGATCATTGTAGTAACAAACTGCAAATTAAAAAGGTGAAGTAGCACAAAAACAATTTCATAATAACCAAACTCCATACATTGAACACTATGAGTAGAAAACAATTAGTCAAATGAATGTTTAAATCAATATAATTGATACCATGAATAAATACAACCAATTAAATATTATATAATCAACTAGAACTTACTCTTTTTCACTTGATAAACGTGTAACTTCTTGTTTTGCAATTTTTAAATCTTCTTGACAAGACAGCAGCTCTGATTTTAATCGATTTAAAACAGAATCTTGTTCCTTTTTTCGATACAGAAAATTTGGAGAAAAATATAAGCGGTAAACGTTTTGATCAGTTAAACAAAATCTAAAAATACTAACCAATAATGATTGGATTTTTGAGAATCAATCAAGAGAATGTAATGAGGCTAAAACAATAGCTGAAGCAGAATTCACGATATTTTGAGGTCTGTCTTTACGTGTTTACATTCGTAAATTTAATCAAATGTAACACTGGATGATATAACAGTTAAAGCAATAAATAGTGGAACATCAACAATTACCAGTAGAAACGATAATCGTTATTATTTCGAATCATCCTATCACTAATATTTATTACTTTATACGGTTGTATAGTCCAATATTACACTTTGATAACAATACGCTAGTAAGAAAATGATGACAAATTACGATAGATGATGAAACTTTTGTCTTAATTTGTTCTTTTGGCTTTATTCGAATTCGTAAATGGAACCAATTGTATGAAACATTTAGAGAGAATATGAATTGAGAGGATAAGAGAACAATCAAACCCAAGTAATTATAACAAATGACGAATCGATCGACCCCTATCAGAAACCTGTAAGCACTAGGTAGCCATTTTGTCGTAGCATGGGACTCTTTAGTAGTGTGGATCCATGATCCCCACTAGTAGGAATCGAACTCAGGATCTTAGGTCTGAACCCCAGACCATTGAGCCAGCATCCAACAGTGTTAATGTTGAACTTTTATCAATCCAAAGTATTGTGCGACCGCACTTATTGTCTTTGGTAGGTAACTGCCTACACCCGACAGGATTGAGCTCCATCAGTGACGACTTCTCATTAGAATTCCAAGAATTTCCTCATGAAGCTAGTCACTAGTGAGCATATTCTCCATCGCAACTCAATAATCTTCACAACCGTATGATAAAAATGATAACAACATTGGCGTTATGTTCTAATTATCATCTTTTAAACAATAATACACATCGATCATCTTGAATATTACAAATATAATGGATGAAGTTGAGTTGATTTCTAATATATTCATTTACATAAACAATTAAGAATCATTTGGTATTTATAACAAAACAAAAAACTATGTGTGAAAATCAGAAAATAATATGAATAAAGTATAAAGATTGATGTTGAGAAAATCGAACAATTAATAATTTGTTTACAAGTATTTATTTAATCAAAATTGTAGAAATTTATTAAAAGGAAATGGATTGATCTATAATTTATGCAAAAGCTGTTACAGATATGATAATCATAGATGTTATATTTAAAAGAAATAATATTTATTGGATAATTTCATAAAGTACAATATAAACCATTCATTTAAATTATAACGTTTTTACCAGATGCAATACGAATAAACAAACTAATGAACTAGTAAAAAAAATTAGAGAAAAAATATCAGTTTAATTGAACATTGACTGTTTAAAGCAGAACTAATAAGTTAAAGCCTAGCAACGCACTAATAACATTGAATAACTAATCTACTCTATATAACACACATTGATGGATACTCAGAAAAAGTATCAACTAATGTTTTCCAACATTATTGATTCAAATACAATTTAGTATTAGTTGCTAGATAGAACTTCATACGTACGTACATCAGTTCAAGTTGCGATACCACATTAGCACAGATATGCAATCGTCAATTCAAATGCCATAGTAGTAGATGTAGTAGACGTGCTAGCAGTAATCAGAAAATTTTAGAGTTCGACAATATTATTCAAGAAGTAGGATCCAGTGAAATAAACTTCAAAGAAAATGACAAAGGTGATGAGGAGCTAAAAAGGTCAGGATTTGAGAGAACACAAAGAATGGATGCATCTGCGCCACTGCAAACGGTTTTGTGCCATGTCATTCATAGGCTCTAACCATCGATTACTATCATCTTGCGGGCCCCAACCAATCAATTTCATGCGTATGCGAACTCATAAAATCATAAAATGAGATAACAACGTCTCTCTCTCAGTTTAGTTACTTAGTTTCGTTCCAAATTACAATCATATAAAGCATAACAAATGACAAAACATGTGACATTCAAAATTACCTCTAATTGACATTCTAATTTTCTGCGTATTTTCATACTATGTCGAAGTTTATTCTGGAAGTTGTTTTTTTTGTTCAAATAGAATTAAAACGAAAGAAAAGAATAAATAAAAAATAAACAGTTTTATTGTTTATCAAAATATTAAAAAAAATTTCGGTTTTATCATCAATGGTTTCATTCAAAAATGATAATTTATTTCATGATTACTATAGTGACAAGAGAGTTATTTAGTTTGTTTGAAAACAACAACAACAACAATAAAAACAAAAATGCATGGCGTTAAATGTTTCATTTATTAGGAATTGATCATGTAAATAATAAAACAGAAAAAACTTGTTTATTCAGTTCTTTTTATGATCAAATCGATAGAATATTCTCTCAATGAAATGTAGAAATACAATAAACAACTAGTGGTTGTTAACGTTAAAAATAAAATAATAATAAATTCACATCGTTTTACGTAAGTACAACATCAAAAAAATAATTACAAATTCTATTTAAATAAGGTAGTGAATAGTTGAAATTTATCAGCATTCACGTAATATATTTTTTTTTTCAAAAAATTGACATTTACTAAACGCAAATTCTAAATGGTAAGAAAGACTAATGAATTATAATGCTTTCTAAAGCTTTCTCAAACATTGAATTACGAAAGATAAAGTTGCTTATCAAATTAGCCATTCTGATGCTATTCTATATAGAATTGAGACGTCATTTTACAGTACAGTAAACTAAACAAACATATTAGACATCTGTTCAGGTTACATGAAAATAGGCTAAAGTATACTATAGTGTTGATTTTCAATCAATGGCTTTCAAGTCAATCAGATTTGAGTTTCAAGCAAAAATCCATAAGTAACTATATTAGATCTGAGGAATTTTAGTCCTATATATTATATATACTTTAGTCATGACAGTCTCATATTGTCCGTAAAAAACAAACTATCTGTCATTCAATCACTCATTTTTAAACATATAATTAATGATTGCTAGTAAACAAGAAAATCATTTAGATCCTTTTATTTGGCATCGTTTAAATTTCGGTTGAATAATAAATGAATGCAAAAACAATTTTTTTGATAAACAATTCACTGATGGTGAAAGAGAGTCACAACGCCGCTATTGTAGTACCTAGTACGTTGAAGTATCATGTAGTAAGCATGCCAATTTTGTGTCATTAAAATGCAGATATCTATTCACGATAAAAACCAAAACTAATCTATAAGAAAAGATAAGTAGTGCTTTACATAATTCCTCTTTGATAGAAGTTCACACCAAATTAAGTGATTGTAGTTTGTTATCAGAATGTGCAAGACCCTAAATCTCGTACCGATAGCGATTTTTTTAGCCATCGTAACCAAGAATCTTTAAGCCACTGATGCCATTTGGTGGGTTCGAACCGGGATCAACTAGTCTCACAGTCTGAGACGTTATCATCAGGTTGTTTATGACTCGACTGACTACTGCAGAACTGAAATATTTATACTGATTGACTACTAAATGATGATCAAAGTCAAATTTATCCTATCAATAGATATCAGTTATCAGTAGGAACTAGACAAACATAACATCGGTCACTATCTTAATGATTGATCAATATATGAGCAAACAACACAATAATCGCTGAATAAATTACTTTTATGGATAATAATTAATGACCTTAATAAACTCGTTTCGCAGCGTAGATTTAATTTTAATTTTAATTTTTAAGTAACAATTTTTGGTTAGTCAGAAATGAAACAATTAAAAATCCGAACAATAACTGATTGTATCCATTTTTTTCAGTATGATAATGATAACGAATCTACAGATGTTTGCTATTTTAATAACAAAAATAAACAAGAATCTGCTTTTAGGTAATTGATTTCTCATAAATTAACTTTATTATTATCACCATGGAGATGTTATGGAGATGTGCATATGAAATAATGTTTATTTTATTGAATATTAGAATAATATGATTCTATCTATTCGATACAATTTAAAATTAGATTTAAAAAGTTCTTGTAAACACTTTGAATGTATTAGCTGTGTTGAAAGGAAAGCAATTGGATGAATATCACATTCACCATAAATAGTTGAACACAATTAGTTTCATAATATATGTTTGTTTTCAATATGCTTTATTACATTCTGCCTTTTATACGGGTAAAATTTGATTTTAAAAAAATGTTGTTCGTGTTGAATATAATAAAACTTAATGAATGTTAATTATATCAATGAAGTTATCGTTCCTCTTCATTTTTACACAGCTACTTTATGTTGATTTTCATTGATAATCATGTCACATACACAGTATCACGTTAAATGTAAGCCATAAGGAGGGCTTTAGCAAATAAGACAGTTTCATTCTCAAAGATTGTGAAATTTCAAAAAATATACAAAAATATCTCAAAATGATAACTTCTAAGACATTAGGGATCATTTGCAAATAAACGAATATACCAAATAATACATATATCTGTCATTTCAAACTGAAGGGTAACAGTGAAGGTAAAATTGTGATAAATGCCTTAATCAATTCACTATGAAATATATTTTATGCTGTTTATTGTGTTTATCTTACACATAAAAATCTGAATGAAGAATAAATTACTTCGATTGACCTATTCGATGTGTGTGTATATTTGCTGACTGGAACTTTATAGAACTAGGTACATAGTTCAATCATAGAGGATGATGTATAAGACAGAAGTTCTCAAAGAACTCCACAACTGATCTTAACTACTCAGTAACTAAGTTATGAGATCAAACCTATGTCAAACTAATTTGGTTCGCCTTTCTTCCACGTTCAGAGAGCAATGTGAAATTGTTTTGATGAGATTCAACAATAGATTAATGGAGACAAGAATACAGGAATAAAAAAAAGAATGGTAGGAGAACTGAAAAAATATCTCCGAATGACACGGAGCAAACAGATATTCTGAGACACAGCGATAAGGATGAACGATTGCCAACAAAGTGATCAACTGCAGTCTTGAATGACAACAATTATTCCCTACAGTCAGGCACACTTGAGCTTTTAAAAACGGAGACATTTTAGCTTAAAAAATATGCAAAAACATCTATCAATCCAATGTACTGTAAATATCATATTATCCATTAGTTTATCCATAGAAATGATGCCAGACAAGTCATATCATTAGGAGTAACTCATATAGAATGAGATAATCATTCTTTAGTCAAATACATAATATTCAAATAGGTAAACTAAAGACAATTAAACACAATAATCAATGATTTCAATCATAAATTAATTTCATTTTGGTTTGATTTAACACAAACAACATCTAGACTAATTACAAGTGTGATTCAAATTGGTCACATCAATTTAGATTCGCCAATACACTGGATAGGCAGTATAGTCAAAGGCAGTTTAGTTGCCAAACTATTCATTGAAGGGTTATCAACAACATCGTAGCACTGAACGCATATTTATTTCTTACGATAAATATCAAGTCAGAAACAAACACAATATATAGAGTTTAAAATAAATAATAATAAAAATAATAATTCAAGCAAACAACTTTTTTCTAAAAGCGAGCATTATAAACAAATAATAATAATAACTACCTGAGTAATTTCATGCTGATCACATAACTCTTCAATTCTATACTGTAATTGACCAAGACAATCTTCTAAATCATGATGTTCAGGTACATTACAGTATAATTGATGATTTCCACTGGATGATTGAGTAATAGGTGCTGTGATAACATTAGAATTTAACCAATCCACTCTGTTCATACGTTCATTACCTCCTGGTACACCAGTTAAACCAGTCATTAGAGATTGAGTACGATGAACTATTATAGGTTGACGAGGTAAATAATACAAAATAAACTAATTATCACATATAATTTTTAAAATAGAATTTAAGAAGTAATTACTTATTAGACAATATAATTGAAACATCAGTTAAACATTTACACATCAATCAATATTCAATGTTGAATGGTTAAAAATGTGGTAGTTGCTTGTATAAAAATACTTGCATATGCATATTACTTGTGTCCTATGTTTAATTCAATAAAAAAAATGAAACTTCAGTGACGATTAGTAAAATCAAGCTAACTTGAGCGACAATCACTTTTTCATTCATTAAGGAGTCAAATTTCAGTCAAAGGACAATAAACTGTCTGTATTCCATTCTGCGTTCTGTATTTTTTAGAATAACCAAAGCATTATTATCTTGATAGATCACTGTTTAACCTTAGTTCAATAAAATTAATCAAAATACCCGAGAATTCATTTCTTCTGTTGAGTATGACTATCAAAAGAATTTATGTGAATTATTTCATCTTACCATTTTCTGGCAAATTTTCGGAAAAAAAGAAAAATATTAGTCATATCTCCCATATTGTCAACTACTTCATAAATTATATAAGTTTAGTTATGTGTGAATTGAGTATTTATTTGTTAATAAAATAAAGTAGTTTATGTATAACAGGATAGTATTATAGAATGAGTAAATCAACTTATAAAAATAGCATAAAATTAAGCATAAGAGAGAGTGAGATTAAAACAAGTATCAACAAAATTACAGCACTAGATTCAATTATACAAACTAAAATATTGTTACTTATATTTGCTTATTTATTTATGAATTATCTTTTAATCTTGTTTATTTTTAAGATTTTATCTGCGTTAATGAGTTGGGAAAAAAACTTGTCATATTAACCAGTTACTTTGCCAATAATGTCAAATACCTCGGGAGAGGATAGAAACTTAAGTCAATAATCGGATCTCGTAAAGGGTCATCACTCAACTAAATCGTATCACTTTAGTTAATTCTATTAATCAGTATCCCTTTTATTTATGTTGAAAATCGAAAATTTATTGATAAAATCTTTGAATTCCTATTCCATAACATAAAAACGACAAAAGAGTATCATGTCAAATTGAAAACAAATCAACAATCACACTATACCACTATATACAACATATATGTAACTCCGTCTGGAATGTTCTCAGGGATACTGCCGGTCCCGAGACCGGATAAAAGAGGAGGGTTGGGCATAGGGTTACCGACCCCATCTTGTAAAAAACAAACGTTAATCAGAATATATATATATATATATATATATATATATATATATATATATATTAGTTTACTTATATGACAACACATGCAAAAACTTATATTTAGATATTCAGGAAAAATATATAAACTTACAAACTGAAGCGAATATTTCAAGAAAATCCACTTGATGTTTAGTGTTACGTAGAATTCAAATTTATTTTCAAAGGTGAATAAATTTTTAAGCGACTATATGTGTATACAAATATGTAGTTAATATAATATTTCCCCTGTTTACATCAATGATTAACAGGAACCGACTGTGAGATCAGATTGACTGAGTAAATTTCTTAACTCAACCGTATTATGAATAGAAAAATAAAAAATAATACTATACTGATCTTGGACAAGATAACATTACTTATTTGCTCACTTATACAAAATCATACACAAAACACACAGATGCACAAAGCATTGAATTTCAGAAGAGAAAAGAAACTGTCCAATTGTATTAATGACAAATGACAAGATCAAATTCTTAATTCTATCAGATAAATTAGTAAACACATCTGATTCACAAAAACCAACTCATAAATGATGTCTAAAGGACACAAATTGACGAAAACAAAGAGGAAAGTTTTTCTTTGATTAATGACATTTTGACATAGAAGATTTGTTATGACCTCAAGTATAAAATACTGAGAACAAAGGAAATGAAATAGTAATAAAAAGAAAAAAAGTACATCCATCGGCTAATAGATGAACACAGCGAACCATAGAATGAGTTCAAAATTAGTCAGATTTTGATTGTATGACTTAAATACATAGAAATCGGTGAGTGATCACCTTAAAAATACTATGACAGAGTTCTTTATGCATAAATTCCTAAGAGAAAGATGGTTTACATCTACCCAACAGTAATAAGAACGCTACAAGCATACATAAACAGTGAATAAGTCTAAAAACCCATACTCTAACAACAAGGTAACCTATTTACATTATCATACTCGCTTCCCTGTTATTAAGTTACAACCCTTAATTTAAACCTTAAAAAAATGAAAATCCTATAATGTATTTACAAAAATAACTAAAACACCACTTACTAGTTTGTCGAGGACGAATAGAGTTTGGAACTTGTGGTTGTTGTTGTTGCTGATGGTGATGACTGTATTGATTGGCATATTCTGGTTGCATATGTTTATGCAGGTCAAGCAGACCAACTTGTAAACGTTGTAGATCATTTGGAGATACATCGTCTATATAAATGTTGCATGTATAAAGATGGAATAATGATAACAAAAAGAAAGTGAATATACATTTTCAGAATATCAATGAGAAAAAAAGTCGAACTGATTAATTGATTCCATCTAAAAACAAATGAAAACTTGTATAGAGTGGATAGAATATGGTTAGTAGTGGAATCCAGGACGCGCATTCCATTCTATTTTGGATCCATCAGCTAGATGTATTTACGTCCCAGAGTATTTTTTCACTCTTGGACTCAAATCCAGTACTGCTTGCCTCAAACGTCATCAACAAATAAAAGTATCACCTAATGACTAAACTTAACGATAATAATATAAGCCGAGCAGATAAACACTACAGATACATACATGTATATGTATATTACATAAAAGAATTTAACAGTTCAAAAAATCTAACAAAAATTCTTACTTACTTGGATTAAGACCAAATAATGAATTGAGTAGATTATTCAATGTGTTTATCTCTTCTTTTTGTGCATCTAATGTTGCTTTAGTTTGATCTAATTCCAACTGTTGACGTTCTGATTAAAACAAAGTATACATAGAATAGATTATAAACAAAATTATGTAATATTTTTTTATGCAATATTAATATTTAAATAACAATGGATATATTCAATGTCAATTTAGTCAACAAGTAAACAGTAAAAAGATACTTTATTGATTTTAAAAATTATTTCCTTAAACACCTGTCTGTTCCAGTATGATTTCAGACTACTTATGAAAAGGAAGAAAGAAGCAAATTATCACTGCTCAAAATAAGCTACTGTTGAACAATCTTACACAATATCGAATCGACCGACTCCTAATGTGATCACAAAGGTCTATTTAGTATAAAATTAAGTACAGTTATAAATGAACGATAATATAGTAATCATTTTGTCAGTAAAACGCTCTCTTTCAAGAAAATATTCTTCATTAAAAATTAATTTTAAGCTAAAAATCTATTTAGGAAAGTTAATAATTACAATTTAAAAAAAAAACAATTCATTAATAATTAGTTAACTTTTTTTTAAATAATGATGATGTCACAATAAGGCGGAAGAATGAATTTTCAGAATATCATATCAATATTATTATTATTATAGGAAAAATATACATATCTATGTATACAAACCTAATTTCAACTCAGATTGATTATTAGTCTTTTTGGATGCTTCCAATTGATCAACTTGTTCACGAAGTTTACCAATATCTGTTTGACAACATTTCAATTCATTAAGTGTTGCAGCTAGACGCTAAATAAAAGAATTTTAAAAACAAAGAGAAAACTAATAAAGCTTTTTTTGCATATATATATAGAGAGAACACTGGAACATTATGTCATACGTTTGAACTGAGTAAAATGTTAATCAATGAAGCGAGGTAAAGCAAAGTATCAAGGGAATCAGGTATCTGTGTGACTGAATCACAGGATTGAACTATACTGGTCAGGTTGTTGTGTTAACACTTGGATAGTGTCTAGTTTTCATGAAAACTAATGTAAAACTACCTTTGCCCATTGAGGTTAAATTTATAATAATAAATAGAATATACATGGTTATGGACATAAGGCGACCTGTTTATGCTTCCGGGTTGTTTAGTTTACAAATGTGTGAATATTACAATGAAAAAGATCATGTTTTCACCATTTCAACTGATTGACTATGCTCAAATCATTTCATAATGTTTACAATCTTCAACGAGGATAATTATTGTGTTAAATAAAAGTAAAAACCACCACGGTGGTGACTGACAAATTCTCCAGCTTTTTTGAAAAATACGAAGCATGCATAGAAGACTGTTATGCAATGTGAAACAATGTCATGGGAGTGAAGCTGATAAAGAAGGTTTGCAAATGAATATATTTGGCAGCTGGTATAACACTTGGAATTTTTTTTCTTAAAAAACAATTCTCACTCCCCTCAATGGACATTTTTCTGAGCATATCTTGACAGTACAGTAAAACAAAAAGTCTACTTCTGTATGAAATAATTGAATTTAATACTTCACCAAGAGAATAGTTACCGTAAAAATCCACTAAAATAGAAAAACCCATAATTTGGTTTTAAATAATAAAATATACACTTGACTAATTGTAAAATAAATATCGGTTGTAAAACCATTGGCAATAGTTTTGTGACATCATTCATTCATGTCGTAAATCACCTTTTATTACAAGCCTTATATTTTATTGAACTACTTGAATATCATAAATTTATCATAAGTATTGAAATATAAAGCAAGTGACATTTTAATTTTTACAAAAACAAAACGTATTCATGACTGTAGTTTATTCTCCTAGGTGGGCTGTTTATTGATGTAGGATAAGAGTAGAAGAAAACTAGGAGCGATTCATTTAGGCATTCCGGATCATTCCATCACCAGTACAGTCTAATGTTACATTTTAATAACAATACAGTATAGTAAACAACTGAAAACAAATCATCAAATGCAACGAATTCATATTATTCTAACATCAATTGTTTTGTTTTTTAGGGCTTTATTGAAATAAATCAATAAATCAAAGAAACATTAACACAGAAAATTACTTTTTCCCATCGTGTACGTTCAACTTCACGTTGTCTAGCTACTTCAACATCATGATTTAAACATCGTTGACGTTGTAATTCCAATTCAAGTAATGAAATATGCCTTAATGCAACTTCAAGCTAATTAATTACAGAAAGAAAACAAAAGTATGAATAATAAAAGTTATATTGCAATATAAATTCTATTGTATTAATTAATTATATTAAACTGAAAAGAATGAATAAGAAAAAATTTAAAATGGAATATTAAATTTAGGAAAATAATCCACCATTATATATCTCATTCAGTGCTTATAGTTGACTAGAAAATTGATTTTAACTTGTGAGAGTAATGCATCAAATCACCAGAAGAAATCAACTAATTTAACATACCTATCAGGTTTGTAAGAAAAATTTTTTTGACTGAAACCTTTTAACATGATTTGAATACAATAAATCCTAGTGGAAAAGTTGAAATAATAATAAAATATGGAAGAAACAATATCTGTTGACAAAACACAAGGAAATATACAAAATTTCTTGTTTGCTCCTGTTACCCCTAATGGAGCATATGCCGCCAACCAGCACTCTCTCACCAACTCTGTCCTGGGCTTTCCTTTCTAGTTCAATCCAAACGCTATCCGTTCTTATCATATCTGTTTCCGATTCTCGGCGCAGTATGTTCCTTGGTCTACTACGTTTCCGTTTACCACGAGGGTTCCAAGTTAGAGCTTGCCTCGTGATGTCGTTGGGTGATTTCCGCAATCTGTGTCCTATCTACTTCCAGTGCTTTTTCCTAATTTCTTCCTCAGCTGGAATATGGTTTGTTTTCTCTCACAATAGGTTGTTGCTGATGCTATCTGGCCAATGGATTCGCAGTATCATGCGTAGACAGTTGTTTAGGTTGCTGCTACAATATCCGTTTTCACCTGAATTTGTTGCTGTGTGAGATAGAAGAGTTATGTCATATGAGAAGTCCAAATCGTCTGGCTAGATCCTAGTTGTCCATCGTACCTCTTGATTCCCTTAAAATGTTGAGGTCTTCATAATCCAGTCATCCACCAGAAGAAAGGGTGAGTGTAAGCCACCTTGTCTGACACCGGTTTTCACTTAGAATGAATTTGCGAGCTGCCCGTCATGAACGATTTTGCAATTCAACCCATCGTTGTGCAATAAGAAAAAACCTACTTACATACGTCATATAAAAGAAGATAACTATAAAAAAAAATGGATAAAACTCACTCTTTCCGAATTAGCTTCACGTGTTCTCTTTAAACCTTGGCGTAATCCAAGTAGTTCATCTGTCAAATGAATAAGCGCTGCAGTTTCAGATGGTGGATCAGCATCACAATATTCTAAATTATTTAATAGATTAGTTTCAGAACCTCTTAATAAAGAGTGTTTATGATGTTGACGAGTATATTCCAGCGAATGTCCGCGAGAATATCTTCTTCTATAAGTGTCATCATGATAAGGTGAGAAATTAGTGTTGACTGGATATTGACGAGGTATTGACCTTGTTCTCGGACGTCTACTAATAACTCGACTTTTGTGCAGAGATGTTGTCCTACGATTTGAGCAAGCTAGTAAAACATTTTAGAAAGTTAAGTGAAATATAACAATAAAAATGATAATAAAGCTTAATAAACACGATATGTATGCTTGCTTTTATTTAGAGAAAGCATTCAACCAAATAAAATATGAAAATAAGAATTTGAAGAAAAACCAAAAATTAGAAATCCGTTAAAAAAACTCAATAATAATGAATTAAAAATGACAAATAACTAAACTATCTAAAACTGTTGTTCCGAAATTCACACACTCAACTGTTAACCTATAGTTTTCATATCCAGGTTGTTTTCTCAATACATAGGTTTCGTAATCCAGCGGGTGTATCTAGATATTCTAAAACGGGAATAGTTTAGGGAGTTGACTGATACAATGACAGCATGTTTAAATTCCATCAGTCACGACCTATCATTAGAACTTCAGGAACCCGTTTAGAAGTAAGTCAATAGTGAACACATCGCTACAGTGTAAATGAAGTTGTTTCATGTAAACTGATGTAATCTGCATGTAGTACTCACTTTCAATTTACTTATTTATTTATAACCTCGTACAAAATGAAGATGTATGCTTGACCCTAACTATAAGAATCTTTTACTAATACCAATTAGAGTTCTCTCAGATCGTATGGAGCAGTTGGAAAGAAGCGAAGCACGTAGCATGAAAGTAAGAGCTTCTCTTAATATTGAACTTGAATTTTAGTTATCTATGTTCTTTGCAACTTGTAGCTTATAAACCGTGCTATCATCCAAAAGACAGCTTAAATCAGTTATCAACAAAAATATGTAACAATCTAAAACAAGTTTGGAGCACATACATAAAAATGTATTGAAGAAAGTGTCAAACATATATAAACACTTAGACAGACAATGATATATTTACATATAATACTTACAACGAATAGAATTTTTCTGATCACTATTCCAATTAATATCCGGTACTCCATTTGACCAATAATTTTTCAAATCAACCAGTGGTTCAATTTGTCGTTTATAATCTTGACAATGATAAGAATAATTCATTTGGTCATTATAATTATTATTAATTTCACAAAAATCATCATCGTCATCGTTATTATTATTATTATTATTACCATTATTAATATTGTCATTGTGATGATCAATTAAATCCAACTCATCATAATCATTATTAATATTATTATTATTACTAATATTATCATCATGAAATGATTTAGTATGTGGTAATAATCGACGCATTTGTGTTTTACACTGTGAATGGCTTGAATTGAAATTTTTCTCATTATTATTGATAGTAGTATTAATAGTATTGTTTGTATTAGTAGTAGTATTATCATTATTTTCAGATGGATATTGATGATAATTTGTTGTACGTGATTGTGTTTTTTGATATAGAACAGTAGGTTGACATTCTGTAAAAGTACAATCGTCATTATCATCACCAGCTGGTGAATATCTAGTTTTTAAAGAATCAACGTGATTTCGCATCGGTTCAACACAATCAGCATAAATCTATCATTAGAGATAAGGAAAAATAAAATGGAATGATGTGAATTTATTTTCAGAAATCACACAATATAGTTGAATTCATTTAAAAAAAAAACAACCTTTATATTCTTTATAAGAATAAAAATATTACACATTCACAGAATATAACTGTTGAATATCTTACATTCATGTATTATTCACACTATTTAGTATAGATAACATTTAAAAAAATGGTCGAAATTTCAAAGTATTCAATAATTCATTAGTCTATAGATAATGATAAGATATTTTGTATAACAAATAATCCCTATAACTAGATCCAGTTGAAAAAAGTAATCAAACTTTATTTCCATAATGAATGGTAATTTGTTACTGATATAACAATTGAAAAAAAAGTTAGTTTATCTTAATTAAGTTTTAGAAATAACTACAAAATAGAAGTGTATTCTTGTTAAAAATGAAAAAGCTGTATGAAAATAGTTCAGAAAGAGGGAATCAAACTACCAATAAAATCAACAACAACAAAGAAAAAAGATTACCACAGATTGTTAATCACGTAGATTAAATTTTTTTTTCAAAGAAAAAAAAATATATCACCACAATTGTTCACTATAGAGTTATATTTTAAATGCCATTTCAAGATATTTTCCAAACTACATCTGCAGGTCAATAATCTTCTAACGCAAACAAAACTCAAAAACAATCGAACTAATACTGTATTCTATAATTTAACAGACAGTCTAAGATTGTATGAAAGAACAATGCTTTAATATTCACAGACCAAATGATTTTATATTTTAGTGGATTACTAATATTACTGGAATGGTTGTTTTAGCATTTGACTTTCAGCTACAATGTCTCAGACAGAAATCCTGCTCTTTCTAATTCGAAATAAGTTGTCAGGTAGTATTACTGTATTACTAATGGCCACATTTTGAGTGTGATTCAAAATGAAGTATATTATTTTATAACTGGTAAATAAGTTGAATAGTAGCACTGAAAAATCAATATAATGAAGATCATAGTTTCGTTTATTCTTCCTGAGAATGATAACAATCTGTTCAATAAAAATTAACGCAAATTAATAACTCATCAAATTAAAAACACCATTATATGACAAGTGGAAAGTATTAATGTTCTTGTGTCACATGTACAAAATACAAACATTAAATATTGACAAATGAAACATGAATTCGACTGAGAATAATCATCATGCCATATGGTTATTTAACTCCGCCTGAAGTCCCTCTGCGGCTACTGCAGGCCACAAGCCGCGACCTCATCGCATAAAAAACTTAGTCGCTAAAAAACAGAAACCAGAAAACATTATTCAAACCATTTTAGCTCTGCCCTAGGAGTTAGAAGGTCTTCCTTCATAAAAGTTATGACGTCTGATGATGAAAGCCGAGTTTCTTCGGAAGTCACGAGGCCGATGCCCCTTCTAAAAATCAGAGCAACCATTTTTTAAGTAGATGGAACGTTCGAACAAAAATTGGATAGAACTGGAAAGGGAAGCCTAGAACAGAGTAGGTTGGTGAACACTAGTCGGCGACCTCTAATACATTGAGGGTGACAGGCATATGGTTATTTGACTGAGGTGAACTCCATTCTATTTATTACAGGATAGATACATCAATACTTATGAGTTTATGAAAATACAATCAGGGGACTGGTTCCTTGTATAAAAAAACATGTATAGCTACCAAATTAACAGCCAACAACAACAACAATAGCATACTTTATACGATACATCAATCAAAAGTTACTTTATGAATAAAGATTTTGAAATATTATCATGAGAATAACACCAAGACGCAAACATAATGTCATTATTACGAGTATTACAAATACAAGAATAATGCAAACACTAATTATACACAAAAACAAATTATTCCCTACAGAATGAATAGTGTGTTTGGTCAACGGATCTCATAACGTCGCTCCATTGACTTATGCAGTAGACTCGGGGAAATTAGCTCGCTTTACAAAAACCGTCTGTTTTAATTTTGGCAACCGGACAGTGATCCATTGCATGCCTTAAGATAAGGCATTATTATAAAAATAATTTAATAAAACAAAAATTTCTAACATATAAATCATGACTTACATAACAGATTGGTTGAATATATGATTATATAAATCGATTGAAGGATTCAATTTAGATTAATTCTATTCCATTTATCAATAAACATTTTTAATCATTAATTTTGTGTAGTAACATATCAGAGACAATTACGTAATACAGAAGAATTTTCAAAAAAAATTCCCTTTCATGTAATTTCAATCCAAAATTTATACAGGTTGACAAAAATGATTAGTTATCTATTTAAGTGTAGCAATAAATCAAATATGTTCAAAGTTCAATAGAAGATAAGGTCAAATATTACGAATAAAGGTAAGTGTGAATGTGAACTGAGATACACTAAATACGTCTACTTATTGGTTTTTTTTTCATATGTGTGTGAGAGAGGTGAGTGAAGAATATATGATACACACTCGAACATACAAACACCTCTATATGAATACAAACAGAAGTATAAGCTCGAATTATTGATGTCCCCATTTGAAATAGAATCATTTGGCTTCTTCTGTTCAGCTTACATCAATGGAATAAAATGATATTCATTAACACACATGCGCACACACACACGCACACACACAAAGTTTGACACAAACACTTTGACGATAATCGATCAAAATTGTGTGCAACGGTTTGCGTTTTGTTATAGTCCTGATTACAATAAAGTATAGTTAAATAACATACGATAAATGATAAAATCACTGCTGAGAACAAAACTTAATTTAACCGCTAAAATGAAATGATATAATCCATTATCATTATCCATTGGGTAATTCAAGTGATATGATTATTTCCTTTATAAATCCTTGTAATAATAATAATAATTGCATAAGTATATATAAATACAATTGTAGAAGTCCAAAAAAATATCTCCCAATCTATATCATATTCACTTAGAGGGTAAATACATAACTAACTGTAATCGGAAGAAATAAAGTCATTTATATGTGAATAAGTCATAACAACCAAAAGCCTTTTTTGTCTATCTATCAATATATATATATATATATATATATATATATATATATATATATATATATCTGTGTAGCTACATACCAATATTGTATACATAATGAGCAGTAAGGCATATATGTATACGTATACATATAAATATACATATACACTTATAAATTTCAGAAAATGAAAACAAGAACAGTTAAAATGTTTGCATATATTTGCAGTAGACATAAAGTCAATGAACCAAGGACAGATAAAGTTGACCATTCAATGATTTAGCAGGATACAATGAATAATAGAAAGATGGAAAGAGTAGAAAAATATTATGGGTAAAACTTTATTATTATTATTATTATTATTATTATTATTATTAGTAGTAGTAGTAGTAGTAGTAGTAGTAGTAGTAGTAGGATTACCCCCGGGACAATCATAAATAAATCGAATAAATTTGTAAAGGTATAAAAGTTAAATTATTTAAAAATGATATCATCAATTTGGAAGAATTTGTTATTCTGCCCACAGAAAAAAAATTTCCCCAGACAGTGAAAAAGAAAATAATGTAAGTTATGACCAATCTAAGTTGTATACATGAAAAAACAGATTGAATTAGGCATACTTCAATGTTTTTATTCCACAACTAGATTGTAAGATGTAAGAGCTTGTTAAAAATTCAATAACACCAACAGTAGACAAAAAACGCACACATCCCATTCAACCAGTACGTCAACTGAAATATCCATTTATAATCCTAACACAATTCACATGAATCACTGAATTATAAAGGTAGTGAGTTTAGTCAAGATCATAAAATTATGTATTGTATTTAACCTAATTACAAGACATGAATTAACAAATGATTTCATTCATAGTGGTAGTAGTAGTATTGTTTATTTAAATGAATAAAGTATAATTATGAGTTGATTATGTTTAAAGTAGCACGTGTGTGGAATACTCAATGATTAATAGGAAACGGGTCCTAGGTAAGGATGGCACATCAATAGATGAAGTATTGGAACTTCATCAGTTGAGGTGGTTGGGACATATGTTATACATGCCTAACCACCGACTGCCTAGTTGAGCTATGCTTTGCGATGTGGGAATAGGTTGGAAGAAAGCTAGGCACGGCCAGATCAAAACATGGCGGAAATTCATGACGTCACTGACAAGTGGACAGAGTCATGTTGGTAGGTGTAAATTACCTGGTTGAGGCCCGCGAAATGATAATTATCGATGGTTAGAGACCCTGAGTGACATGGCTCAAAACCATTCGCAATCGCGCAGGTGCATTCATTCATTGTGTTCTCTCAAATCCTAAACTTTTTAATTCCTCATCCCTTCACCTTTTTCTTTGTACGTTTATTTCACTGGATATTACTGCTTGAATAGTATCTTCGAACCTTAATCTCGTCGATTACTTCTAATACCTTTACTACCTCTACTACTATGGGATTTGAAATGACAGTTGCATCTCTGTGCTAATGTGTGGTATGGCAACCTGAAATGATGTATGTACGAACGAAGTTCTATGTTGCTGTTAACTTGATTTGACTCAATGATTAAATTGAAATACAGGACCTTTTTTTCAATATGATCTCTCTGACTGATGCAAGTCAGTCAATAAGTGACCTAGAGATTAGATGTTGAAGTAATCTAAAATAGTCTCAACTTCAAATAAGTAGTCTGATAAGGAAAGTGAATAGTATTGAATTGTTAGATTAAATTATTCTTACAATTCAAACAATTGTTTAAATTGTCCGCATCATTTTTTTTAAATGAACAAAAGTCAATTTCTATAAAATAAAGCAAACATTATTCAAAATAAGATATTGAACATTGGATTGGACAACAACTTACACATTGATTGTTATTTTGCTTGTTATGATGTAAATGTACGTGACGTTTTGAATTGGCTTTATGTAGTCTCGACAAGTCTTCTCGTAGACGATCGACTTCCATGGAACAAGCATCACGTGACATGACAATCTTTAAAATTGTTTTTTTTTCAAGTAGAAGACAGAATGATCAAGCAAAAAAAAATGTATGATTAGTAAAATTATAAAGATATTAAAGTAACATTTAGAATTTAGCATAAAAGTATAAAAGAGTTAAATTTGTCAATTTATCAATGAAGTGCAATCATGCAGACAAATTGTCTTTTATTTTTTAAATACTCAATAAAGCATTTTAATAATTCATAATTAGTTAGAATTCATTGTATAGAATATTGAATAGAATATTGAAATAAAGTTTCAATCGATTAATACAAATTTTGTTGTATATTTTATTATTTCATTAAAAATCAAATTATCTAGAAATGAGATGACGTTCGACTCTCAAAAAAAAACAGAACAGTTTAATAGTTTATCTTTTTATCGTACTTGAAAATTAATCTGTTCACTTCGAAGATAATAATTTACCAAATAACTAACTATACAATGAAATTACCATGATTATTTTAGGAACTTTTGAACTGGTCAACCAGTTTGATCAATAATAATTAAGTCTAGAAGTGAAAATTATGATTTTGACAGTAACATATAAAGTATATTTAATACAATGAATTAAAATAATGAACTAAAAATCAAAATCCACTTTATAATTTTTTTTGCCAAGAACAATTCAGTTTGATAATGATTATCACATACAAGAATGAGATGTTTTTAAATAGTCTAGAGTAAAATAAAACATGGTCAGTTTTATACTACAATTTACAAGGGTTCTAATTCAATCATGAGATTAAGTGGCTATTAGTCAATAAAATAATATATTTGTGTCATGTTTCTTTCAATCGTGAACACAGTTTGAAAGTAATTAGTAGACTAAAGTGATGTTAATTTGTTACACTTTGTGGACAGTTAACTCAAACAAATATTTTACAAGAATCTTGTGTTATTTATGTTTTTGTATTGACCACTGAACTGAATCATGTTATTAGGTGTAGACTATCTGGTTGGGGTCCGTATGATTACCGTAACAAGTGGTTAGAGAATTTGAATAACATGGTTCAAAATCATTTGCAATATTGCAGATACATTCATTCTTCCTCCTCTCCCCAAACATGAAGTTGCATGCTAGAGCCCAAGAGTAAATTAGCACATATATGGGAACTAAAAAAGCCGAAACTTACTCCCTAGAGGGATTCTGAGTGTGACAGGCTTATCGAAACCTATCATGAATAATACCATCCGTTTTTGTATGATTTTGGATATATTTATATAAAACACCAACACAGTAAAACAAAAAAATGTCACGAAAAACTAACTATACGTAATATTATTAGGAAAGAAAAATGAATATGAAAAATAATCAGCGATTATTACTCACCAAATTCAAAAGTTCTTCTGCATGATCACTTAGACTATGATTTTGGCTTGAATCTGTCATAATTTTCTCAGATTTATGTGAATCACTACGGGATCGTAGTAGTTTATGCTTTCGCTTTGACAATTTACCTCTTACACAAGATCTCATCCGAGAACCTAATTTCTTACTTTTTCCAGTATATAGCAACGCTTGATCATTGAACTGTAAAGGATCTGAGCCTCGAGATAAAGTACGAGTAGGATTAGGTTTAGGCAATCTGGAAGTGTGATATCTCTTGAAATTATCAGATTTTTGAAAATGTGAGTTTTCAGATGTTCGATCTACAATAAATAAGTAGAACACAAAATAAAATAAATTGAAAAACTGATAAAAAGTTGCATTATGGGGTTGTGAAGATTGTTAAGTTACACATTTTTGAAACCATGAATCGATCAATGTTAGACCACCATTAGAAACGTGGAAGCACTAGAAGGCCGTTTCGTCCTGGTATGGGACTCATCAGCAGTGCGCATCCACGACTCCTGCACCTCGCAGAATTCGAACCCAGGACCTACGATCTTGCTTGCGAACGCCTAACCATCGGACCACTGAGCCGGTATCTAACGGTGTCAATGTCTAACTTGATCAATTCACGGAGTTGCGCAACCTCATACACAGTCTTCGGCAGTTACTGTCTACACCTGCGAGGCGCAGGAGTCGTGGATGCGCCCTGCTAAGGAGTCCCATACCAGGACAAAACGGCCGTTCAGTGCTTCCAGGTTTCTAATGGTGGTCTAACATTGATTGATTCATGGTTTCAAAAAAAGATAAAAAGTTGTAGAAAATAAAACTTAAAAGCTTCGAAATAAGAAATTAGTTGATTGTACTGAAACACAAGTTAAATTTTCAGAACAAACGCTAATCTATATAGAATATGCATAAATCATATAAAAGCATTTCTTGAGCAACAACATACTAAATATTCATCAATCAAAGTTATCATTCTCCCTTTCACTATGTCTCTCACCGATAGGGTTTGAAATTAATAGATTTGTATATTCTATTGTTTCTTATTAATATCACAAAAATTCACTATAATATATTATAAATCGGATAACAGAAGTAACAACAACCACAATATTTTTGGAATTTTTCTCTTCTATTGCCCATATCACTCAACTAATAAGTTCTATTGATAAAGCAAGTATGAATGGCAGAAATTGGTATATTTGTAATAATAACATGGAAATTCAAACTTAAACGACCATTATATCGTCATAAAAATCTCATAGACATATTATGAGAACCAATGTGGTTTTTTCATGATGGACATGAAAAGAAAGAGAATTTATTGGGATCGAATAACTGGCTAATAGTAAAAATCTTATTGAAAGACAGTTTGTAATATTCAAAAATGTAATTGAACAACAATTGAACCACAAAACAATTTCTGGATATTTGAAAGAGTTTTATGACGATCAGTTTTATTTGTAGGTAGTAATTATTCGCCAAACATTTATTTCAATTGAATTGCCGTTTAAAAACATGGAACACTAGGTAGCTCTGATTCATCCTTGTATGGGATACCTCACTAATGCATACTCACGATCGGACTCGCGACCTGCAACGTACGTGTATTTGACATAATCACTAGGTTAGTAATATTCAATTTTACAACTCCAGATTCGATCAGATTAGGAAATAGCTAGACAAGCACCAAATGAGATTAGCTTATGGTGAATAAGACTTACAAGTTTGTAAATTCATTTCACAAGAACGTACAGTGATTTCATGGTAATATTCACACTAATATATAAGTATTAAAAATCGATAATAATTATTTAATGTCTTAGCATAAATAATGTATGAATTATAGTTTTTTTTTTCAAAAAATATTCTCTTACTATTAGGTCTAACTGATGGAATAATAAACTCACTGTTATTATGATGATTATTTTCATGAATATTCTGAGTATACGAATGAGATAGAGGCAAATCAAACGAAGATGGTTTTGAATTATGTGTAAGAGGTAGAGGACCACCAACACCTGAACCACGTATACATCCAGGTTGTATATTTGGAACATTTTCTGAAATATTATACATATTTGTTTGCGTATTAGTAGATTTACATGGAATACAATTGTTAACTGACCCATGAACATCTAATGTGAAGTAATACATAAAGAAAATAGAAAATATTATGTTATTTTATAAGGAGTATTATAAACGGTAATATAATAATGATAAGAATAAAATTAACATGTATTTGAATAACGGATTATAGTTGTGATTTAATTTTTTTGTTGGACAACGAGTAAAAACTTTATCAGCTGTTAGTTTTTCTTTTGATTTTTATCTTGTTTGCAGTCCAGTTCCAGAAGTTATACCAGATTTTTTTGAAAGGAAACAATGCACTGAGATTAAATTTCAACTGAATTTACTTTCAAGGGAAATTTTTTTCCATTTATTTGTTAATTTATCATAATTAAATGCTTAGCTTTATGATAAATGAGTAATGCAGTGTAATATCAGTCAACATTTATTTTTCCATAATGATGACTCGATGGCTAAGAGGTTAAACGTTCGCGTGCAAGATCGAAAGTTCTGGGCTGTCAAGGATGAGCAATGCTGATGAGTTCCACACTAGGACAAAACGGATGCCCAGCTCTTTCATATTTCTAATGATGGTCTAACTTTGATTAGTTCATGATTTCATTAATTAATCTAGTTGGTTTTTAGCATCAGAAATTAGACTGTAAAAAATGTTGCCTCTTATTGTTGAATTTTTTAATTATTCATTCGTCACAATATAACTGGGTTATGGTAATAACATTTTCAAAGAGAAATACATTATAGAAATAACTTAACTTATTCTATAGATTGTGAAACAACGTGTGAGGTTAACCTAGAGTTAATCAAAAAGAGTGAATAATTCAAGCAATTTATTTTGTGTTTCCGTTTATTTACGTAGAATGGTTGCCATGCCAAACTGTTATCAAATTATATGGTTGCTGGGTTGATAATTTGACCATTAACGTCTAATATATATATATATATATATATATATATATATATATATATATATATATATATATACATTATTACAAAAACCAGCGAATCAATTTATTTATAATTTTCAGTCATTATTTAGTTGTAACGGTGTAGAGTAATATATTTTCTTCAAAACAAATCTTCAAGTCTTAGTAGACTTCCATCAAGTTGAATAAGTTTTTTTGTGAACTTATCACTTACATATTGAACGCTTGACCTATATATATCTATAGGTTTTATGTCTCTGTCCATTTGACAATGAGGACACTACTCATGAGAAAGGCGGCAGAACTTAACTAATTAAATCAATACTCTTCTATTTTAAAACATATTTATTTTTTTTGTAAGTGTCAAGTGAATAGAGCACATAAATGATGATACTTAAATTTAATTACTTATTTACTATACATAGAACTAGTTGAATGATTTTTTCCCATACAAAGTTCATATAGAGTTTAAGATGATGCCAGAAAGAAACAACTTCATTAGTAAAGAATATTCATGTTAAATTACTTCATAACGTCATTTATTCTGATCGGGAGAAGATTTAATTCAATTATATGCTATCAAAACTATTGAAATTAAGTGTTAAGCTTTGCAGTTCTTTATAGATTCAATAAGCTCTAGATATCGGGGTTCAATGCTTTCTTGAACTTGTTCAATCCCAAGAATAAGTAAGTACAAAACAGTGTCATGAAAGAAGAGAGAAGACACAGATTACTAAGAAAATGTGTTGAGAAAATTTTTAAACACTGAAATAATCTTTTTTTTTCATTAGTTACAAGATAATTAATTGAATCAGTATTGATTTTATAATTAACTAATCATCAATCAATCATTGTTAGACCACCATTAGAAACCTCAAAGCATTGGACGGCAGTTTCATTCTGGTGTGGATGCGCACTGCTGATAAGTCCCAAACCAGGATGAAACGGCCACCCAGTGCTTTGAGGTTTCTAATGGTGGTCTAACAATGATTGATTAATGATTTCAGTGTGTAATAAGCAAAAGGTTGGATTAGTTAGAATTACATCTTTCGTGTATTTAGAATGAATTTTAATAAAGATACAGATAATTATTAGTGAATATAACTGAAGAGTAGAATAGTATTCATTCATTCATTTATACAAGCATTAATTGTACTGATATACTAACAGTAACAAAAGCGATGGGCGTAAACCATCTATAATAAATGTATCAGCATATTGTAATGTAAAATAAATATTCAAAATGAATTTGATAAAACAGTATTAATATACATGCTCTAACTATTGAGAATTAAACTCAATAAGAATTATAACTGAAAATATGATATACATATATATTTACATAATTTAGGTTTCAATTGAATGTAAACGTAATTGAATACAGTATAGCATAGAAATGTATACAGAGTTTATGAGTGTGATTGGTATACCACAGTTGAAAATAGATAACGACATCAATAATATCAGATTCATCTTATCTATGCTGTTCACTATTTAGCACAACTCTTACATTCATTTTACTAACAACAATTGTTAATGATGATTTCTCTGATTATTCATCAGACTAATAAGCTTGATCATGAAATAATTAAATCTTGACCTACATATTATTGTAGCTTATCAATAGTTTACAGTGGAGTGTCACTCAGAAGTTACTGTCGAATAGAAGAGAGTCAAATCTGGGGATGTATGGTGTGATCAAAATGATTTGAAGAATAGAAAATGTGTAAAAAGACAGCAAATAATAATCTTCTTGTTTTGCGAACAGAAGATAAAGACAAGATGTTCATATTTTGTTAGCAAACTGTGTCTTCTTTAAGCACAACACTACTATTCCATTTAGTCTTGATATCTTAATGATTCGATTAGAACACAAAGGGGTAAACACCCATGTTGAATTCATACATAATTCAGGAAATTCAACTCACGATTATCTGCTTATTTTTTCATCACCTACTTGAAAAAGCTTTGTATATTTTAAGTACTGAAGACCCTCATTTAAACATTTAAAAAAATGATTGTGCCAACAGTTCACTACTTGGAGGATGGTTCATATTTTATACAACTTATTCCACAGTTATCATTAGATAATACCCAACCATCTCGTATGTTAGAAACGTTACTGAAGAAAAGTTGTCTATTAGGTATAAATTATTAACTCAGAACCACGAGTATTTTGCTTAAAAAAGCAGGACTACTGTTCCAACCACATACTAAATTAGAATCCGAATTAAAGTAAAACTGCATAGTAAATGCGATAATTCATTGACCGGAATTCCAGAGATACACCTCATTTATTTAGAGACTATTAGCAGAAACCTAATCAAAACTAAATTTGTGTTTCATTTTTAATTATAATGCTAAATATATGGACACTATGACACAAACTTTGTAAATCATACCATTATTTAGATTTTTTCTTGAATGATCCATTTTATTCATTACACTATCAGTAACAAACGGTTTAGACAAATGATCTGTTGTGTACACGTCATTCGAACGAGGAGTAAGTATAGAATGTAAAGCACTACGTCCTGTTGCTGTTGTTCGAGAACTTGGAGTTGATGGTGTAATAGAACCCATACCACGATCATGTGATAATGTGGACTGATGACTCTGCAAAGTAAAAAAGATAATAATAAAACATGCTAAAATGTAGCAGAAAAAAAGCCATCTTTTGTCATGTTGTAAATCTACATAAAGCCTACTGAAAAGTCATATGAAAACTAGGGTAGCTATATTCATGACAAATAAAGTGATGAACAGTAGTAAATGAGTAAGTAAGTAAGTAATCACCTCACGATAACACGCCCATGAAACATGTTGAAAAGTTCTGTGCATAATTCAAGTACTAAACAGAATAAAGTACACAGGAGTGTAATGATGAAATTATTCTATTGGAATACTGGATGTAAATAAATACTACAGCAACTTAAGTGGATGTACTGTTGAGTTTGTCAGGCAATAAATAGTTCTGCTAAACAGGACTCACATTTTTAAGATTTACTGGTTAGAGATTTACTCATGAGATAAATATAATCAAACTGAAGGTTTGTATCACTCGATTAGTGTATTGCGTCACAGTTTGATCATTTGCATGTCACTCAATACTACATAGAGATATAGCTCAAAGGTATAATTATGCCAAGGTCAGTTACGACTTGCACAACTTAGTGATCAGGTAACACTTAAAATACATGAAGTGAAGTTTAATACTAAGATTCAAATGTGTTTGCTCAGTTCACTATAAACATGACCTACATCAGTCTATTCTGTGATATTTCTCATTACATAATGATGTAACATATAACTAAAAGCAGTGTATACAGGGAACACTAAACACGAAGCAACATATAACTACCTGTTTTTACATTATAGGTGATAGACTTAGTCATTACATATGATTTTGAATGATTTATCCAAACAAATTATGGTGACAAAATTATGATAAAGTAAGAAGTAAATCATTATTCAGAAGTTACAATTAGTCTAATGGTATGTCAAGTAGTATGAAGAATTATTGTGTAAACTATCTGTCTAAATCAAATCTATATGATACAACCAAATAGTTAATACAGATGAAAATTAAGAAACGAGACGAAAATGGACTATTGTTAACAGTTTATTTTCAAACCGGTATTTACTCAGACAGAAAACCGTCTTCAAACATTGATTGAAATACAGAATATCTAACTTCAGTTTGTCCTTAAAAATCATCATATTTATTGCCTCAGTGTATAAATATTTTAAATACAAACAATAATGTTGATCAACAAAGTTTTTTCTAGACTGAAAAAAAATTTAATGAAGAAAGAAATTTTAATTTTGAAGAAAAACAACTACAATAGAAATTTCTATTTCATTTCATTTAAGGGGAAAATGTCTCTTTTGGTCAAACAAAATAAAAAGAGAATGGGCGTTTCCTAACTTGAAAATACTTTTTGATTTCTACACTACAATGGCAACAAACTAACATTTTAATTGAAATCATTCCATTACCATTCAATCATTTTGAAGATGGAAAATTAACGAAAATCAATAAAGATTTCAATTAATACAAACAAATAACAAGCACATCTTTTTCCAAAAAAAGAACGAGACTTTTTTGATGTATAATTGTTCTGATCAGTTTATTGTCTATTTCATTTGACAAGGAATAATACAACACACAAATCTTTTTAAAAGATTAATGAAAGTGTTTTTGAACTAAGATTTCCAGAGAAAAAAAATACTATGGAGAACAAATTTTTGTAGAAAAAGTCGATAAATCAAAATATATGTTGTAATCGCCAGTTTATGAAATTATTTGGACAGTATACAATCAACCATTGTGAAGAGACGGACAGAAACTAGTCATTGGCTAACGTTAAATAGTGCTAAAGACTTCATTGAAGATGAACGACGTTAAGGTTCCACTACTCAATTACAAAATATAAGGTATTTTCGAATTTACCAACTAATCACTTTATACAGTATCGAGTGAATGTGCTGAAAATTCGTATAAAAGAATAGATAGTTAAGGTGATTTGCCTAAAACAATCAAACTAATCCACTGAAGTAATGTGGATCGCATGCGCTTCTCCTATTGATAATATGGAATAAAAATGGTATCAAGAGTATGACAAAGAATATATGATACTACTAAATACTTTGATAGTAGCCTGAATTTATTTTGATAAATAAAATATACATACCTCTTTTCTTTTGGAACGATTGATTAATTTTCGAGGACTATCTAAAACTTCTTCATATGAATCAAATTCCGAGCCTATACTTGTTGTCCCGTTGAAATGATTAAAATGATCACCAGATACAATTTGTTGCAAATCAATATCTTTATTTGGAAGACTATAACGTCGTTGATGTTTCTGATGAGGTGAATTATGTCTTGAGTATTGATATGAAAAATATTTAGGATTTTTGTCTGATTGAAAAATATTAACCTGCAATAGAAAAAAAACTTTAAATCTTATTTAAATCTAGTAAAAAAAATTTAGAAGAGCTAGGAAGTAATTGACTGCAAACAGCATTCGAGTCAACTCATTTTATGTTGTCAAGCCCTTGATGCGTTACAGTTGGGCTTGTAAACAGCAACAGAATTGGAGATTTCAAGTCCATAATGTTAAACGCACAGTTTTTCTCGCTTTTTCCAAGTAATAAGCGAAACAATTTTTATTATACTATTCGATCGAATTTTCATACAAGCATTGTGTACATAAGAGTTTGTTAAATACTTTTCCATATATATATGCATTTTATTTCTATGCAAAGGTGTTGTACTATTAGCAGTCATAGAAGCATAAATGTTCGATTCGCAAACTATGCTATTATGAAAACCACTTAAAAATATTTGAAATTTTTAGAAAGTGTGCATATTCAGTTGACCAAGCAATAATTCACAAAAATGACAGTCGAAATACACAAAATTTATCAGATTGTGAAAACACATGAGATATTAGATAAGGGTTTTATGGCGAATACAAACAACATATTCAGTTGTTAAAATGATAAATTTTGTGAGTTATATGTAAAATATAAATATGAATACTTGGATTGTTGTATTGTGCAATCAAAGAGCAATGCATTGTAATTACAATCAGTTGATAAGAAGTGAATGAGTAAGTGGTTGATGATAACCAAATTGTTGTTTTAACCTATAAAACTTTCAACTTACAGATCTAACAGGCATAAAAATTGGGCTTTTTGCGGTATATTCAATCAATGAATGAAGATATTAAGTGATATGGCTCAGAGCTGAGCAAAATGGGACACAAAACGTCATTTATTATCTTAACCTAGGTTTTGAGTTCTAATAATCTGTTACACAAAACTTTCCGTTTAACCGTTTCCAACCACATCCTCAATGTTTAGTCTTTTGTATTAGCAGCTCTAGTGTATCATTTCAATTACTTTACTATTCATATTGTTCGTTTCATCTCATAGGGCTAATGTGACATGCTGACTTGGGTTAGTTCACATTCGTCTCAGGGTTCTACATTGATTATAACTGATTGACTAAATCAATATCTAACATTTTATTGTTAGATTTGAATAGAATAAAATATTAACATTACTTCGTAAACTGTAAATAAAACAATACCTATTCATCAGTAATGATATGTTTAGTTACACTCACAAAACTTAATCAAATTTGTTGTCTAACGATAGAGAAGAAATACTATTCGTATATTCACAACGACATAGAGGGGCGGCCAGACCAAAACATGGCAGAAAACCATGAATTCACTGACAAGTGGACTGACTCATGTCGGTAGATGTCGACTACCTGGTTGAGGGCCGCGAGATAATAGTAAACGATGGTTAGAGACCCTGAATGACAATGCTCGAAACCGTTTGCAATGGCGCAGGTGCATTCATTCTTGGTGTTCTCTCAAGTCCCAACCTTCTGAATTCCTCATCACCCTTATCTTTTAAGTTTATTTTACTAGATTATACGTCTTTAATAGCGTCGGACCCTAATCTCTCCTATTACTGCTAATACTTTCACTACCTCTACTACTATGGGATTTGAATTGAAAATTACATCTGTGTGCTAATGTGGTATGGTAACTTGAACTGATGTACTTACGTACGAAGTTGTACGCTGCTGTTGGTTGATTGAATGACATAGAGATAAAATACTACTTGAATGGATGGCAGAGAAAGTTTGAAATAAAATTCATTCAACAATTAAACTGTTGTCATTGTATATGACAAAAGTGTTAGGAATTTTTCAGTGAAACAGAAAATTACAAAGTTCAAAAATTTAAAATAAGCATCACATTGAAATCAAAGTGAAGATAAATTTCTTTGGACAATTTCAGTACTTATCCTTGTTGAATAGATTACCAGCTATAATCAATGTGCTATTATAAAAAGCATGTGACCTGTAAAAAACTACTTTAATTATCAGTGACTACAAGGCTGAATTCATTTTATTTATCGATTTTTATTTGATGATGACATATTCACTTAATTTGAATATTAACTTTAGATTTAGACAATATATCTGATATGTACGAATATGTGATTGTTCGAGAACGATGATTTCTTTTTTTGTTCAGAAATAATTAATATTTATAAAGTAATTTACAGTCTACGATGAAACCTATTACATATAAACTCAACTGACTTTTATTTGAAAGCATTGCATCACACAAAAAAAGTATAATGTGAGCATTACATTCTTTAACACATAGAAATTTCAATATTAGACAGACAATTATTAAAATCATTCTTACTTACATGTTTTATTCTATCGGATGATGATTGTTTCGTTAATGTTACAAAAGAATTTAAGCATATATTATTAGTAGTGATATTATTGGGTCGATGATCGATGTCATTTTCACCATTATTAGATTTCAATTTCAATGAATCAGCCATAGTCCATAATTGATTCAATTCATTTTCTAATCTTTGTATACGATGATTCAATTTATTAATATTAGAATCTTTATTATCATTGATATTGTTATTCTTATTATTGTTATTATTTTGTATAGTTGATTCTTCAATACGAAGTTGTAATAATTCCGACTGAAAATAAAATTAAATCATACAATAATATTTGTATAAATAAATATGGAAAAAAACAAAGAAAGAAGTACTGGTTTTCACATACAAGAGACAAAAAGACAACCACATAAAATAGATTTAATTTAGATTTACATATCACTGGGAAAAATCTGAAATATTAGATCAGCATTGAGAGAACTAGACAAATAGAACATTGGTCACTCACTATTACTCATTCAGTGATAGATCGAGGTGAATAGTTCAACTCTATAAGAAATCAGTCACAATTCGAATAGCTTAATGATTACAGTTCAAATTGTAAAACAAAGTAATCTGAGCTCGTATCCATCAGGAAGTATCAGTTCCTTGAAGATTGATGGTATATGCCTTGCTGATTAGTACAAAAATTTAGGTTAGAAAAATGATTTTTATGTTGACTACCTCCAACCGCTTAATAGTAAAGTAAGGAATGTTGTTTAAATTGGAGAAAAAAAATGACTTGATTAAAACGAATGGAATAAATGTAAACCAAGTAATGGGTTCGCACTTTTGATATTTGGCTGATAAAAAACTTGACACAAATGTCAAAATCTCCGGCTATTGTCCAATTAAGATGAATAACTGTCATCAAAAATAAAAATAAGCCAGGGCGCTCACTGCTTGTATTACATAATATAGATGAAACATAATCTTAGAAAAAAAAACGGAACAAAATGGTAGGACCTATACACTAGGACAGTTGTAGATGCGTTGCAACCAATAAGTGGATAATGCTACAGTAATATGTAGAATACTAGGGTAAAGGTAATATGAACCTTCATCCTCTGAAGTACTTGAAACATATATGTTAGGCATCGCCTGCCTAGATACATCACACTGACTAGCTCTATATCAGGTTGTATATGGGCGACCAAATACGGCGTTAGTTCATGAATTTACTGACGGGTAGAGGTTATAATATGAAAAGTAATAATAATAAGTGGTTCAAAATACTCTATTTTAGGAGTGTGTGTCAATTAATCCATCTAAGTAGTTTTGTGAAAATTTCTGGGCGGTGGTCTAATGAGGACAGAACTCAAGCTCCAACTAACAGATCGCAACTTCAAACTCTACTATGTCTACTGCGGTTTGCGAAGCTAAGCAGTTGTGCTACCAACTGTCTAAAAAAAGCTGGCTCAAATTTGAGTCCATAAAATACGCGTGACTATTAGGTAAGTTGGATTATAAAATATTAACAAAATAAACTCTCCTCAACATTCTCTTTTACCCCTGCCAAAAAATTAATTCTTTTTACCTTATACAACACAATTATTAAGAGAAAAATTTTTATCCTGGATTAATTCTAACTAATATAGTGGATTTATAAACATGAATCCTCGGTTTGTAGATTAATTTAACTTGACCCCATACGATCCCACCTTAATACTCCGAATTAAATCAATCATTAAGTTTCATTTCACTATAACTCTTTGTATTCTATGTAATTAATAACGACTATAAAATCAATTAACATGGACTCCTCTCATTTCTTTGAACAAAACGATAAATCGATCTACCGTGTTGATAAGTGATTTATATTATTTTGAAGCTTCAATTTAGAACGTTTAGACTCTCATGTTTAACTATCAGAATAGAAAATAAACCAGTATAAACCATAAGATTCAAATGAGCAGTTGATTACAAAGACTTTCTTCAGCTTTCATAATGTAAAGATTTAATAAGTGAACACATAACAAGTTAACCACTGATAAAAACATGATATCCAACCTAAACATTTTAAGCTAATCTTATTGATGATAATCTTTCATAAGTTATTGATTGACTGTTAGTATTTTTACCAACGAATAAGAAATTAGGTTAGGATAGGGTAAATATATTGGTAAGATCACTGTTATTATTGCCACTTTTATAAATAAGTATTTAGAATACAAGTTTTTTTTATTAAAGGCAACTAAATAAGTCACACGTGAGTTTAGTAGGTAAAGTTTTCAAGGCAGTCCATTTGATAATAACACACGATCAAACTATATCTACAAATAGATTAGATTATCAGCATTCAGATCAGTTAGCTTTCTGACTTGTAACAGAAATGAATAATGAATCTAAAAGAAATTAATACTGATCACAAGCGTGATCAACTAAATGTACCAATGTAATCCTATCTATTAACACTTTCAAAATTCCACCCTTAAGAACAGTACCCTTTCAATTAATTTTTCTATTCATGTTAACAATGTTAGTTACATCTTTAACCAGTTATTAAATATTCAAGCTGTTGGGACAATTTATAACTAGGTCAAGCAGATACAACACAGAACTTCATACATATGTACATCAGTGAAGGTTGCCATACCGGATTAGCACAGAGACACCACTGTCAGTTCAAATCCAATAGTGGTATCGGTAAAAGAAGTATTAGCAGTAATGGAGAAGATTAGGGTATGATTCAGTGAGATAAAGTTAGAAAGAGAAAGATAGAGATGATGAGGAATTAAGAAGGTTAGAATTCGAGAGAACACAAAGAGCAGATGCACATGCTATTGCGAACGATTTTGAACCATGTCGTTCAAGGTCTCTAACCATTGGTGACTTTCGTCTCGCGGATCCCAACAAGCTGGCATACATCTACCAACATGACTCAGTCTACTTGTCAGTGACTCCATGCATTTCTGTCATGTTTTGGTATGGCCGCCTGTAGATTTCTTCCAGCCTACTCCAACACCGTAAAATATAGGTCGACGAGGTAGTCGGTAGTTAGGCATACGTAACAGATGCAGTTCCAATACTTCATCTATTAATTTACCATCCTTACCTAGTACTCGTGTCCTAACGACAGCATAGCTTATACGGTTGTCCCATGATACGAGAGCAATGCTTCGGATACACCTATGATCGAAGACAAGCAATCTACGAATGTCCTCTACTCTCATCGGCCATGTTTCGCATCCGTATAGTAGAACGGAGAGAACTGCTGAACAGTACACTCGTCCTTTAGTCAGCAAACAGATATCTCGCCTGCGCCATAGGTGACGCCGGTTGGTAAAAGCCAATCGAGCCTTCTATATCTGTGCTGAGATTTCGTCACACACCAAGACATCTGTACTGATGAGACTCCCCAGATAAGTGAATCAGTCTACACGTTCGATTACTTCACTACCTATCACTAGTCCAGATGCCGATGCGACCCAATCTTGAGTATATATAATAATTAAAATGAATCTTTTTAACATACCTGTAATTTAGATAATTTCATTTGAATTTTTTCGACATTCAATTGTTCGAAAGATTTGCATAAAGATTTATTCTCTGTTTGTGACGGTGATGATGATGATGATGTAGTGGCCTTGTTGTCTTCCAATAAATTAGACTGTTTGTTGAAATTAATAGCCAATGAATAAATAAATAAATAAGAACTATTCGATAAAACACATAAAACGAAAACTAAATCCTAATAGATTAACCAAGTGATATATGCAAAATGTAGAGTTGTTTTGAGAAAATTAAGCTTAAATATGAAAAACACAATGCTTAACCATTGTAAAAATCAACAATGTCTGTCTACCTAACACACCCTAAAGAGTTAACGAGTAATTCAGACGAACAGACAAAGAAAAAAGTCGTATTTTTTCCCAAAAAGAATTATTTAGTTAGGTATATTTTGAAGGTGTATGAAATAGTAACCAATAGATAATTGGGAACACCTGGAAATAAAATGGTAACGCCTATTCGGTAAAAGTTCGAAATATAATATTCAGTAAATATATATATGAGAAAACAATATCAGAAGTTTCATTGGTTAGTTAATATATATATATCATAATTTGTAGGGGAGATAGAAATACTATTACAATTATTTGAAATTTTACAACAAACAATTCACATAATTAAACTCATAGACAGATAAGTTTCTAAAAGTATTGATTAAGATCAGATTCAAAGTAAAAAAATGAACTCGACTTACTGCTTGTGTATCATTGAGAGGTTTGTCAAGTGTTGGAGATTTACGAACTTTATCATCTATTGTCGAGAAACAATTCGATGAATTTTTCGAATGAGATAAACGACCTGAAAAATTAACATACCGTGCAATTGTGATGAAAAAATAAAGTTTATTAAAACTTCAACGAGCACAATATTTACGCAAATTAAGTTACACTACCTACAACAATTAAGTAGTATAATACAAAATCACAAGGTTGAACGTCAACTACTCGAGAATAATGCCTAGTTGTCTGTTGATTGGATCTACAGAGTGAATTCTTCCATTGATAACTTTATTGCAAATCGCTAATTGAGCTGTAATAAAATAAACTATTCTGTTACGGATTAGTAACAATGTTTTTAGAAGTTATTATCGTATACACTTTGGTTTGTCTAATAGAACAGAGGGAAAGATTTTTTACGCACTACAAATAAATTCTGTTCCACTTATCAGTTATTTCTATTAGTAAAATCATCACATAAGATTATTAGAAAATTTAAATCATCTACTAAGGTAAACTCGTAATGGTTCAAGCATATCAAAATGATGTGTTGACGGGCGTGCGTAACATAAATATCGCACTGAACTTAACCTCAAAGATACTAGTGAATTATTCACTATGTTCAAACTGAATTCACTAATTAGGTTAGTAATATTATTGACTATATCAACCTAAGATTTCATTATATAAAAATCAAAAGTGAAGCTGTTGATTTTGTTGACATTATTAAATACCAACTTGTTATGCTTGAAAGAAAAAAATTGAAAACTGAACCTAAATTTGACTCACACTCTCACGGTGTCTAGTTTTACTAGCCACGACTGGTATTTATCAAGAAAGCACATGTAATTCTCTTGTATCACACAATTAACCATCGGCTCCGACTTACTTGTTATTATGAAAATCGATTATAGGATAGGAATTATCACGGTGTAAATAATAATAAATTATCTATTGATTACCTAGATTAAATAATCTGTTGCAAGAAAATAATCTTTGAAAAAATCAATATACAATAGAAATCTATTCGTTAGTTAGATTCAATGAATTGAAATTAAGAGAAAAATACAGATATCTTATTTAAAAATTGTTCATATCCACTTCAAGTAAATAATTAACCTCACAAGATACAACTCAACACTTAATTACACATATCGATGAATACGCTTATTTTAAAATCGAAACTATATGATGCATAGGTTAACATAAAAGAGTGAAGTCATTTATCACTATTAACAGTTAATTCACTTAGTAAATATAGACAAGAAATGAAATGAATATGACTTAAGTGAGCAATAAATAGGCATGACTAATAATTATATATAAAAGGTTTAAATGAAACATAATATATGAAAAAGAAAATTTATGTCTATTAATCAAAACTATATATAGAAAGGTAGAAAACATGCACTTACTGAACTCATCATTCACATTGATCATATTCTGTTCTAATTTAGGATTCACCGCTTCATTTACATTATTCGATGACATCTGGATCAATGAAATAATCACACACAAAAAAAAAGGAAACAATCCATATTATCAGGATATGGAACAGTTTTAAATGAAGATAAACAACAAGACAATCAATAACAGGAAGAGAACTAAAGAAAAATAGAAACAGAAGAAATCTGCCAAAAAAAGAAGGATCGCTTAGATGATCATGTGCCAGTTTCATAGTTTACAAAGATTTAAATCTAGAGGGTAGCAAATTCATTGTGATGATATTTTGAGATAAACTTGAAATATGTTTTATGTAAGATCAAAGTATATAATATGAAATTAATTTATCAATTACTCTATTGTTAATAATACAACGATAATTTTTTTAAAGAAAAAATAAAGTATAACAAGGTAGATTAAATTCTCAAGCATTCTTTGAAAATTTAAAGTAGTTGGTTGGAATTATTTGTAATGTTTTCAATATTCACTGAATATGTCACATCTAGAAAGTTCGATGTGATGTACAAAATTGTGTAATCTTTAGTGATAAAAAAATTAAATCAAGCCGTACCTTTTAATATATCTATGTTTTATATTCAGCATATTCAGATTTGATACAAACTATATTACTAATTAAGATAGATGTTGATTCTGGTCAAATAATTGGATGCAATGAATTCCAGTCAGAAATAAAATATGAAATATAAGTCATATGTATGTGTATGTGCCATTCTTATTGATGAAATTGTGACCAAAAAATAAGTTGTCATTCGCTTATTCATCATCATGGTCTTATTTTTAGACTATACTTAAAATATTCATACTTTTATCATTTTCAAGATTGATTACAGCGGTATTATTAGTTTTAGACATTCAGTTTTTTTTGATGATTTTTAGAAGAGCAAGAATACATAAACTAGGAGAACAGAATGACTTTATTGGAGTTGAAGAAATAAACAGACTAAGATTACAATAAATAATAACATAATTTCGAAGATAAATTTAAATAGGCTGTGTAAATCAAACTTCAGTGTTTATTAATCATTTTAGAGATGTTGGGGACGTTAGATCCCCCAAAATTCGCTTGGAAAAGGTCCTAATTTTGAATTTTTTATGTTTTCGCGCATAAGTTGCTTAGTTGACCTTCAGCTTACGCTTCCGACTTGGAAAATCCTTGACTGTTATTGGTTGATGGATTGTTTTAGTACGGTATTTTTTGGCTCTCCCAAGGACGTTTCTATCAAGTATGAATAAGCTTGATTTGTATGCTTCGACACCTCGCATTTTCTGGGTGCCTCTAGAATACACTTTTTACGCACTATCAAGACTTCTTGATATAGTTAGCTGGACCGGGAACAAACGGATTAGAACAGCTTATCGTGTCACTGCATCATTTGTTTTCGCTCCGTTTACCGAGTAAGGTGAACTCGTAATAGTTTCAAGCATATTAAAAGGTGTTGCAGATAATGAACTTTGTGGTTGCTATCGGGTTGAACGTTGGACGATAACATTTGTGAATATTCTGTTATTTTAATAAATATTTAGTAATTTACACAAAAACTCACTGATTTATAGGGTTAGACGTCCGTAATTATCAGTGCAACTTTAATGGTTTTGTAAATTTTTCTTAAAATGTTATCTCCTTAAATGGTAAACGAATAAAGCCAAGTTTTGCGACTGAAAGTTAAGTGTTTATTGAAACTAAGAATGCTTTTTTTGTACTTCATAGTAAATTTCGTAAAGTATCTGTCAAGTTCACTGCTAGAAAGGCTAATACACAACTTAGCATTTGGCATTAGGACTAAGAGAACCGAACCCAGATCGCAGATCAAAAGCCGGAAGAAACACAGAAGAAATACCTACTCCAGTATGTGTCAAAATGTACAGAAAAAACATATGCATTTATAGCTTTTCGTACGGAGTGAGGACATTATTAAAAAGTTTATATAATCCACAATTAGTGCAGTTACATCATCATCCAATCACGTTAAGCGATATCAACATTCTAGAAATTCAATCGACCTGTGATTAGATCGGAATGCTTCTGCTTCTCGAGAGCTTCTGGAGGTTCCTGAAAGCCATCCCAATAGTATTAGTATTCTAGTATTTACATCACATCTGTTAAATGTCGCTTATTCATTTTTTTAACCCGTAAATTACATTGAAAATGTTAACAAAGACATGAGTCTTCCATAATTCTTGAACAACAGATTGTTTTTGGTCATCATCAACAAGGCCATCCCGGTATATTTAGTTAATCATAATTAGGTAGTCCAACCAGTTTAACTCGGTGTAAAAGTAACCTACGTTATTTGTTAACAAATAAAACGATTAATTGCATATGAACATAGAAAAAGAAGCAACTTTTTTGCTGATAAATATTTTACAAGCTCATTTAGTATAATCCACTTACAATGTCAGAAGAATATGGATGTATAACAACATTAGATTGTTCATGATTATCACTATGACCATTTTCTAGTCGTTTTTCTAAACTATTAGAATGAGATTTGTGACAGTTGTTATTGTTGTTGTTGTTATTATTAGTATCATTAGTATCATTAGTGGGAGGCATTTTATTTTGTATGTTGATTAGATGTTCAGATGAACATTTATGACCATTTGATGCGTTATTTATTGATTTATATCCAAACATACATTTGCCTAGATAAGGTTGATCACCAGTGTCTTGAACCTTCAAAGTAAAAAAAAACAAATAAATAAACACATATTAGTACAAATGAAAATTATCAGATATGTCAGTCAGTCAATCAGATGCCTTTCAAATGAAAAATCTTCATGTTATATATATGTGCGTATTTTATTTTACAATAAGGAATTAGTGCAGTAGTAACAGCAAATATTGAATAGATAAATAAAGTTAAGTTTCATTTGTAATTTGTAAGAAAATATTACAAAATAACGTAGATTAAACAACACAAACCTTAATTAATTATGAAAAAAAAAACAAAGGAAAATTATCCTACTTAAACAACACCGAAATGAATGGAAATCAATTGATCATTAGACAATTTATGATGGCGTTAAACAACAATCAAAAAGATTTTATTATGTAATCTATTTATTGTATTACATTATAACTTGAATGTTTTTTTCAAGTTGATGAATTTCAAGTTACCAGAATAGAATTGTTGAATTTGTAAGCTGTTTTATATTTAAAATAGAAATGATAGAAATACTCAGTATAGAATAAATATCTAAGGGTAAATTTTTGTAAATAATTCAGATCAATAAAATTCCCAAAAATTATAGTTATACTTAAACCTGGTTTGCCTATATTAGTTTAACTGCTCATTTTTAAAAGTTGCCTCCTCTATAAGGAGTCATAACACATTAACTAAGTATTGGTATACGTAAAAGCTCATTTTACAATTGTGTTTAATTTAAAGTACCGATAGGATTTATATTTAAGTTTCAAATAAAAAAACGGACCTTATCAAGTGATTCTTTGAAAAACGACCAGACTGGATCGAAGCATAATAATCTTGACAACGACCCAGAAAATCTCTTTAAGCTGTCTCATTATATAAATGCATACAATCACCTAGACAAACCTTTTGCATTTACAGCATGTAAACTGAGCTACTTATATACTTACAAAACTGTACATTTCTAGACAGACAATTATTAGGCTAAAAGAAACACGATGAGTCATAATTAAATTAGTTGAATTGTATGCTAACCAATTATGTTTCAGAATAAAGGGTTATGCAGTTAATAATTTTTTATCGACCCGATGGGATAGAAAAAAAACGTCCAAGCAGATAAAAATGGAATACATATATGCTAGTGACAAAAAATAAAAATGCAAAGAGTGAACCATGTTGACAAAGGTATATTAGTGCACTATAAAAAAATATAGAATTCACTGCCTAATATTTGTTCCATTAGTCATCTGTCTAAGATTATAGTTTTCACAAAAATGGTCAGCAAAAGCATACGATAATAGCGAAGTAATAAAAACGTGCTTAAACACATCAGTTAAATTATGGAATGCTATTTTTTCTCATCCTAATCGGAATTCTGCAATTCTAGTGATCATCTATCGCTATTCCTCATTCTCGCCAAGTAATTATAAGGAAATTGAGCATTGTATTCTAACTAAACAGTTGGCGTCTGCATAATGGACTGCTTAAGTAGGATCTAGGGCATCGTTATATTACCTATCTACAGATTTCTGGTCAAATACTGTTATAGGGAGATAAGAACCGATTCCAAAAACCGTAAAGTACCATTATTTCGACTGGGGGCTGATATTGTGGGATGAAGAACGAGAGTTTCGATGAGTTTTTCTGTTGTTATATTGAGATTGATTTCATTTTTGATCAAACTATGTTACCAAGGCTTGCTAGAAAATCTCAAGGTACTTTGCGCCCTGAAAGATTATTACACCGAATAAAAAAGGACAGTATTTCGCTGCATTGTCTTACAGAAGAAGAAACAGATAAATTGTTGCAGCGATACAGTTTGAATTTCCATGATAAACAAATTACTGTTATTTTTTATGGTTATAAGCGGGAAGAAAAAGGTATGTAAATGAATATACCCGGTGAATTAGACCCCGATTTTGGCTAAACATACTCAAAAAGTAAACTTTTTGTGAACTGTCAAGTGTAAACTTCTATTTAGAGAATTTCGTAATTGGTCTGAAGTGGTGAAACATTGGTTTCGTTTAATTTACACTGAAAGTAAATTTTGCAGACCATATCTACACAACTAACTTGACCAACCTTTACAAAAAAGTAAGAACTACAATAAATCACCATCATTTTCCAATCTAGACTCAGATTACACAAAATTAGAATAATAACCAATCATAAATAATGCACATTATGAAATATTATAGGAACATATTTATGCAAAACTCAATTGTAACACAATACAATAAGAAAATGTTACTTACTCGGTGAACATCAAGTGAGTTACGTGGTGGTTTCGGTAGATATGAATTAAATAACCCCAACTTTTCATCAATTTTGCGAAAAGCTAATTCTTGTTCTAGTTCAAAATGTTTTAAATATGAGCGGGCTAACTCTTCAGATTTTAAATGAAGCTAACAGTTTAGAAAAAAAACACAAATGAAATAATATAAATACATGTGGTTACATAAACACGACAATTTATTAATAAATTTAGCTTTACACTATTAAATGACCTGACGAGACGAAACAGTATAACTATATCCCACCTATTACTGTTTTATAGTAAACCAGGTCAAAAAAAGAAACTATGAACTGTAATTGGTTAAAAAAAATTAGGACAAAAAAGTGAGATTAGTGGCTTTATTATTTTCTGTTGTTTTAAAAACATGCTTGTAGAAAACCAGGAAGCAGTCATTATAAGAATTAATGGAAATACATGTAGAAAGATAAAACTCCTTAATGTTCAATCAGAAGAATACGGAAAACTTGTTAAACCCAGTTAAATAGTATCCATAGGTTTATGCTATCCACTTAATATTGTAAACTAATATTGCTAATCATTAGCTTGAATCATACCAATTGAAATTAGGCTATCTAGTTTAATAATACAAAGATACGCCATATTCAGTATTAAGTAATCAGTGAGAAAGTATAATCAAACTGATTGTATATCAGTCTTCTTGAACCAATTTCTAGTTATCCAACCACAAGACTCGTGAGATTAATGGATGAGTATCAACCAATCCTAGAATACCTTAACATGAGACTAATAGTATCCACTTTCAGGTATTGATCATATATATTCGCTGACAGATTTATGAGACGATAGATAATCGGTAACAGTAATCTTGAGCAAAGCATTCACACTGCTGGGTAGTCAAGATCGAAAGAAATTTTCGAATGCCTACAGCAAGAAATAATCAATCCCATATGATCGCTTTCTGATCTGATTAGATTTGAAAGAAAATCATATATTTAACCCCCATTCAAAAGGTTTTCACTACTCTTGCGATATAATCGAATCTAAGAACTATGAGCATTGACGAGTATATGATTGATATATATATATATATATATACACTTGCAGTTGTTAAGGCTGATCCAAAATGGTGCTATTGTGACTTGTAGCTATTGCCAAGACAATTATTGTTATTTTGACCTTTCAGATCCTGGTATTATTGTGCCGTCTTCAACATGGCAGAAAACAGGTAGTTCATGACTATTCCCATTGGTTCCTATATCATGTCCAGTGATATATATTCATTCTATTGTCATTTCTTGACATAAAAGCTCTCTTGTAAAGTACTGTTACTTCATTTTTAATTAGCCTACATTTTCTGTCTTAGCAGTGTCGTTATGTATTAATCGTTCGATCTACCTGCTCCATTTAGCATCACCTTGTATTAGAAGCATTTCCTAATGTCCATATTTGAACCTAACTTATACAACTCATAACAACAGTCATCTGCAAAAATGTACGACTGATGTTTTAAAGATAGTAATTTGTGGTCACTGATATAGGGTTGATTGATCAATGAAATATTTGGCAAATATTTGAGCAGGTTTACATTATTATGCGGGATGACTTCATACAAATAAACAACACCTCCATAGCAGAAAAATCATAACTATAGAAATAGAAACAAAAACTACGCTATATCTTTAAATAACTTCTGTGTAAAAGTGTAATGATAACGAATTCATATTGCAATGTTGACAGACGCATGTGTATTTCTAGAATTAGGGACTTTAAGATCAAACTTATTGGTGCCTTATCACCTGCTTCTCAAACTATAATAAGTAGCACGTAACCAATATAGAGACATACAGAATAAGTTTATTTAACAATAAGGTAATTCAGTGATTAGTGAAGATCAATGAAATTGTATTGTTCGAATTAAAGTAAATTTTGTATGAAACCACATGTAACTTTCAGCTAAACTGTAAATAACTTCTTATAAATCATCTACAGTAAATATGTAGCTTAATCTAGTGTAATAGCTCTAAAAAGACACGAAGTTTCTGAAGGAAAATAAATAGATTCTTCGAGTTATAAAAGGAATTGAGTTCAGATTCATGTTAATGTTCACTTAAATACGTAGCGAAAAAGTCATTTGAAAAGACATTGAAAACTTTTAATTACCAATTTATCTTTGGCATGTAATTCTTCTTCTAAATTTGAGATCAAATCATTATCCAACTTCCTTTTATGCATAGTTTCACTTAGCTGAGATTGTTCATGTGATAGATCTTTTTCCAGAATTGAGTTTCTTGTCTCTATTTCCTTCAATTGACTTTCATACGTGCTCAACTTTTTTAAATATCTCGATATTTCAACTGAAAGCGAAAAATATTCTGATTAAATTCTATTATCTATTCGAAATAAAGTAAATGCTAACTATCTTTATAACTTCACCTTGGGAGAATCGTTGTTCTGCTACTTGTCTTTCAAATGGAAGAACTTCTTTATTATCCAGCAAAATAACCGAACATAAATGAAATATAACAAATATTCGATAAAGTGATTGGGCATCAAATTTTTCGATCGTATTTTTGATTACAGATTCATCACTGCTAGAGCTATTATTGGTATTTATTATAAGCTGGTTAACTGCTGGATTGCCTTCAAATGTGAAAACTGTGAGATTAGACAGAGATCTCAAGTATGTTATTTGATGAAGCTATTAATAAAAAGATAAAAAGTAGAAAAAGCGCCACATATTATTCAATCGCTGAAAACAGAAAATCTGAACTGATGCTTAGCTTCAGATAACTTTACGTACTGGAACACAAATTTACCACTGGATCAACAGTAATGTAAGAATCAAGTATGAAGCCAACATCAAAATGAATGAATCATGCTTGAAAAGTGGTCTGATATTATATCATGCGTATGGTACATTAAAAAGTCCTTAGGTTTTAGTCGTCCTACGAAAGTGCAGGGACATGGAATTACTTATTATTATTATTATCGATATAAAATGCTGAATCCTGTGAATACTTCAATCAGTCAGAAATAACGTAGAACTCTGTGCGCACTTACATCAGTTCAAGCTGCTATACCACATTAGCACAGAGACGCAGCTGTCAGTTCTAATCCCATAGTGATAGAAATAGTAGAAGTATTAGAGAAGATTACGGTTCAAATAAATCATACAAGAATTATGATCTAGTGAAATAAATCTGGGAAGAGACAGATGAAGGTCATGAAGAATTCAGATTAGGATTTGGAATACTACAAAGAGTGGATGCACCTGCACCATTGCAAACGATTTTGAGCCATGTCGTTCAAGGTCTCTAACCATTCATGACATTCATCTCGCAGACCCCGACCAGGTAGCCTGCATCCAACAACATGACTCAGTCGACTTGTCAGTGATTTCATGGATTTGTGCCATGTTTTGGTCTGGCCGCCCCTAACTTTTTTCCAACCTACTCCTAAACTACAAAGCATAGCTCGTCGAGGCAGTCGGTTGTTGGGCATTCGTAATACATATCTCAACCACCTCAACTGATGAAGTTTCAATACCTCATCTATTGATTTGCTATCCCTACCTAGTAATCATTTCCTAATGGCAGCATTCCTTGCTCGGTTGTCCCACGATACACGAGCAATGCTTCTAAGACATCTATGATAGAATACTAGTAACCTACGAATATCTTCCACTCTCACCGGCCATGTCTCACAGCCATAAAGTAGGACTGAGCGAACTGCTGGGCAGTAACCCTGCCATTTGGTTGGAAGACAGATATCTCGCCTACGCTATAAGTGACGGCAGTTGGTAAAAGCCAGTCGAGCCTTCTGTATCCGTGCTGAAATTTTGTCACACCAGGCCATGAGGACTGATGGAACTCCCAAGATAAGTGAAGCGGTAAACATTTTCAAATACTTCACTCCCTAGAAATCAGTCATAAACAACGTGGAACAAGATACACCTGTATTGGTTCAAGTTGTGAATACGTAAAATGCATGCCCTATCATGAAACGCATTGGTTGTCAAAATAGGGGCATCATTTCACTCGAAGAAATCAGATCCATCAAACATCAAACGACGTAAAACGGCATCACTGAGGATTTACAACATTACTTGAAGGTATGCAACTTTAGTAAACTACTATTATAAAGAAAAACATCGGTTTCGGTAGCATTAAATTTTGCTACATTCTGTGAGAATAAGAACAAGGGTTTATAGTCAGCCATGTTGCTAGTTCATTTGGGTTGACGGAAACATTTGGAACGCTAACTCCTGCAAACTTATTTGGCTAGATAGAAACAGCAATAGCCAGAAGACACTTATTATCAGTATCTCATCTTTTGAATAGCAGCGAGGAAGTAACTAATAGTTTAAGTCAAGAAACCCAAACCTGCTTTAAGTAGGAGAACTGATATACAGCCAAACAGACCAAATGACCTAATTAAGCCCTAACGAATCAACACTATGGAACGTAACATTGGTTGCAACTACAAGAAACACTGAAGGGTGTGAACAGACAAAAATGAGGAAAGAAACATTAAGTTTGATCCCACGACTAAAACTTCACTCCAACAACTAATCACAGTGAAAAGTTAGAAATCTCCTAAAATAATTTAAAAGTCGATGCTTGAAAACTTAAATTTGCTCTGAGGACTGTATGAGTATAAATAAAGGGCTAATAAATAGACAAATCACCCTACAAATTGTAGGGCCTATTCTGGTAAAGGTTTATAGGCTACTACTTCAGACCATACGCTCAAAATAATGTAATACCCAAATACTCAAAGTGGTATTTGGGTCCATGTATAGCGAAGGGTTAATTCTGTGTGGTGTGGGGAACCAATTATTGAAGCTAGCAGACCACTTGATCCTTTATTTGTCTTACACTAAAACTGAATCCATGCTGTAAATACATAGAACGTTCAACTAACAGATAGGACAACATATATTCTAATGATAGTGGATTTACGCTCGTAAAACTGGAATATAACCACTCATATGACTTACAGTATCGATCTGATTGTGGTGTAATTGGATTGTTTTCAGCTTCGGTAACCGTTTAGGTAGCCATTTAGGAATGGATTTGATTTGATTGTTATTAACTTTTAGTACCTGAAAAATAAAGAGATGAGAAGCACACGTACCAAAAGATTAGACAATGACTGTATCCCGTTTAAAGACACGAGACAATTGTATGAGATGTTTAAAACAGTTAGGTTATGAAGCGTTGATAACCCATTAATTTCGCATATACGATTGTAGGAAAGATTCAATTGTCTCAACTCACAATAAAGTTCCAGATTCTCTATCTTTTCAATTTTGTAGTTGTTATTCTTGTTAGACAGGTTTAACGCATACACTCGTACTGGTTCTTTTGATGTTTTTTTCACAAGCAAATTAGATGTCATATATTGTACAAATAAATGATCTTGTGGATTGAACGAAGATAAAACATTGGTCTTACCTGTTGAATTATTTGCAGCCATATTAAGGTACTAGTCACGCTGAAAATAAAGAAGCTTACATGACACCTATGAAACTTTCGGCTTTTGGTAAAAAATTACATCCACCAAAGATATATAGTATGTATGCGTAAATGTTGTGTACTTAGAAAGTGTGCAAAGTGTCTAAGTGGATTTTTCGAAGTGAGAAAAATGTAGAACGAGTGCCTCGAAGTTTCAGAGAAGAATGGGAGAAGGTATTAGACATAACTGATACAGCAATCGATACGAATTTGCATCACACCTAAGTATTTCATAGAATGCCTTAACTTAATGACCTCGAGTGCAATAATATCCATGCATTTCAACAAGTTCAAAAATTATTGATTTTATTACAATGTTGGAAAACAAGCCTCTTCGCAACAATTTTTAGTAGCTTTTTGAAATATCTACACAATTTCGTGATTTTGTTGCATAAACCTTCACTCTGTGTATTTTCGAGGTGGTAATTCCGTTATGGTGAGTGCTCTCAGTACCGACGCAGGTTAGTGTTTTAAATTCATGTCACTATCTATTTTTTCGATTACCGATTTCGACCCAGAAGTCCAATGCCACGAACACTAGTTAGTTTGAAAAAAAGCTAAGACTATCCACTTACTAAAATCTCACTAAATCAATGTCAAATTACCAATCAAACTAAACAGTGTAACGGTAAATAAATCCCACCTTTGACAACCATCCAACTTCAAACTTCGTTGTGTTTGGAGTCTGAAGTACCTCTTATGATAGAGAACTGTGAGTGTGAGGTTATCTGGATGAAGAGAGAACAAGAGAAACAGTGAACGGACAACCCAGTAAGTCCATTTTAATTGCACCACACAATGTACCTTCAGACTAAACGCAAAATCACCAAAGACTGAAGTTACAACCACGCGAAGATTCATGTCTTCGGGACACTGTGTTATAATTGACCCTGTTATTTTGGATATTTGAAGAATGCGATATAAGTATGGTTTGAGCCAATAAATCCCCGGAATGGAATAATAAGAATGTTGGTAATCTGCTCATTAGTATTTGTTCTCCAGACCTCAGATTTTTTCGGTCGCCACTACTGAATTATTTGTTCCAAATACAAAAAGCGGGTGGATTTTAGTTGCGAAACTTTCGTCAAGTGATTCGGAAACTGTTATTCTATCTCATGTATGAAAAGAGGGTTGATTAGGTATAGCTAATCTCAACTCCGCCTGTAGTCCCTTCGGGGCTACTGCCGGTCCCAAGCCCGGATAAAAGAGGAGCGGTTGGACATGGGGTTGGCGCCCCCATGCCAACTAAAAACTAACTTGCCAAAATAACGGTAACCAGAAAAAATAATTCAAACCATTTTAACTCCGTCGAGAGTTGGAAGAAGAATTATGACGTCGCGTGATGAAAGTCGAGTTCCTTCGGAAGTCACGAGGCTGATTCCCCTTCTGACAACCAGAGCAACCATTCTTTTAGGTACATGAAACGTTCGTACATGGTGGGAGACTGGAAGACTATTTCAGGTTTCGGCAGAAATTAAAAGATACAACCTCGAGGTGCTCGGCATCAGTGAAACGCATTGGACACAGGTAGGACAACTGAGACTAGCTTCAGGGGAACTGCTGTTATACTCTGGTCATGAAGAGGAAAATGCTTCACATACACAAGGAGTTGCTCTGATGCTGTCAAAACAAGCACAAAAGGTACTGATAGGATGGGAAGCTCATGGACCGAGGATCATTAAGCATCCTTCAAAACAAAGAAAGAGGACATTGCACTGAACGTCATCCAATGTTATGCACCTACCAAGTACTACAATGACGACTTTAAAGATAAATTCTACGAAAGGCTGCAGTCAATCGTCGAGAAATGTTCACCAAAGGATTTGACGATTCTTATGGAAGACCTAAATGCCAAGGTTGGCATGGACAACACTGGATATGAAGATATCATGGGACGACATGGACTGGGAGAAAGGAACGAAAATGGTAAGGAATCCGCAAACCTATTTGCCTTCAACAAACTAGCCATCTGTGGCACAATATTCCTAAACAAACGCATACACAAAGCTAAATGGATCTCACCGGACCACACTACTCAGAACGAAATCGACCATATCTGTATCAACAAAACGTTCAGAAGGACCATGGAGTATGTGAGAACCAAGAGAGGAGCTGATATAGCTTCAGATCACCATTTGCTGGTCGCCAAAATGAAACTGAAGCTAAAGAAGCACTGGACAACGGGGCAGACAACATCACAGAAGTTTAATACGGCCTTTCCTCGGGATACCGTAAAACTCAACGAATTCAAAATAGCCCTCACCAATAGGTTCCAGGCCTTTCAGAATCTACACAATGGAGAGGACGCAACATTGGAGAACAATTGGAAAGGGATTAGGGAGGCTATCACGTCAACATGTCTCGAGGTACTTGGTCGCAAGAAGCACCATCACAAGGAATGGATCTCTGTTGGTACTCTTGAAAAAATTGAAGGAAGGAGGAACAAGAAGGCAGCATTGAATGTCAGCCGAACAAGAGCAGAGAAAGTTACTGCACAAGCTGAATACACGGAAGCAAACAGGGAAGTGAAGAAGAGCATCAGAGCTGACAAACGAAAATATGTGGAAGATCTAGCAACGACGGCGGAAAAGGCTGCAAGAGACGGAAACTTGAGACAATTGTACGAAACAACAAAGAAGCTCGCCCGAAACGATCGTAAAGCAGAACGACCAGTGAAAAGCAAGGAAGGCAAAGTAATCAGCAACACTGAAGAACAGCGAAATAGGTGGGTAGAGCACTTTAAGGAACTCGTGAATCCACCAGCTCCAATGAACCAACCCAACATCGAAGCAGCATTAACTGACCTCCCAATTGATGTTGTCGCACCTACAATTGAAGAGATCAGTATGGCCATCAGACAAATCAAGAGCGGCAAAGAAGCAGTACCATATAACATTCCAGCAGAGGCAATGAAAACAGATGTAGAAGCAACTGCGAAAATATTTCACATCCTCTTCAAGAAGATTTGGGATGAGAAACAAGTACCATCAGATTGGAAAGAAGGATACCTTATCAAAATACCAAAGAAAGGCGATCTCAGCAAGTGTGAGAACTACAGATGCATCACTCTTCTCTCAGTACCAGTCAAAGTCTTCAATAGGGTATTGTTAAGCAGAATGAAGAACATCGTAGACGTCCAACTACGAGACCAACCGGCTGGATTTCGTAAGGATCGATCGTGTACTGGTCAAATTGCTACATTACGGATCATTGTGGAACATTCAATAGAATGAACTCACCACTCTACATCAACTTCATCGACTACGAGAAAGCATTCGATAGTGTGGATAGGAAGACACTTTGGAGGCTTCTTCGACACTACGGTGTGCCTGAGAAGATAGTTAACAACATACGGAATTCTTATGATGGATTCAACTGCAAAATCGTACACGGAGGACAGCTAACAGACTCTTTCTAGGTGAAGACCGGTGTCAGGCAAGGTTGCTTACTCTCACCTTTTCTCTTTCCGCTGGTGATCGACTGGATTATGAAGACGTCGACATCTGGAGGAAAGCACGGTATACAATCTACAGCTAGGATGCAGATGGACGATCTGGACTTCGCAGATGACCTGGCTCTTCTATCGCACACGCAACAACAAATGCAAGAGAACACGACCAGTGTAGCAGCAGTCTCTGCAGCAGTAGGTAACAACATACATAAAGGGGAAAGCGAAATTCTCCGATGCAACACAACATGCACCAACCAAATCACTCACTCTTGATGAAGATGCCTTGGAGGACGTTAACACCTTTACATATCTTGACAGCATCATCGACAATCAAGGTGGATCCGATGCAGATGTGAGGGCGCGGATCGGCAAAGCAAGGGCTGCATTTCTCAGTTGAAAAATATCTGGAGCTCCAAACAGATACCAATCAACACCAAAATCAGGATTTTCAATACAAATGTTAAGACAGTTCTACTGTATGGATCGGAAACTTGGAGAACTATCAAAGCTATCATCCAGAAGATACAAGTGTTTATTAACAGTTGTCTACGCAAAATACTTCGTATTCGTTGGCCAGACGCGATCAGCAACAACCTACTTTGGGATAGAACAAACAAGATTCCAGTGGAGGAGGAAATCAGGAAGAAGTGGTGGAAGTGGATAGGACACACACTACGAAAAGCACCTAACTGCGTCACAAGACAAGCCCTCACTTGGAAAGCTCAGGGCAAAAGGAAAAGAGGAAGGCCAAGGAACACATTACGCCGAGAAATAGAGAAAGATATGGGAGGAATGAACAAACATTGGACAGAACTGGAGAGAGAAACCCAGGACAGAGTTGGTTGGAGAAAACTGGTGGGCGGCCTATGTTCCATTTGGGGTAACAGGCGAAAATAAGAAAGTAAGAAATAGCTAATCTCCCATCACAAAATAGGTTTAAGATTTTAGAAATCGTTGTATTTAATATTGTTTGAGTTAGAAACAAAAGTCATATGCCATGCAGGAGTTTTAGGTGAAAGCATATAGTATGCATTGCCGTGATCACTCGGTCAACTGGGTCTCTAAACGCTCTTCGTATTTGTTAGGATATTCATCCAATATCCTAAGAGAATTATTGGTTTATTCCTACTGGTCAATTTTATGGTCGTCCTAGATAACAATTTCCCGTGCTCCAATGTTTTTGCTTATTAGTTGTCCTGACTATCAGTGTCACTTCAAGTTTTGCTTCCTACTGGTCGTCCTAACTGCCAATGTGACAGACTTCGGTGCTGGTTCCTATTCGACCAAAATCTATAAATACGCATTGTCTATAACGTTTAATGACCAAGACCAGGACCCGGTCCCGGATTCCTAGTCCGGTGTCCTGTTTCTCTACTGGATTCGGACCTCGTATTTTCTGGATTCTTGTAGAATACAGGTACTACTTCATATCATGTCTTCTCATTTTCACTCAATATAGAGGTTGGGATAATCGGATTTGAGTGGCATGTTTTGTCACCGGATCCTCAGTC